AAACTCATGCTTGAACTGATCAAGTTACAATAAATTAACACAAAAATACTTGATTTTGGTTTTGATTTGATTGCTTCTTCTCTTTTACTATATTTTTCCCATAAAACGAAATTAAACATATCGATGAAGACAAATGATAAAAAGTTTATTACAACTATCAAACAGTAATAAAAATTAAGGCAATATAATAAAATAATAAATTTTTTAATTTTTAATTTTTAAATCGATTAATTCATATAGTTATATAATATTTTTGATATTCAAATTCTAAGGTTTGTAATTTCTTCTTATACTCTTGTGCTATCATGTTACAATCTCTTTAAAAAATAAATAAATAAATAAATTTTCACCGGCCAATTGCCTAATTTATAAAGTTGTCACATGCTGATTTGTTTTTATTATTCATAATCGAACGGGCTTATAAAGCCCAATCTACGATCCAAGAACTCCATCTGTAATTGGCCGAAAAAAGAGAAATTGTATAATTAAAAAGAAAAAAGTCTTCACCGATCAGGTAATTTTTTTGAAAGCTACGGGGACTGGGTATTCCCATGGCGGATTTTCTATATCCAGTAGCATATTTTCAGTTTGCTACCCCAGTAATGGCCCTTCTTCAAAGACCCTTTTTTGTGCTACTTCTTATACTAACTCATCAATTCATGCAATGTTGGATTGCTTTTGGATCGGTCAATGAAGAAGGAAAAAAACAAGAAGAAGAATTCAATGAGGAGCTACTATTGAAGCCGTTGCCAGATCGCAACGTGTTGGCCCATTTCCATTTTCGAAGCTCTGCCCCTCTTTCCACCACTTATTTCCCAAAGCCATTTCTCAATTGGTACTTTTTTTATTAGTTTATTTTATTTTTTCTTTTGGGTCACCGAGAAATCTTACGCTTTTTTTTTTTTTGGTATTTATGTTCTTTCATGTTGCTTTTGTTTAAATGGAGTTAGAGAAAAGCTAGCTTAGCCAAGTCAGGTGGCTTTCTTCAGTTTCTGAATCTATCAGTAACTTAGAAAGGTGGTAGGAAAGCCCAAAACTTAAATCTTTCCTTTGCTCTTCATACATTTATTAGCAAAATATTTAATCATTGTGTGGTGTAAAGAGGATTTTGGGTTTACTTGCTTTTGATATGCTTTGGTCTGTATGTTGATTTTTTAAGTTTATCGTAATGTTTGAATAAATATTAATAAAATAATAAAAAAATAATATATGTATAATTATTTGGATAATTAAAATTAAAAAAAAAAATTTTTATCAATTATTATTTGGATAAATAATAAAAAAAAGAAAATGATTCATTATAATAATTTTTTTATTTATAATTTTTTATTATTTGTAATTTTAAAATATTTTTGGATAATGATATATTTGTTATCTTATTTAGCTTCAAAATTATTGTTATATCAGTGATTTTTAATCAAGTAAAACATAAAGTTATTTTACAAACATGCATTAATGAATTTTTTGATCATTATCAAAACTTTAATACACTATTACTTTGACAATATATTCATATAAAACTATTAAATATAAAAAATACAATCATATGAAAACATTACATACTAAAGAATTATATGTCCTTTTTGCACCAAACAAAAAGTAATAATATATTATCATATAGTTGTCTAATATAAATTTATTTTATCAAAAAGAGATGATTTTGAAAAAATTATAAGAAAATTATGATGTGGTTTTGTTTTTTTTACTAATTTTCTAGTATTAATAAAAAAATAGATATAATAATCTTTTAATAAAAATAAAATTTTTTTCAATTTTCATTTTTTTAGCTTTTTTTTAAAAATTGAAATATTAAAAAAATGAAGATTACAAGAAAAAACAAAAGTTATTGAGTTTTCACATATATATTTTTTTAAATTAAAAATTTATCCAAACAAAATTTTTTTTTCTGTTTTCATTATTATTTTTTATTTCTCTTTCTTTTTCTTTTCCTCTCCTTAATCGAATCATACAGTAAGGATCAGGTTAAGTAGGGAGTAAGGACTATGGACTGGAGTTGTCAACTCAGGCTGAGTCAATTTAAGTAGTTAGTGGACTGCATCAAGTTACCAAATAATCGGGATTTAAAATTTTGATTTATTAGCTTTTGTTTCATGATGAAAAATAGATGCATTATAAGGTTAAATCTTATCATTATTGTCTTTGGAGCACTCAGCTTGGCCTGAGTCAATTAAGGTAGGTCATACAGGCTCTTTTTTTCTTTAAAGCCTTCTATTAGCTTATTTACATAAAAAATATCATTCAACCTATCTCTGCATTTTCCTAATCAAGTTATGATTAGTTCATTGTTTTCCGCATTCATAAATATACATGAGAATGAAATGTTCTTATGAACTCATCCAACCTTTTCAGCAATGTTATGTCTGACATGAAGTACAAAATTGGCTACAAGTTTACCTGAAAAATATTATGCACGAATTGTGTATGTCTTGCATTAATTTGTCTATCTCTCTTTGTGTAAGGTAAAGATAAGAGTCTTGATAAACTTCCCATTGTAGATTTTACAAAGCGAGGATCAGTACCCTTCTTAGGAGAAGATGAATAAACATTCCTGCTCATATTTGGAAGAGGAACCTCCCACCGGCATTGCATTGGTGTAATCAGGACATAGAATCAACGAACAGTCAATGATAAACCATAATGAAACATATAACCAACGAATTGCTATAACCTAATGGAAAAGTGGTTGATATGGAACTGACTTAAAAATGAGAAACGGGGTAGCCGTCATGGAAAGCTAAGATTCATAATAGGTTAGGGAAAAAGGATGCCTTTTAAATGATACAGCTGTCTAATCTTTTAATGTTTACTGCAGTATTTTTTATTTCTACATTTCGAGTATTTCACAAACACCTTCTACCCCTCTCTCATGTACATACATCTTATTCATCCAAATCTATTTGCCATATTGCAGAACCGAATTCTAATCTTTCCATAACATTCTACTTAACTTCCATCATTTACTTCAGCGTTTTACATTACATGACTGTTAATATTAGAAATATTCCAAATATTTCCTGATTGTTGAAACCTCAAAATGACATCCAATATCAACATAATTGTTCTTTGGATTATTATCCAATCCGCTGCTAGTGCAGTGCAAACGCTCCACAAGCAGGATTGTTTGATGCAATGCTTCCGTTTAACAAAATGGACATAGAATTAGGAAGTTAACCTAACCGCTAAGTAAGGCATGAAAATTGAACAACCCCTTGAAGAGCTTTTGTGTTCTAATATTGTTGTATAAGATAATGATGTATATTCTTTTATGACTAAGTCCTAAAGGATGATAGGAAAAGAATAACGAAGAAAAGTTTGAATACAAAGTCTTGACAACTAATGCAGATGTCTTACACTTCCAAAGATCCATTTCCCAGTAAGACAGCCAGATAGCCCATCCGTTGGTTGCATTTAGAATCATTTATATCATAAGGCTTCCATTTTACATCCCAAGCAACTTTTCCATTGTGAGCTAGAAAGAGGACAGCTCTTGGCAGTGCAATGTCACCTGGAATAGAAGAACCGGGGCTGAACTCGAACGAATTACTATCTAAAAGATTATTCGGCACAGTAGCATCCTGCCAGAGTTGTAACAAATTTGTTGGTTTATTGTCAATGAAGATTCTGTTTCTTCATTTTGAGTCAATAATGGGAGGCATTTACCATCACTAATAGTTTTTTGCTCGTGCCTTACTTTTCAATTTTCTACTTTCCACAGATGTATTAGGGGCTGCATCAGATGAAAATGCTGCCTCTTTGTCACCTTTTTGTTTTTTATGATGATTCTTATCTGAAACATTTTCTTGCGTATTTCCAGGAGCGTTGTCTATTGCAACTGGCTCAAAGGAACCTTCTGGGTACTGAACAGGAAGAGGTTGGAAAGGCTCGTCATTCTAATTGCTGTTAGGAGATTCACCAATTGATTTGTTTGTAGGTCTACCTGTTGGCCTCTTAACCTGATCTAGTTGAGATTCAACTATTGGTTTCTTTCCAGGTCTTCCTCTAGGCCTCTTTGACGAGCTCTCCCCCATGGCCTTTGTATTTTGAGATCTCCGTTTTGGCTTTTTCTTTAACAGAGGAGCTTCTTCCTCATTCACCCCAACATTTAGCATACACCATATTTGAATGATGCCTCTACCAGTAAGTGGGGTGCCCATCTTGTGATAATAAGATTCAGGAGGATGAGCAGCGACAGCAATGAACTGGGAAAAAGAAGGCAAAAAAAGAAAAAGACAAAACAAGGACAGCCTCGCAAGATTGCAGCATTAAGATGGTGATAATTATTATTAAAAATCCTACTTATTAAGCATGCAGGCAATATTTTAAACCACTGTTTCAGAACAAATCTAGGCTTTTGTCTCTTTCATTTGAAATAACCAAGTAGATAGAGGTTTGGGCTATAATGATAAATTGAAGGTGGAATACACGAAAAAAAAAAAAAAAGAATAAAAGGTTCCCAGAAGTGGGTTAGGGATTTGGGAGGGGAGAAGTGGGGAAGTACCTCACATTTGACAGGACTGTTAGGATTCTCATGAACTCTAGGACACCATTAATCTAATGCCCAAACAGACCCTCCAACATACATCACGAAGTCCTTGCTGCAAGATGATTGTACTTTAATCATGTCATTCAATAAATGTATAAAACATACCATTTTGCAGCGGTGTTGGCTTCACAAATAAAAATATTTGGGTGCCCATACACAGATCTTAAATAAGAGGAGCAATAATAACACCAAGTTCTTATCTTATAACATGTATATGCATCACAGATCAACAAGAGCAAACACCATCCATAACATGTTGTTCATAAGAGTTAAAATTTTTTAAACAAAGGAGGAATCCTGTAGGATAGCAGAACTTTTATGGTCAAGAATAAAACTAAGACCTTTTCCAAACCCACAGTACACCATCCTTTTACCACCTAAACCCAATAACATTGGAAACTGAAATTGCTCCAACCAAAATCCAATCTAACATGGATTCTGGAGATGCATTACTTACTCGTAGTCCTTCCTGCTGCTTCCATAAGAAAAAAAGAAAGAAAAAAAAGAAAAAAAAAACAACAATGAGTATTAACAGAATATTATGCTATAACAAGTAAAAACTATTCCAGAAGATTTATGCAGTCATTGAACATTCCTCCATGTGAGGGACCCAAAATAAAAAGATTTTCTTTCACCTTGGGAACAGTTGCTGATGAAAACTGAGGCAAGTTTATGCCACCAGAAACATCTTTACCCGGTGAGTCTCCTAGTTCGCTAGCAAACCCAATGATCCTCGGTTCATAATTAAAATGCCTCCATTCCCTAAAAGCATGTTTAATAGTAAATTAAGAACTTGTACATGTCTATATTGGACAGATAAAACTAACATAAAAAAAAAAAAATACCCGACGTACATCAGCAAAGTCAATTCAATCGCATTTGGAAGTTCTAAATGCACAAAGATGAGCATAAAGTTACCTTAAGAAAGTGATTGAAGAAGAGAATCTCCGGATATCAGTTTCATCGAGACCATCAATCTTGGGTTCTTCACAAATCTAGAGATTGTATCCATTACCCTAAAATGTTTCTCGATTGAATAACCAAATATAGAGAACCTAACTCCAGAATCACCATTAAATGGTGGTTCTTCCATTTTTCTGTTTCTTTTTTCCTACATGTAACACATCTGTTCGTCAATCACTCAAATATGAGACATATAATGCTAGAGAAGTTTTTTTTTTTCTGTTAGTAGGAGAACAAACGTCCGTATAAAGGAAAGAAAGACAGCGGAATTAGAACCTACGTCCATAAGTCTTTTTTAAAATCTCTTAATCATTACATCAAAAGAAAAGACATATAATGTTAGAGAGTTGATTATAAGAAATAAAACGTAAACTATAACTGAATGCTAAATTTGATACTTTAACTTAAAAAAAAATTCAATTCAAAAAATTGTTGGAGCCTAACTCTGAGTTGCAATCAACAATATAACTTAATTTAAACAAAATAAATGTAATATGGAACATCACATTTAATAATAATTACGACGCATTAACTTGAAATTCTTTCTAAACCTTTTTCATCAGTAAACTTAAGTTTTTCCCTCTTAACCAAAAACAACAAAAAATAAAATAAAATAAAATCCATGAATTTCACATATTTTTCCTCTCAAAATTTCGTGACCCAAACATACCAGTAGGCAACGATAATTAGCTCAGATGACCTGATTTTATTTCAAAGCAGACAGATAATATATGTGCCTCTAAATGATGAAAATTAAAGGTATTATATTTAAAGACAAATATGATTTATGCCTTAAATCCATTATTTTAAAAATTAATATTTATGTGTAGCTTATTCTTTGCCTTTAATTATTGGTTTTGTTGTAGTGTATAAAAAATAATGTATATTATAATTTGAGTTATAATCGACTAAGTTTGGGCTTTGAATGCTAGTCTCAAGTTTCAATTTACATTTTAAAAGAACTCGAAGACGTCAAAGGATAGAGTATGGGGCAGGTAGAATATTTTTCTTTTTTATTCTCAAATTTTTATATTATATTAATTCTTATATCTATATTCAATGAAAATTTTAAATTTATTCACATTTTTACCTACGAAAATATTTAATTGATGCAAATAATTCTTATACTCTTAGCTTTTTTAAAAAATAAATTTTACCTTTTAATTTATTTTAATTTTTATCTTACATATTCATATAATTTTTTTATAAATATATTAATATATATTTAAAATAAAATATATGTTAATTTTAATTAATCAAAAATAAAATTTTATATTATTTAATAATAAATTTATTTACTAAATATATAGGCAACGGGTACAAAATATGTGCTATATTACTTGTCTCTATCCTTGTATCAAATAAAAAATTTTAAATCATATTTATGCCATTCTTAAAATTTAATACCCATTTTAATCCCATTGGGTAAAAAGTTAGATTTTCTATCTGATATGGATAAAATTAATATCCTTAAATGAGTTTAATGTTTTACACAAATCTATTTAATGGGTTTAATATTTTTGTTTAAACCTTCAAAAATATTGAATGAGCCCTCAAAACTTGAATGGATAACTTGACCATTGGATAAATCTATCAAAATATTTAACATTTTTATAAATGTAAAACAAAACAAAAACAAAAATAATCGTAAATATAATTTGAGTTTAAATTTATAAATAATATGGATGGTAGTACTTACAAGAGTAAGGATACAGTTATAATGGTGTAAGTTTTACATTTTTTTTATATCAAAATTAAATTTATGTATTAAAATAATATTTAATCTCAACCACTTTGATCTAATAATAAAAAAAAAAATGTAAAACTTATATTAACACAAGTGGATCGCTCATCTTACCTATAATGGTATACAATGAAAGACTCTCTCTAAATTTTTAATTATCCACTTGATATTTTGCAAATAAATTTGTTGAACTTCAAAATTCCTTCACTGAATAAGGAAATAATCCAATTGAATTGCATTCAATTTACATTCATTGAATATGAATGGTACAACAAAACCAAGTCCTAATCCCCATTTCTTATCGAATTAACCTATTTACTTGCCGTCAAAGACTTTTTTTGTATTAGAAATTTTCGAAAAGAAGTTGACAAATTTCACAAGTAAGACATTAAAAGACATTAAATAAAGATTTAATTGAAAAAAATAAAAATAAAAAATAGAAAGACATGATGATTTGTTTGGAGTAAGATGATGGGTTTATAGCATTCAAAAATTCAGTTTGATAATTACTCATGATGACGAGTAAAAAAAATGTTTGGTAGGTTTCTCCTTTATATAGTTATCTTATAGAAATGTCAAGTAATCTGTAAGCTTCCATATAAAGTAGGCAGGTTTCTCTTTTATCTAGTTATCTTATAGAAATGTCAAGTAATCTGTAAACTTCCATATAAAGTAGGTAGGTCTCCCTTTTATCTAGTTATCTTATAGAAATGTCAAGTAATCTATAAACTTGCATATAAGGTTTTGATTGTGAGATTGATATAATAAATTCAAATAAATAATATAATCAAAATATTCTATTTCTAAAATGAACCTGCCCTGTTTTAAGAGAAATGGCCAATTAATTGAACTATAGAAGGCAACCAAATCGACTTACTCTTTTCCTTTCATGCATGAATCTAAGACTATTGCTATCTATATAAGAGACTTGTGATCAGATCACTAACATGCAAGTAAATTATAACAATCGCTTTTATTTTTTTTTTAGTGAATATATGATAAGAAGTTCATTAAAACTTCCAATTATTTACAAGAAGAAATACAAAGATATGGCTATGGAAAAGAGGTTTTCTCCTTTTGCAATTTCTTATTCATATTATTGTTTCAGACATATATATATTTCATGATGATTTTACTGTTGGATTTTCTTTTTTAGTAGTCATCAACCTAATTAATAAATAAATATGGAATTGGACAGGTTCTTCTTCGGTCTTCTCATTGCAGCTATAGTAAGTGCAATCAGAGCAGGTGATGTTAGTTTTGATAAGAATTATCACGTCACATGGGGAAACTCTCATGTGACTTCTCTAAACCAAGGAAGAGAAATTCATCTTTTAATGGATAATACTTCAGGTTCGATACATGAAAACAACTAACTTATACATTTGCATGCATGTATAAACGTATTTAAAAAAGACACGTGCATATATATAATCACTCGTAGCTAAACTTTTAATATATGAAAATGTAAATTAAAAAACAAAGAATCACTAATGGTGGTTATATGAATGCAGGGGCTGGGTTCCAGTCCAATGTCGGGTATGCTTCAGGGTTTTTCCAAATGAAAATAAAGACACCCAACAAGGATTCTACTGGAGCTGTTACAACTTTTTATGTACATATATCTTTTTCTGTACTTTAAAAAAAAATTCCTGTCTTCTCTAACATGTATTAGTTAAAGTATAATTTAATGAACATTTTGGTGGGTTGATGGCATGTATGCAGTTGACCTCAAATCCACAAAACACAGGAAACCATGACGAGCTAGATTTTGAGTTTTTGGGTAGCAAGGGTCCTCCTTTTACATTGCAAACAAATGTTTTCGCTAATGATAGAGGAGGCCGAGAGCAAAGGATTCATCTTTGGTTTGATCCCACTGCTGATTTTCATACTTACGGAATTCTTTGGAATCAGCATCAAATAGTGTAAGCAAAAACTATTCTCTTTAAACTAATTTGATTCTAATTTAACTAGTTACAACATTGCTTTGAAGTCCTTGGTTTTATGTTTTGTGCAGGGTTCATGCATGGAAATTAACATTTCTAATTTAAGTCTCTTAAAAATAATTTGATTCTTTAACCCTAGTTTTCTTGCCTTTTCAGGTTTTATGTGGATAATACACCCATAAGAGTTTTCAAGAACAATACAAATATCGGAGTAAATTATCCTTCACAACAATTAGTGATTCAAGGAAGCCTATGGAATGGAGAAGGTTGGGCATCGGGTGGAAGAAAAATTGATTGGAGTCAAGCTCCATTTATAGCCAGTTTTCAAGGGTTCAACGTGGATGGTTGTCAATTCCACGACACTGCGACCAAAGCGCAATGCTATAATTCTAACTTGTGGTGGAATGGAAACAAATATTTGGAACTAGACCCTGCTCAGCACAAAGCATTACAGTATGCAAGAACCAAGTACATGTTTCAAGACTACTGCACTTCTCCAAGTGGGAGGTACCATAAAGAATGCGGAAGTAATAAATAAATGAAGAGATAAATATGTAAAAATTTCTGCTTAGTTGGATTGTTTTATATGCAATATATAGATAGCAAATAAATTAGAATATTTTCATTAAAAAATTATAAACATTGGTATTCTTATCCTTGTACAAAAATGGAAATTATCATGTTTATGCCCTTTAAAAAAAAAACAAAATAATAAATAAACCAAACAAATGTCAAATTTGTTGGGTATTTCAATTTCAAAGTCAATCCCAAAGTTGCTTTTCCAATCACAAATGAGAATGACGTCAAGCCCATCCTTCTGGGCCCACAATGCGGTGCTATAAAGGCACTTTCACGGAGTTGGGTATCTTCTCCATGATGGTTGGATCCGACAAGCCACAATTTATGAACTTTGTTAGAAGGAAAGGGTCGTTCAATAAATTGGTAAGTGAGGTAAACGATCAATTCAAAGCCTATCCAATAAAAGATTTTATATTTCGTTCAAAAAAATTTATAAAAATACTTAGAGCACCAAAACTAAAAAGCGCACATGAACATGTGGAGGTTAGAAAAGTTCTTTCTTGCACTGCTGTGCAACATGTTTGTCTTTGTTTTCCCACGCTTCCAACTTTCTCTTCTGAAGCCCAACCCGTGTTTGTTATTTTCCAAAGATGAACCTTTAGGTACTCTCTCTCAGCCTTGCTGTTCCAATGTAAAAGGAGTCTCCTCCTATATATAAAATGCTTATTTGATTTGGTTTGCGCAACCGTGTCACCCTCAAAATGATTTTATATTGATTCGGTTGGCTTTAATTTGATGCCATCGTCATAGCACATGGAAATCGATTTATTTGTGTTTAGTCATACATTTACCATTCGTGAAGAATTCAACTTTCTTGGTTGTTTTTTTTAATTTAAAGCCAAATTAATCTTGAGATTGTTTCTGACGTCTGGATTAATTAGGCGCACACAAATACAATTTATTGCGTTTGTTTGTTTCAAGAGTGATAAAATAGGTTTATATGCACCAAAAATCAAAATGTTTTTTTTATATACTCAACTTTTATTCCTAAAGTAAATAATTGGTAAACATGATTCAAACTTTGAAAAACTGACTTAATTCATTAAATTTAAAATCGAACCTAATTTAATTTGATTAAAAAAATCATCGACATAAATCTATTTAACTCAATTTTAAAATAACTCTCAAGTTTAAATTCAAAGTAACTTAAAATTGAGATGATTTAAACTTAAAAATAAATCAAAATGATTTATTTCAAACTCGCTTAATTACCATACCTCTTTAGGATCTTTTGAACTTTGTGACTTCAAACTTGGGGGTTGTTAATTCTTCAAGTTAAGGAAAAAGAAACAGATTAATGTGTTAGTCCTCCACAATCATTTGTAGTTTGAAGTTGCTTCCAATTGTTCAAAGCAGTGCTAGATAGAATACGTGTAAGAGGTTTGTTGTATGCGGATAACAATGAAGAAGTCAATAGCGTGTAAGGAAGTTGGATCAAATGGTGATACCTTATACTTTTCTTTTCTTTTTTGGCTTTTTTCATGGATAGATCTTAGTTGGGAAGCTGGCAGATCAAAACATCGATCCCTATATAAACTCACTAAATGATAATGCAGTCGTTACTAAAGATATGGAAATGCAATATTTTTCCCTGCAGCTATGTTTACTTTCATCAATATTTTTCCTTCTTGGCTGCTGCAGCCTGTTTGCAAACACTACTGATATTGTTAGATTTGATGAAAACTATGAAATTACATGGGGAAGTGATCATGTTTTGTCTTTAAATCAAGGAAGTGAAATTCAGCTCTCAATGGATATCTCTTCCGGTTATCTTCTTTCTCTCCTAACACTCACTTAATAGCTATAAATACAATATAATTTATGGTACAGAACATTATGCATGCTTTTTTTTTTTTTTACTTTTTATTTTTTTTAAAGAAAAAAAGACATATTTTTCATTTGACTTAGTTGAAAATTATGTCACATGGTTTATACCATCTTAGAGAATCTTTTCTTTTTCTTAAAAAATCTTAAATATCAATATTTATATGATACGTTTATAGAGTACTAAATTATTAATTTCAATAATCAAAATTTAATTTTTAATAACTTTAAATTAATATATTAAAAATATTTAAACCCTAATCATTAATAAGAATCTAACACTATATGAATAGATACTATCATTGTTATCACTTATAGAGGATTGATTTAATCCACTGTTCTATCTTGAAGTGCGGAATATTGAGGTGTTTTAAAATGTGGTGGAATTATTAAAAAAAAAAAACCAATTACCAAATAAATCTTTGTGATATTCCCACTATATTTAACTTCTTCATTTTTTTTTGTCACTATTGTTTATTGAAGAAATTAAAAATGATCAATTACAGGAGCTGGGTTTGGGTCGAAGCTGAGTTATGTTAGTGGGTTTTTTCATTTGAGGATAAAGCTACCCAATAAGGATTCTGCTGGAGTTGTTACTGCTTTTTACGTAAAATATCTTTCATTTCTGTTTAATTTCCTCTTGAATTTACCAATATTCTTATTGATTATTTGTAATGACAATTAACAGCTGACATCAAAAGGCAAGAGGCATGACGAGCTGGATTTTGAGTTCTTAGGTAATAGAGAAGGCAAGCCGATTAGCTTGCAAACCAATGTGTTCGCAGATGGTGTTGGGAATAGAGAGCAAAGGTTTCTTCTCTGGTTTGATCCTACTGCAGATTTCCACGATTACCAAATTCTTTGGAACCAACACCAAATTGTGTACGAATAATCTCCCCTTCTCCTTTTTCTGCATTGCATGCCTTAATTAATATGATTATTTTCGCATCAATAATTTTGTGAAAATATATTTTTTTGAATTTAAAATTTAATTAAATTAATTTATGTACTCATTTTTAAACCATGAAATCCAATGAATTTAATAATTAAATAAAAACATCTATAATTTTTTATTTATCATCAAATTACGCTTACGACTGATTATACCATTATATTTGAAATATATATGGTTTTAATTAAATGTGATGAGAACCTTTTCTCACTGCACTGAATTGCCTATCAAAATGGACACTATATATATATAACTATATGTATAGGTATATTTATGCATATGGATGCCTGTGTTTACAGATTCTACGTGGACGACATCCCCATCAGGGTGTTCAAGAACAACGACGATATTGGAGTTGGGTACCCATCACAGCCGATGAAAATAGAAGTAAGTTTGTGGGATGGAGATAGCTGGGCAACCGATGGAGGCCGAACAAAGACTAATTGGAGCATGGCACCTTTCAAAGCCCATTTCCAAGGATTTGATATAAGTGGTTGCCCAATAATTCAGAACTCGAGCAATATTCAACAATGTTATTCTCCCAATTATTGGTGGAATTCAGAGAAATATTGGAAGTTAGACTCCAAGCAACAAGGAGAACTGCAAAATGTAAGAAAGGAATACATGAACTATGACTATTGTTCGGATAGGCCTAGATACCCTGTTCCTCCTCCGGAGTGCCTTCATCAATAGCAGGCTAGAGTTCGTGGGGATGGGTTAATTTAAGTTGCTATATTATTAAATAACAATGCAGCTGATGTAATAAAAGAAAATGTTAAATTGTTCGACTTTATAAAATTATTATAGTTATTTTTTAATACTTTTTAATAATACATATTTACCCATTATTATTGTTACATATTCTACCATGAATTAGGATCTATTATAGTTAGTAACAGCACAAGGTGACCATTTCTCTCATGGAAAACTCATGCTTGAACCGATCAAGTTACAATAAATTAACACAAAAATACTTGATTTTGGTTTTGATTTGATTGCTTCTTCTCTTTTACTATATTTTTCCCATAAAACGAAATTAAACATATCGATGAAGAGAAATGATAAAAAGTTTATTACAATTATCAAACAGTAATAAAAATTAAGGCAATATAATAAAATAATAAATTTTTAAATTTTTAATTTTTAAATCGATTAATTCATATAATTATATAATATTTTTTATATTCAAATTCTAAGGTTTGTAATTTCTTCTTATACTCCTATGCTATCATGTTACAATCTCTTTAAAAAATAAATAAATAAATAAATTTTCACCGGCCAATTGCCTAATTTATAGAGTTGTCACATGCTGATTTGTTTTTATTATTCTATAATCGAACGGGCTTATAAAGCCCAATCCACGATCCAAGAACTCCATCTGTAATTGGCCGAAAAAAGAGAAATTGTATAATTAAAAAGAAAAAAGTCTTCACTGATCAGGTAATTTTTTTGAAAGCTACGGGGAATGGGTATTCCCATGGCGGATTTTCTATATCCAGTAGCATATTTTCAGTTTGCTACCCAGTAATGGCCCTTCTTCAAAGACCCTTTTTTGTGCTACTTCTTATACTAACTCATCAATTCATGCAATGTTGGATTGCTTTTGGATCGGTCAATGAAGAAGGCAAAAAAACAAGAAGAAGAATTCAATGAGGAACTACTATTGAAGCCGTTGCCAGATCGCAAAGTGTTGGCCCATTTCCATTTTCGAAGCTCTGCCTCTCTTTCCACCTCTAATGGCGGCCACCACCACTTATTTCCCAAAGCCATTTCTCAATTGGTACTTTTTTATTATTTTATTTTATTTTTTCTTTTGGGTCACCGAGAAATCTTAGGCTTTTTTTTTTTTTTTTGTATTTATGTTCTTTCATGTTGCTTTTGTTTAAATGGAGTTAGAGAAAAGTTAGCTTAGCCAAGTCAGGTGGCTTTCTTCAGTTTCTGAATCTATTAGTAACTTAGAAAGGTGGTAGGAAAGCCCAAGACTTAAATCTTTCCTTTGCTCTTCATACATTTATTAGCAAAATATTTAATCATTGTGTGGTGTAAAGATGATTTTGGGTTTACTTGCTTTTGATCTGCTTTTGTGAATGTTGATTTTTTAAGTTTAACCTAATGTTTGAATAAATAGTAATAAAATAATAAAAAAATAATATATGTATCATTATTTGGATAATTAAAATTAAAAAAAAAATTTTATCAATTATTATTTGGATAAATAATAATAAAAAAATGATTCATTATAATAATTTTTTTATTTATAACTTTTTATTATTTGTAATTTTAAAATATTTTTGGATTATGATACGTTTGTTATCTTATTTAACCTCAAAATTACTGTTATATCAATGATTTTTAATCAAGTGAGACATAAAATTATTTTACAAATATGCATTAATGAATTTTTTGATCATTGTCAAAATTTCAACCACAAACAACATTTCACATATTTTCCCTTTGAAAATTTCGTGACCCAAACATACCAGTAGGCAACGATAATTAGCAGACAGATAATATATGTGCCTCTAAATGATGAAAATTAAAAGCATAATAATATTATAACGTAACGTTTGAATAAATATTAATAAAATAATAAAAAATAATATACATAATTATTTGAATAATTAAAATTAATAAAAAAATTCTATTGATTATTATTTGGATAAATAATACAGAAGAAAAAAAATGATTCATTATAATAATTTTTTTATTTATTACTTTTTATTATTTGTAATTTTAGAATATTTTTGGATTATGATATGTTTGTTATTATTCAGTCTCAAAATTACTGTTATATCAATAATTTTTAATCAAGTGAAACATAAAGTTATTTTATAAACATGCATTAATGAATTTTTTAATCATTGTCAAAATTTTAGCACATTATCACTTTGACGATGTATACATATAAAGCTATTAAATATAAAAAATACAATCATATGAAAACATTACATACTAATGAATTATATGTCTTTTTTGCACCAAACAAAAAGTAATAATATATTACCATATAATTATCGAATATAAATTTATTTTACCAAAAAGAGATAATTTTAAAAAAATTATAAGAAAATTGTGATGTAGTTTTGTTTTTTTACTAATTTTCTAGTATTAATAAAACAATTAAATATAATAATCTTTTAATAAAAATAAAATTTTTTCAATTTTCATTTTTTTAGCTTTTTTTTTTTTTAAATTGGAGTATTAAAAAAATGAAGATTACAAGAAAAAACAAAAGTTATTGAGTTTTCACATATATATTTTTTAAAATTAAAAATTTATCCAAACAAAAATTTTTTTTCTGTTTTCATCATTATTTTTTATTTCTCTTTCTTTTTCTTTTCCTCTCCTTAATCCAATCATACAGTAAGGATCAGGTTAAGTAGGGAGTAAGGACTATGGACTGGAGTTGTCAACTCAGGCTGAGTCAATTTAAGTAGTTAGTGGACTGCATCAAGTTACCAAATAATCGGGATTTAAAATTTTGATTTATTAGCTTTTGTTTCATGATGAAAAATCGATGCATTATAAGGTTAAATCTTATCATTATTGTCTTTGGAGCACTCAGTTTGGCCTGAGTCAATTAAGGTAGGTCATACAGGCTCTTTTTTTTCTTTAAAGCCTTCTATTAGCTTATTTACATAAAAAAATATCATTCAACCTATCTCTGCATTTTCCTAATCAAGTTATGATTAGTTCATTATTTTCCGCATTCATAAATATACATGAGAATGAAATGTTCTTATGAACTCATCCAACCCTTTCAGCAATGTTATGTCTGACATGAAGTACAAAATTGGCTACAAGTTTACCTGAAAAATATTATGCACGAATTGTGTATGTCTTGCATTAATTTGTCTATCTCTCTTTGTGTAAGGTAAAGATAAGAGTCTTGATAAACTTCCCATTGTAGATTTTACAAAGCGAGGATCAGTACCCTTCTTAGGAGAAGATGAATAAACATTCCTGCTCATATTTGGAAGAGGAACCTCCCACCGGCATTGCATTGGTGTAATCAGGACATAGAATCAACGAACAGTCAATGATAAACCATAATGAAACATATAACCAACGAATTGCTATAACCTAATGGAAAAGTGGATGATATGGAACTGACTTAAAAATGAGAAACGGGGTAGCCGTCATGGAAAGCTAAGATTCATAATAGGTTAGGGAAAAAGGATGCCTTTTAAATGATACAGCTGTCTAATCTTTTAATGTTTACTGCAGTATTTTTTATTTCTACATTTCGAGTATTTGACAAACACCTTCTACCCCTCTCTCATGTACATACATCTTATTCATCCAAATCTATTTGCCATATTGCAGAACCGAATTCTAATCTTTCCATAACATTCTACTTAACTTCCATCATTTACTTCAGCGTTTTACATTACATGACTGTTAATATTAGAAATATTCCAAATATTTCCTGATTGTTGAAACCTCAAAATGACATCCAATATCAACATAATTGTTCTTTGGATTATTATCCAATCCGCTGCTAGTGCAGTGCAAACGCTCCACAAGCAGGATTGTTTGATGCAATGCTTCCGTTTAACAAAATGGACATAGAATTAGGAAGTTAACCTAACCGCTAAGTAAGGCATGAAAATTGAACAACCCCTTGAAGAGCTTTTGTGTTCTAATATTGTTGTATAAGATAATGATGTATATTCTTTTATGACTAAGTCCTAAAGGATGATAGGAAAAGAATAACGAAGAAAAGTTTGAATACAAAGTCTTGACAACTAATGCAGATGTCTTACACTTCCAAAGATCCATTTCCCAGTAAGACAGCCAGATAGCCCATCCGTTGGTTGCATTTAGAATCATTTATATCATAAGGCTTCCATTTTACATCCCAAGCAACTTTTCCATTGTGAGCTAGAAAGAGGACAGCTCTTGGCAGTGCAATGTCACCTGGAATAGAAGAACCGGGGCTGAACTCGAACGAATTACTATCTAAAAGATTATTCGGCACAGTAGCATCCTGCCCAGAGTTGTAACAAATTTGTTGGTTTATTGTCAATGAAGATTCTGTTTCTTCATTTTGAGTCAATAATGGGAGGCATTTACCATCACTAATAGTTTTTGCTCGTGCCTTACTTTTCAATTTTCTACTTTCCACAGATGTATTAGGGGCTGCATCAGATGAAAATGCTGCCTCTTTGTCACCTTTTTGTTTTTTATGATGATTCTTATCTGAAACATTTTCTTGCGTATTTCCAGGAGCGTTGTCTATTGCAACTGGCTCAAACGAACCTTCTGGGTACTGAACAGGAAGAGGTTGGAAAGGCTCGTCATTCTAATTGCTGTTAGGAGATTCACCAATTGATTTGTTTGTAGGTCTAGCTGTTGGCCTCTTAACCTGATCTAGTTGAGATTCAACTATTGGTTTCTTTCCAGGTCTTCCTCTAGGCCTCTTTGACGAGCTCTCCCCCATGGCCTTTGTATTTTGAGATCTCCGTTTTGGCTTTTTCTTTAACAGAGGAGCTTCTTCCTCATTCACCCCAACATTTAGCATACACCATATTTGAATGATGCCTCTACCAGTAAGTGGGGTGCCCATCTTGTGATAATAAGATTCAGGAGGATGAGCAGCGACAGCAATGAACTGGGAAAAAGAAGGCAAAAAAAGAAAAAGACAAAACAAGGACAGCCTCGCAAGATTGCAGCATTAAGATGGTGATAATTATTATTAAAAATCCTACTTATTAAGCATGCAGGCAATATTTTAAACCACTGTTTCAGAACAAATCTAGGCTTTTGTCTCTTTCATTTGAAATAACCAAGTAGATAGAGGTTTGGGCTATAATGATAAATTGAAGGTGGAATACACGAAAAAAAAAAAAAAGAATAAAAGGTTCCCAGAAGTGGGTTAGGGATTTGGGAGGGGAGAAGTGGGGAAGTACCTCACATTTGACAGGACTGTTAGGATTCTCATGAACTCTAGGACACCATTAATCTAATGCCCAAACAGACCCTCCAACATACATCACGAAGTCCTTGCTGCAAGATGATTGTACTTTAATCATGTCATTCAATAAATGTATAAAACATACCATTTTGCAGCGGTGTTGGCTTCACAAATAAAAATATTTGGGTGCCCATACACAGATCTTAAATAAGAGGAGCAATAATAACACCAAGTTCTTATCTTATAACATGTATATGCATCACAGATCAACAAGAGCAAACACCATCCATAACATGTTGTTCATAAGAGTTAAAATTTTTTAAACAAAGGAGGAATCCTGTAGGATAGCAGAACTTTTATGGTCAAGAATAAAACTAAGACCTTTTCCAAACCCACAGTACACCATCCTTTTACCACCTAAACCCAATAACATTGGAAACTGAAATTGCTCAAACCAAAATCCAATCTAACATGGATTCTGGAGATGCATTACTTACTCGTAGTCCTTCCTGCTGCTTCCATAAGAAAAAAAGAAAGAAAAAAAAGAAAAAAAAAACAACAATGAGTATTAACAGAATATTATGCTATAACAAGTAAAAACTATTCCAGAAGATTTATGCAGTCATTGAACATTCCTCCATGTGAGGGACCCAAAATAAAAAGATTTTCTTTCACCTTGGGAACAGTTGCTGATGAAAACTGAGGCAAGTTTATGCCACCAGAAACATCTTTACCCGGTGAGTCTCCTAGTTCGCTAGCAAACCCAATGATCCTCGGTTCATAATTAAAATGCCTCCATTCCCTAAAAGCATGTTTAATAGTAAATTAAGAACTTGTACATATCTATATTGGACAGATAAAACTAACATAAAAAAAAAAAAAATACCCGACGTACATCAGCAAAGTCAATTCAATCGCATTTGGAAGTTCTAAATGCACAAAGATGAGCATAAAGTTACCTTAAGAAAGTGATTGAAGAAGAGAATCTCCGGATATCAGTTTCATCGAGACCATCAATCTTGGGTTCTTCACAAATCTAGAGATTGTATCCATTACCCTAAAATGTTTCTCGATTGAATAACCAAATATAGAGAACCTAACTCCAGAATCACCATTAAATGGTGGTTCTTCCATTTTTCTGTTTCTTTTTTCCTACATGTAACACATCTGTTCGTCAATCACTCAAATATGAGACATATAATGCTAGAGAAGTTTTTTTTTTTTCTGTTAGTAGGAGAACAAACGTCCGTATAAAGGAAAGAAAGACAGCGGAATTAGAACCTACGTCCATAAGTCTTTTTTAAAATCTCTTAATCATTACATCAAAAGAAAAGACATATAATGTTAGAGAGTTGATTATAAGAAATAAAACGTAAACTATAACTGAATGCTAAATTTGATACTTTAACTTAAAAAAAAATTCAATTCAAAAAATTGTTGGAGCCTAACTCTGAGTTGCAATCAACAATATAACTTAATTTAAACAAAATAAATGTAATATGGAACATCACATTTAATAATAATTACGACGCATTAACTTGAAATTCTTTCTAAACCTTTTTCATCAGTAAACTTAAGTTTTTCCCTCTTAACCAAAAACAACAAAAAATAAAATAAAATAAAATCCATGAATTTCACATATTTTTCCTCTCAAAATTTCGTGACCCAAACATACCAGTAGGCAACGATAATTAGCTCAGATGACCTGATTTTATTTCAAAGCAGACAGATAATATATGTGCCTCTAAATGATGAAAATTAAAGGCATAATAATATTATATTTAAAGACAAATATGATTTATGCCTTAAATCCATTATTTTAAAAATTAATATTTATGTGTAGCTTATTCTTTGCCTTTAATTATTGGTTTTGTTGTAGTGTATAAAAAATAATGTATATTATAATTTGAGTTATAATCGACTAAGTTTGGGCTTTGAATGCTAGTCTCAAGTTTCAATTTACATTTTAAAAGAACTCGAAGACGTCAAAGGATAGAGTATGGGGCAGGTAGAATATTTTTCTTTTTTATTCTCAAATTTTTATATTATATTAATTCTTATATCTATATTCAATGAGAATTTTAAATTTATTCACATTTTTACCTACGAAAATATTTAATTGATGCAAATAATTCTTATACTCTTAGCTTTTTTAAAAAATAAATTTTACCTTTTAATTTATTTTAATTTTTATCTTACATATTCATATAATTTTTTTATAAATATATTAATATATATTTAAAATAAAATATATGTTAATTTTAATTAATCTAAAATAAAATTTTATATTATTTAATAATAAATTTATTTACTAAATATATAGGCAACGGGTACAAAATATGTGCTATATTACTTGTCTCTATCCTTGTATCAAATAAAAAATTTAAAATCATATTTATCCCATTCTTAGAATTTAATACCCATTTTAATCCCATTGGGTAAAAAGTTGAATTTTCTATCTGATATGGATAAAATTAATATCCTTAAATGAGTTTAATGTTTTACACAAATCTATTTAATGGGTTTAATATTTTTGTTTAAACCTTCAAAAATATTGAATGAGCCCTCAAAACTTGAATGGATAACTTGACCATTGGATAAATCTATCAAAATATTTAACATTTTTATAAATGTAAAACAAAACAAAAACAAAAATAATCGTAAATATAATTTGAGTTTAAATTTATAAATAATATGGATGGTAGTACTTACAAGAGTAAGGATACAGTTATAATGGTGTAAATTTTACATTTTTTTTATATCAAAATTAAATTTATGTATTAAAATAATATTTAATCTCAACCACTTTGATCTAATAATAAAAAAAAAAAAATGTAAAACTTATATTAACACAAGTGGATCGCTCATCTTACCTATAATGGTATACAATGAAAGACTCTCTCTAAATTTTTAATTATCCACTTGATATTTTGCAAATAAATTTGTTGAACTTCAAAATTCCTTCACTGAATAAGGAAATAATCCAATTGAATTGCATTCAATTTACATTCATTGAATATGAATGGTACAACAAAACCAAGTCCTAATCCCCATTTCTTATCGAATTAACCTATTTACTTGCCGTCAAAGACTTTTTTTGTATTAGAAATTTTCGAAAAGAAGTTGACAAATTTCACAAGTAAGACATTAAAAGACATTAAATAAAGATTTAATTGAAAAAAATAAAAATAAAAAATAGAAAGACATGATGATTTGTTTGGAGTAAGATGATGGGTTTATAGCATTCAAAAATTCAGTTTGATAATTACTCATGATGACGAGTAAAAAAAATGTTTGGTAGGTTTCTCCTTTATATAGTTATCTTATAGAAATGTCAAGTAATCTGTAAGCTTCCATATAAAGTAGGCAGGTTTCTCTTTTATCTAGTTATCTTATAGAAATGTCAAGTAATCTGTAACCTTCCATATAAAGTAGGTAGGTCTCCCTTTTATCTAGTTATCTTATAGAAATGTCAAGTAATCTATAAACTTGCATATAAGGTTTTGATTGTGAGATTGATATAATAAATTCAAATAAATAATATAATCAAAATATTCTATTTCTAAAATGAACCTGCCCTGTTTTAAGAGAAATGGCCAATTAATTGAACTATAGAAGGCAACCAAATCGACTTACTCTTTTCCTTTCATGCATGAATCTAAGACTATTGCTATCTATATAAGAGACTTGTGATCAGATCACTAACATGCAAGTAAATTATAACAATCGCTTTTATTATTTTTTTTAGTGAATATATGATAAGAAGTTCATTAAAACTTCCAATTATTTACAAGAAGAAATACAAAGATATGGCTATGGAAAAGAGGTTTTCTCCTTTTGCAATTTCTTATTCATATTATTGTTTCAGACATATATATATTTCATGATGATTTTACTGTTGGATTTTCTTTTTTAGTAGTCATCAACCTAATTAATAAATAAATATGGAATTGGACAGGTTCTTCTTCGGTCTTCTCATTGCAGCTATAGTAAGTGCAATCAGAGCAGGTGATGTTAGTTTTGATAAGAATTATCACGTCACATGGGGAAACTCTCATGTGACTTCTCTAAACCAAGGAAGAGAAATTCATCTTTTAATGGATAATACTTCAGGTTCGATACATGAAAACAACTAACTTATACATTTGCATGCATGTATAAACGTATTTAAAAAAGACACGTGCATATATATAATCACTCGTAGCTAAACTTTTAATATATGAAAATGTAAATTAAAAAACAAAGAATCACTAATGGTGGTTATATGAATGCAGGGGCTGGGTTCCAGTCCAATGTCGGGTATGCTTCAGGGTTTTTCCAAATGAAAATAAAGACACCCAACAAGGATTCTACTGGAGCTGTTACAACTTTTTATGTACATATATCTTTTTCTGTACTTTAAAAAAAAATTCCTGTCTTCTCTAACATGTATTAGTTAAAGTATAATTTAATGAACATTTTGGTGGGTTGATGGCATGTATGCAGTTGACCTCAAATCCACAAAACACAGGAAACCATGACGAGCTAGATTTTGAGTTTTTGGGTAGCAAGGGTCCTCCTTTTACATTGCAAACAAATGTTTTCGCTAATGATAGAGGAGGCCGAGAGCAAAGGATTCATCTTTGGTTTGATCCCACTGCTGATTTTCATACTTACGGAATTCTTTGGAATCAGCATCAAATAGTGTAAGCAAAAACTATTCTCTTTAAACTAATTTGATTCTAATTTAACTAGTTACAACATTGCTTTGAAGTCCTTGGTTTTATGTTTTGTGCAGGGTTCATGCATGGAAATTAACATTTCTAATTTAAGTCTCTTAAAAATAATTTGATTCTTTAACCCTAGTTTTCTTGCCTTTTCAGGTTTTATGTGGATAATACACCCATAAGAGTTTTCAAGAACAATACAAATATCGGAGTAAATTATCCTTCACAACAATTAGTGATTCAAGGAAGCCTATGGAATGGAGAAGGTTGGGCATCGGGTGGAAGAAAAATTGATTGGAGTCAAGCTCCATTTATAGCCAGTTTTCAAGGGTTCAACGTGGATGGTTGTCAATTCCACGACACTGCGACCAAAGCGCAATGCTATAATTCTAACTTGTGGTGGAATGGAAACAAATATTTGGAACTAGACCCTGCTCAGCACAAAGCATTACAGTATGCAAGAACCAAGTACATGTTTCAAGACTACTGCACTTCTCCAAGTGGGAGGTACCATAAAGAATGCGGAAGTAATAAATAAATGAAGAGATAAATATGTAAAAATTTCTGCTTAGTTGGATTGTTTTATATGCAATATATAGATAGCAAATAAATTAGAATATTTTAATTAAAAAATTATAAACATTGGTATTCTTATCCTTGTACAAAAATGGAAATTATCATGTTTATGCCCTTTAAAAAAAAAACAAAATAATAAATAAACCAAACAAATGTCAAATTTGTTGGGTATTTCAATTTCAAAGTCAATCCCAAAGTTGCTTTTCCAATCACAAATGAGAATGACGTCAAGCCCATCCTTCTGGGCCCACAATGCGGTGCTATAAAGGCACTTTCACGGAGTTGGGTATCTTCTCCATGATGGTTGGATCCGACAAGCCACAATTTATGAACTTTGTTAGAAGGAAAGGGTCGTTCAATAAATTGGTAAATGAGGTAAACGATCAATTCAAAGCCTATCCAATAAAAGATTTTATATTTCGTACAAAAAAATTTATAAAAATACTTAGAGCACCAAAACTAAAAAGCGCACATGAACATGTGGAGGTTAGAAAAGTTCTTTCTTGCACTGCTGTGCAACATGTTTGTCTTTGTTTTCCCACGCTTCCAACTTTCTCTTCTGAAGCCCAACCCGTGTTTGTTATTTTCCAAAGATGAACCTTTAGGTACTCTCTCTCAGCCTTGCTGTTCCAATGTAAAAGGAGTCTCCTCCTATATGTAAAACGCTTATTTGATTTGGTTTGCCCAACCGTGTCACCCTCAAATGATTTTATATTGGTTCGGTTGGCTTTAATTTGATGCCTTCGGCATAGCACATGGAAATCGATTTATTTGTGTTTAGTCATACATTTACCATTCGTGAAGAATTCAACTTTCTTGGTTGTTATTTTAATTTAAAGCCAAATTAATCTTGAGATTGTTTCTGACGTCTGGATTAATTAGACTCATACAAATACAATTTATTGCGTTTGTTTGTTTCAAGAGTGATAAAATAGGTTTATATGCACCAAAAATCAAAATGTTTTTTTTATATACTCAACTTTTATTCCTAAAGTAAATAATCGGTAAACTTGATTCAAACTTTGAAAAACTGATTTAATTCATTAAATTTAAAATCCAACCTAATTTAATTTGATTAAAAAAATCATCGATATAAATCTATTTAACTCAATTTTAAAATAACTCTCAAGTTTAAATTCAAAGTAACTTAAAATTGAGATGATTTAAACTTAAAAACAAATCAAAATGATTCAATCCAAACTCACTTAATTACCATACCTCTTTAGGATCTTTTGAACTTTGTGACTTCAAACTTGGGGGTTGTTAATTCTTCAAGTTAAGGAAAAAGAAACAGATTAATGTGTTAGTCCTCCACAATCATTTGTAGTTTGAAGTTGCTTCCAATTGTTCAAAGCAGTGCTAGATAGAATACGTGTAAGAGGTTTGTTGTATGCGGATAACAATGAAGAAGTCAATAGCGTGTAAGGAAGTTGGATCAAATGGTGATACCTTATACTTTTCTTTTCTTTTTTGGCTTTTTTCATGGATAGATCTTAGTTGGGAAGCTGGCAGATCAAAACATCGATCCCTATATAAACTCACTAAATGATAATGCAGTCGTTACTAAAGATATGGAAATGCAATATTTTTCCCTTGCAGCTATGTTTACTTTCATCAATATTTTTCCTTCTTGGCTGCTGCAGCCTGTTTGCAAACACTACTGATATTGTTAGATTTGATGAAAACTATGAAATTACATGGGGAAGTGATCATGTTTTGTCTTTAAATCAAGGAAGTGAAATTCAGCTCTCAATGGATATCTCTTCCGGTTATCTTCTTTCTCTTCTAACACTCGCTTTAATAGCTATAAATATACATAACATTATGCATGCCTTTTTTTTTTAAAAAAGAAAAAGAAAAACAGGCATTTATGTTTTATTTTGACTTAGTTGAAAATTTTGTTACATGGTTTATACCATCTTAGAGAATCTTTTATTTTTCTTAGAAATCTTAAACGTCAATATAATATTTATATGATACGTTTGTAGAATATTGAATTTTTAATTTTAATAATCAAAATTCAATCTTTAATAACTTTAAATTAATATATAAATAAATTTAAACCCTAATCATTAAAAATAAGAATATAATACTATATTAATAGATAATATCGTTGGTATCACTTATAAAGGATTGATTTAATCCACCGTTCTATCTTGACGTGTGGAATATTGAGGTGTTTTAAAATGTGGTGGAATTATAAAAAAAAAAAACCAATTACCAAATAAAACTTTGTGATATTCTTACTATATTTAACTTCTTCATTTTTTTTTATCACTATCGTTTATTGAAGAAATTATAAACAATCAATTACAGGAGCTGGGTTTGAGTCGAAGCTGAGTTATGGTAGTGGATTTTTTCATTTGAGGATAAAGCTACCCAATAAGGATTCTGCTGGAGTTGTTACTGCTTTTTACGTAAAATATCTTTCATTTCTGTTTAATTTCCTCTTGAATTTACCAATATTCTTATTGATTATTTGTAATGACAATTAACAGCTGACATCAAAAGGCAAGAGGCATGACGAGCTGGATTTTGAGTTCTTGGGTAATAGAGAAGGCAAGCCGATTAGCTTGCAAACCAATGTGTTCGCAGATGGTGTTGGGAATAGAGAGCAAAGGTTTCTTCTCTGGTTTGATCCTACTGCAGATTTCCACAATTACCAAATTCTTTGGAACCAACACCAAATTATGTACGAATAATCTCCCCTTCCCCTTTTTCTGCATTGCATGCCTTAATTACTATGATTATTTTCGCACCAATAATTCTGCAAAAATATATCTTTTTGAATTCAAAATTTAACTCAATTAATTCATGTACTTATTTTAAAAAATAAAATCTAATAAATTTAATATTCAACTTTGAACATCTATAAATTTTATTTATCGTCAAATTATGCTTATCACTTACTGTATGATCATATTTAAAGCATATGTATCTTTTAGTTAAATATGACGAGAATCTCTTCTCATTGCACTGAATTGCAGACACTATATATATAACTATATGTATAGGTATATTTATGCATATGGATTCCTGTGTTTACAGATTCTACGTGGACGACATCCCGATCAGGGTGTTCAAGAACAATGAAGATATTGGAGTTGTGTACCCGTCAAAGCCGATGAAAATAGAAGCAAGCTTGTGGGATGGAGATAGCTGGGCAACCGATGGAGGCCGAACAAAGACTAATTGGAGCATGGCACCCTTCAAAGCCCATTTCCAAGGATTTGATATAAGTGGTTGCTCAATAATTCAGAACTCAAGCAATATTCAACAGTGTTTTTCTCCCAATTATTGGTGGAATTCAGAGAAATATAGGAAGTTAGATTCCAAGCAACAAGGAGAACTGCAAAATGTAAGAAAGGAATACATGAACTATGACTATTGTTCGGATAGGCCTAGATACCCTGTTCCTCCTCCGGAGTGCCTTCATCAATAGAGTTCATGATCATGGGTTAATTTAAGTTGCTATATTAAATAATAATGCAGCTGATGTAATAAAAGAAAATGTTAAATTGTTCCACTTTATAAAATTATTATAGTTACTTTTTAATACTTTTTGAGTGATGAGTTATTTAAAAATCAAGTAATATAAAATCTAAGGTGTAATTTAGTTGATTTGAAATAACATTCAAATTATAATATTTATAATTTTTTAATAATGTATTTACCTCTTTTGATTTATATATGTATTTAATAATGCATATTTACCCATGAGTTAGGAAGTAGATTTTTATTACATTATCTTCCATGAATTAGGAACTAGAATAGTTAGTAACAGCATAAGGTGACCATTTCTCTCTTCTAACACTCACGCTTGAAATGATCAAGTTCCAATAAATTAACACAAAATACTTAATTTTGGTTTTGATTTGATTGCTTATTCTCTTTTATTATATTTTTTCCATAAAATAAAATTAGACATATTGATGAAGAGAAATGATAAGAAATTCATTGCAATTATCAAGCAATAATAAAAATTAAGGCAATATAATAAAATGATAAAATTTAAAATTTCAGGCATATAAATTTAATTACATTAATTCATATAATTATATAATATATTTGAGATTTAAATTTTTATATTTATAAATTTTTATTGTCGTTTATAAAAAGAAAAATAAAATTTCACCGGCCAATATGTTTTTATTATCCTAAAATCGAATGGGCTTACAAAGCCCAATCCACAATCCAAGATCTGCATCTGTGATTGGCCGAAGAAAAGAGAATAATTAAAATGAAAAAAGTCTTCACTGATCAGGTATTTTATTGAAAGTTCTGGGGACCGGTAGCTCACATGGCGGATTTCGTATATAAAGCAGCATAGTTTCAGTTTGCTAAGAAAACCCAGTAATGGCCCTTCTTCAAAGACCATTTTTTGTGCTACTTCTTGTACTAACTCATCAATTCATGCAATATTGGATTGCTTTTGGATCGGTCAATGAGGAAGGCCAGAAACAAGAAGAAGAATTCAATGAGGAACTACTATTGAAGCCGTTGCCAGATCGCAAAGTATTGGCCCATTTCCATTTTCAAAGCTCTGCCCCTCCTTCCACATCTAATGGCCGTCACCACCACATATTTCCTAAAGCCATTTCTCAATTGGTACTTTTTTATTATTTTATTTTATTTTTTCTTTTGGGTCACCGAGTTATCTTGGGTTTTTTTTTTTTGGGTATTTATGTTCTTTCATGTTGGTTTTGTTTAAATGGAGTTAGAGAAAAGTTAGCTTAGCCAAGTCCAAGTGGCTTTCTTCAGTTTCTGAATCTATTGGTAACTTAGAAAGGTGGTAGAAAAACCCAAGACTTGAAATCTTTCCTTTACTCTTCATACATTTATAAGCAAAATATTTAATCATTGCGTGGTGTAAAGAGGATTTTGGGTTTACTTGCTTTTGGTCTGCTTTTGTCTGTATGTTGATTTTTTAGGCTTAAGGATCAGGTTAAGTAAGGAGTAAGGGCTATGGACTGGAGTTGTCAACTCAGGTTGAGTCAATTTAAGTAGTTAGTAGACTGCATCAAGTTACCAAATAATCGGGATTTAAAATTTCGATTTATTAGCTTTTGTTTCATGATGAAAGATCGATGCATTATATTTGAGGTTAAATCTTATCATTATTATCTTTGGAGCACTCAGTTTGGCCTGAGTCAATTAAGGTAGGTCATACTGGTTCTCTCCTTTTTTTAAAGCCTTCTATTAGCTTATATACTTAAAAAATATCATTCAGCCTATATCTGCATTTTCCTAATCAAGTTATGATTAATTCATTATTTTCTGCATTCATAAATATACATGAGAATGAAATGTTCTTATGAACTCATCCAACCTTTTCAGCAATGTTATGGCTGACATGAAGTACTAAATTGGCTAGAAGTTTACCTGAAAAATATTACGCACGAATTGTGTATGTCTTGCATTAATTTGTCTATCTCTCTTTGTGTAAGGTAAAGATAAGAGTCTTGATAAACTTCCTTTTGTAGATTTTAAGAAATTAACAACAAAGATAAGTAGCTTTGTTGTAGGTATTAAAAGATTAACAATTACTCTAGTTGTTTTTATATAGGGACACTGGCCCTCCCTTGTACCCAAAAAAAATTAACAATTAAGGTAAGTCTTTGCAGTATTTGAAAACAGTGCATGACGATGAATATATTTGAACAGGTTCAGAAATTTCGAGTTAAGGAAATGGAGCTGTCTTTCACACAAGGTCGCTGGAACTATGAAAGCTGGGGTGGATTTGATCCCATACCAAGCAGCAATGCAAAGCCCCCTGGAGTTGAGTTATGGGCTGTCTTTGATGTCCCACAACATCAGATTGATGCTTCCTGGCAGAATTTAACACACACTCTCTCAGGTCTTTTTTGTGCCTCAATCAACTTCCTAGAGTCTACTACAACTTATTCTGCCCCAGAATGGAGTTTTCCACCCGCTTCAGGCAATCTGAGGTATGGTACATTGCCCCGTGAAGCTGTTTGCACAGAGAATTTAACTCCATGGCTGAAGTTGCTTCCTTGTCGGGACAAAGCTGGGATTGCTGTGTTACTGGATAGGCCATCAATTTACCGAGGATTTTATCATTCTCAGCGGTTGCATTTGACCTCAACTGGATCTGGTTCAGAGGGGATGGTTTCGGGCATCATATTAGAACAGACACTTACAGTTGTACTCCAGCCTAATAGTCAAAGGGCCGGTATGGCCTATGCTAGTGAAAGACATATTCAACCAAGCTGGTCTCTTACTTCAATTTTTGGGAAACAAGTTAGTGGAACATGTGTTCTTGCCAAGTCTAGTAATGTGTATCTTCTGCTTGACAGGGGCTTAGTTGCCGAACTAGAGCATCTACATAAAGAAAATGAAAAGTCTGCAGAAAATGGTTTTACCTCACAGAATTTTTGGACTAAGCCCAGCTTTGAGTTGTCTGCTGATCCAGACAGGATATTTATAGAAGAAAACAGTTTGCATAGCAAGGGCTCATCTGTTCTGTACAAGTTCCAAGTTGAGAAATACAGTGAATCTGAGCCATTTGATTTGAGCCTTACTTGGAAGATTCCTGTAGTTTGGTTGAGTCAACAAGCACCGTTACATGCTAGTAGGTTTTTGATGGGAAGTGGGAATGAGAGGGGTGCCATTGCCATTTCCTTAAAATCTACACAATTGAGTGAGGGATTCATGGGTGCTAATGCTGATGATGAAAGGTGTGACTTGCAAGTCAATGTTTTTCAAGTTGTGCCTTGGTATGTCAAGGTCTATTTCCATTCTCTGCAAGTGTTTGTTAATCAACAACCTAAGGCTATTTCAGATATTATTGAGAAGATACATGTTTCACCTTCCAAAGACAAAGTGTCTCCTGGCGTGATGGAGATGGTTCTGAAACTTCCTTGCAAAGTGAACTCAGCTGCTTTAACCATAGAGTTTGATAAGGTATGCTTTTCATTATGTCTATTTAGCTATTAGTTGATAGTTTTATAAATTCTATTCAATCAACACAAGTTATTTGTTTTACATGAGAAGTGAATTTGTTATTAAGGATTTGTTAAAACTTCTACTGTGGTCTGTAAAGGTAAGATGTTAGGCTAAGTAATATCAGCACTAAGTATTGGTGAGTTCTGCTGCTGCGTTGTAGTCCAATTTTTTTGCTTAAGACAGAAAATCTGTTTGTGTAAAAGCTACATCTGATAAAGTAGCCATATAAGATAGCAAATTGAATACCCTGAGTATACCTAATACTGACAGTCAGTGTATCTGAATTCAGACTTTGTCCATAAATGTTTGGAAGTTTGAACAAAAACCAATTAACTAATTCCATTTGATACAGGCAATCCTGAAACTTCTACCTATCCCAATCTATAGATTCTCAACCCACTGTTTAGTCCTTGAGCTGGATGCATAGGATGAATCCCACCGATACCTTCAAATTATATAATCTTTGCCTATGAAAAAAAAGGATAAATATTGCAGAAACTGCTGCTTCATTATAAAATGGAAAAGTAGCTGCTATCCTGATATACCACTATCAATCTAAGACATTCTCTGCTTTTGGATAATGACTATCTGTTTTGATGAAATTAATTATTTTGAACTGAAACAAAAATAGCATGCTTCTTGCTTGATGAATGATGACTTTAGTATGATTTCTGCTTCTTGGGGTATTGTTGATTAGTTGATCCTCTATTTTGATATGTCTGAATAGGGTTTTTTACATATTGATGAATACCCCCCTGATGCTAATCAAGGATTTGACATACCATCAGCTATTATAAGCTTTCCCAACTTCCATGCAAGCATGATTTTTCTCAAAGATGACTCTGTGAACAAGTCACCCTTGTTGTCAAAGTTTCAGGTATTAACCTCTTGATATTTCTAGTTCTAAACATGATCAATTTGTATTCTTCTTCTCATTTGATATTGACTTGATTTGTCATGCAGGAAAAGAGTCCTGTAATGTCTTACACAGAAGCATTACTGGTACCTTTGACAACTCCTGATTTTAGCATGCCTTACAATGTTATCACAATCACGTGTACAGTGTTTGCATTGTATTTTGGATCATTGCTTAATGTACTCCGAAGGCGTGTTGCTGAGGAGGAGAGATTTCTTAAAGAAAAAGGTAAATTTATTTCATGAAATAGGTCATTATCAGTTCTCTTGAGAATGTGGTTTTTTTAATTATGGTTTTAAATCGTAACATTAATCTCTTATATTATCATGGCAATAGCCCTTTTTGTGTAGTTAGTCAATACCACACAAGTCCAATTTGTCAAGTTCAATGCAAACTTTGGTAACATCTAGTAACAGCCATGTCTATCAGTATATCTAAGTACTTAACCTCATGGTCAGATGAGCAGGTTTGGAGGTGAACCTGAAATGAAAGGTGTTATACTTCACTTGTAGCTAATCGATCTTGAATATTTGGTCCTTTTAATAGTACTAGCTTCTAGTTTCTTGTTCTGATCTGGGATCTCTCTCTATCTTTCTGGTTGGCAATAGGGATATTCTCTCTCTCTCTCTCTCTCTCTCTCTCTCTCTCTCTCTTCTTTGTTTTGATTTTTCTTTAACAGGCTTTCATATTTGTTGGGAGAATGCAGGTTTATTACATAATTTGTAGTTCCTCAGAACATCAATAAAAGGTCTTTAAGGATTGCATACTTGGTAGTGTACAAAGATTGGACTTTATTAAAAATCTGAAGTAAAAGTAGAAAACCACAATTTTTAATTTTTGCAGCTGAGTTCAGCTTTACTTTGTATGCTCTTGATTTGCTTTAAGATGAAATAGGCAGTTGAGGTCTGATATCTTCTAAACGTCCATCTTCATTAATTTTCCTCTCCCTGTCATTTCTAAAGAATATTGGTTGGAAAGGTAAATATTGGTTGGAAAGGTAAAGGAAGATCAGGAGCAGCCACCAGAAACCAAAATTTATGTGGTTTGGTTATTTAATTACATTATATATGGTCTGGCAAACCAGTGCTCATGTTTTGATTGCAGCTTTTGATGATTTAACTATCTCATCTTCCCTCAAACTGATATTTACCTTTTATTGTTCTGCTTGCAGCTGCCAAGAAAACTGGTCGGCTATCTCTGCTGCTATCGAAGTTGTCTGCCAAGCTTAGAGGTAGACAATGGGAACCTCCTTCTTCACCCCCAGCTTCATCATCCTTCATTAACGCTAAATTAGTATTCAAAGTCATACTGGTAGCTGGACTTGCTGTAGGTTGGCAATACTTTTTTTCATGAAGTTAAAAATATAGAGTTTTTCAGTACACAATATGAGCAGAACGACAGAATACTGAACCTCAGAATTTGTGAAAAGATCATGTTCTTCCAAAATCCTATGTGACTCAATTTTGTATCATTTTGAGCTACTCATAATATTCTTTTACTTTTTGAAATTTGACTAACCTTTGTTTCACATATCTATTCTCATCTGCATAAGGTCATTGAATTTCGAGCTCCTTTGGTTTAAAGGCTTGTATAAAGATATACTGGTACGAAAAGGAAAATTGATCAATTGTCATTTTTAGCATGTCTGCTATGGTTATTTCTTGAGGCTGTTCCTCACATTGCTGAAGTTTAACCCCTAATAATTTCTTTTCTCATCATTCATAAAGTGGCCATTAAGCTCAACCGTTGTGGGTCTAGCCCGAATGCTCGAGTATCGAACCAAGGTCCTGTTTCTGGCCATCCCATGCCACGAATCGAACTAACTTCGATACCGAAGGACAGAAAAGCTTGATTGATCTTGGCTTGTCTCTGCTATCACCAGACATCCATTTCAATCTCTCTTTTTAGCGTTTCTTCCTTTAGCTCTAGAAGCTTTGTTGCATGGGTACAGATTTTTTCTTTTTCATTTTGTATTTGATAATCTTACGCTAGTTTGCTTCTAACTTCCGCCGACTTCTGGAGCTTAACCACTTAAGGCTGTGACATGGCCCAGTTTACTTGCCTTACACATGGATCATGAAAAACGAAGGGATTAAAAATAGAGGTCTCAAACTATTGCGGGTATGTTTGTGTCACAGTCCTCACATGAAATCAAAAATCTCACATCGGTTAAGTATTAAAATTAGTCTTGAGATATAAAAATAAGTTATGAAATATTTTTTATGAAATAAAATTATAAAATCAAATAGATTAAAGCGGATAATATTTTACAAAAGTATGAATTGTGACAAGTAAATTGATTTAAAATATTGAATGTGTGCATATTCAAGTCTTAGAGTCGGACGAGTCTAGAGGTTGAGTTTCGGCTTGTGACAAGTGATATCAGAATTAATTTTGAGAGTACTAACAATGTACCATCAAGGACGATGAATCCTCATTAGAGTGAAAGAAGATGTCACAGTTCTGAAATGAAGTCAGAAATCTCAAATAGATTGAGTATTAAAATTGATTTTGAGATATTACGAATTTGAACAGATAATATATACATTCAAATCATTATCAACAGAAAAATAACTTTTTTTATTAACAGAAACATAAGATGAATAATAGATACATTCAAATCATTATCAACAGAAAAAGAATTTTCTTTATTGACAGAAACAGAAGATGAACAGGAAAATATCGATTCTGATGATTGAGTCAAAATTTTGAAATTTTTATTCAATATAGTTATAACTAATCCCGACAATCAAACAATTATAAAAAAATCTAATGAAATAAAAGAAATAAGTAAAGAAATTCCTCGATGGTCATACAAACTACTCGACATTTTCGAACAACACCATAGAGAAGGCGAGGAACACAGGGCAACAGATTATACAATTCGTTCAAGAATCTTTCGGTACGCAATAATTTTTTCTAAGAAGGAGTTAAATGATGATTTTATTATACTAAACGATATACTTGTGACAAGTGATATCAAAATCAATTCTGATAGTACTAACGATGTACCACCGAGGACGATGAACCTTCATTAAAGTGAAAGAGGATGTCACAATTCTAAAGTGAAATTAGAAATCTCAAATGGATTGAGTATTTGAATTGGTTTTGAGATATAAGGGTTTATATTTTTTTTTTTTTAAGATAAAATTGTGAGGTTAGATAAGTCAAAATGGATAATATTAGGATTGGCATCAGGTCGGATTCGAGGCGGATTTTGCTCACCCCGAACTCGATCTTACCCGAAATTTTTTTTTTTTTTTCATACCCGAACTCGAACTCAACCCGATATTATATAAATCGTACCTAACCTGACCCAAAATTAATAAAATATTATTTTTTAAATATAAATATTTAAAAATATCATTATATAAATATATATATATAATTTTAAAAATAATTAAAAAATTATTTTTATATATATCGGGTCGGGTAGGGTCGGGTTTGCCTAAAATTCGACCCCGACTTTTTCTTCATGCCACCCGACCCGACCCTACACGATACCCGATTTTCAAAAAAAAAAAACCGACCCTAAAAGGTCGGGTCAAACAGGATTCTCGTCGGATATGAATTTTTTTAACTTTTTTAGACAATATCTTATAAAAATATAAATCATAACAAATAAATTAATTTAAAATATCAAATAAATACATGTTCAGATCTTAAAATTACATTAGTTTGGAGGTTAAAGTTTCGGCCGTAACATTTGTAGGTGCTTGGAACGAAGGTTCTTTGCGTGTGAGCTAATACCGAGGGCGACCCAAAGATATATAAAGAGAGGGAATCAAATTATTGCCAAAGAAAAAGGCAAGAAGCAAAGGGAATGATCCAAACCCGAAATTGCCATGGCTTTCCAATGCTTGGAATACTTATAGAATCCTCATTCACAAACCAATTTCTGCACTTTTCAACGGTTAAATTGTTGGGTTTTCTTCCAAGAATCCCTTTTTTCATATAAACCCCATTTCTTGTCATTTTTCCCTTCATATCACGATCCTAACCTTTCTTGGATCTTGTCTTCGATGCAGCCCCAACAAGGTATGTTTCATTCATGCAGTTTAATTTAATTTTTGGAATTTATCATTTACTACTCTTTTCATTATACAATAGAAATTCCTGTTATGGTAGTAAAAATGAAATCGCTTGAAGAACTTGAACCATTGGGATTCCCACGGGACCGAGCAGTTCGGGCACTTCATTATTCAGGTGAGCTTTTGAATGCAAAATGTGATGCATTTACAATATTTATTCAAAAAATATGTGCTTTACTTTCCCATGTAATTTATTTTCAAGGTTAAGGATATAGTTTGTCTGATGTCTTCTTCTAGAGCTATTGTGAACCTATATGTATATTTTATTAACATGAATCTTTCTGAACTGCGCAGGTAATACTACCATTAAGGCTGCTGTAAATTGGCTCATTGATCATGAGAACGATGCAGAAATTGACCAGATGCCCTTGGTAGGGTTTTCACCTTCTTGATAGTGTTTCCTTCGTACCATTTTATTGGACTTTTCATAGGTAACACATCCCATTAGATGAGTACTTGGTTTTAGGTTTTCAATCTTAATCTTATAAAATGCAGTTGTTTTACGCCTTTTTTAAAAAAGTAACATAGGAATGTTCATTTACATAAATCATGACTCAGAGCAAGCTGAGAAAAAGTTTAGCCTATTGAAGGATGAAACCGACTCTCTTTGAAAGTTTTAAAAATTGTTAAAAACAATTTGTTGCTTTGTAGTGTATGCATTAGGCAAAGATGTATGGTTCCCATCCAAACCAGCCTCTCTTCCCACACCATAATCAGCTATTTAGTTTATTTTTCTTTTCTCTAGTTTCTCCTTGCCATGTTACTAGGTTCTAGGTTCCAGATATATTCTTGAAATTTTTACTAGTATCTTTTAGCTTCAATTTCATAGGTCTCATTGCTACATTTCATGAAAGAAGTATCCGATTTGGTTCATATATCGATATATTTTGCATGGAAGGGCTTGAAAATCTTCAGTTTTTATTTTGAATCCTTTGTCACAAGAATTTCTTCTCACAAGAATTTCTTCTCTTTGTTCAATTAAATCCAGGTGGCTCTAAACATGGATATCGAGTCCCCTCAGCCATCTGATATCACAGAAGCAATACAAATTAAAGAACAGGAACTAAGGTTTGACTTCAACAATCCCTTCGTGAAGAAAGCTCTTACACCCTTTCATGACTGTTAAGCTTTCCTATTTGATTGTCTTCCCTCAGCATCTATAACTACCCCTTTATGTTTTGATGCTTTATTCTATCTTGATTTTGACTTTGTTAAGACTCATACTACCCTTTTCAACCTGTTCCTTTTCATGCTCATTAAGCTGCTCACTCTTAGGGACTGAGTTCGCAAAAAGAAAGAAGAAGAAGAAAAGAAAAGTGAAAGTGAAAGGGAGAAGGTGTTGTTTAATCATTGATTTTGTTGGTTTTACCACTGTTTGCATCTAAGGCATTTTAGTTAGTATAACCTACCTTCTACACCTTTTGCAGGAAAGAATTCGGGCAGGTAAAGAACTGCTTGAAGCAAAGAGAATTGCAGAGGAAAATGAACGACAACGGTTTGTTTTAATACTCCATACATATGATCTTTCTATGCAGAAATTTTGTGCCTTATATCTCCTCTACTTTCTTAAAGCAATGACACCATTCCTTATCAATTTCTCGATGCATATTTATCAGCCTTTTAGCCTTGCGAAAAGCAGAGAAGGAGGAAGAGAAAAGGGTAAGGGAAAAAGTGCTTCAGCAGTTAGAAGTGGATAAGGTCTTTTCTAATTCTTACTATTTTCTGACCAAAAAGGGGTACATAAATTCTTACTATGTTATTTTGAATCTCATTATGTTCTTGAAACTGCATGTGATTCTAACAGTTCTTATAACTTCACAGTTAGAAAGAAAACGAGCACTTGGATTGCCACTTGAAAGCTGAGCTGTGAAACCATCTGGACCTATTATACAAGAAAAAAAGGTTATATATATCTTTCAAATAGTATCTCAAAACACAAGGAAACTGTATTTTATGGAGAATATAAGAGATCTTATTGGGCTTGATCCTGTTAAAGTTGCAGAATTCCTTGCCTGTCGAGTCTGTTAAAAAGGCTGACCGCATGAGAGAATGTCTAAGGTCTCTGAAGCGCACTTACAGGGTAAGCAATTTCTTAACTCATTGTTTTCATAGCTAATTGAACAGAACAACTAATAGCCTATATATGTTAGAATTGTCTTCATGTGTATGAAAATGTAAATCTGGAAACCAGATTATGTCATTGAATTTAGTAAATTACGGATAATCCTTCTAGACAACACTGATGCAACTAGAATTTTTAGAAACCTTTAATGAGGTGAATTGTCTTTATCCACACCTGCTTAACTAGTGTCACTGCTTGGTTTGAAAGCAATTTTAAATCCATTTTCTTATTAACTCACAGAACTTTAATCTTGAAAATATCCATACTAATTGCAGGTACACATATTTTAAGCTCTACAATCCCCCCCCCCCCCCAAGAGTCTGATAGAATTCCTACTTCCATTTTTATATTTTGCAGGCTTAAACAACATTGTCCGTTTTATGTACTCTGTCTAGTAAATTTTACTTTAATCAACATGATTCTCTGGTTAATTTTATTCCAGGGTGATAATGCCAGAGTTAAAAGGGCATTCCAAACCCTGTTGATTTATGTCGGAAATGTTGCAAGGAGTCCGGATGAGGAAAAGTTCAGGAAGATTCGACTTAGTAATTCCAGGTAAGGTGCCTTTTTAATTGGTGTCATTATCTGATTGAAGTGTGCGGAGACCTTCTCTATGTATGTATCAGTATTTTTTTGATGATGATGCACTTTTCTTCTGATCAGGAAAGGGTTGGAAGCCTGAAAGGAGGGATTGAGTTTCTTGAGCTTTGTGGGTTTGAGAGAAGTGAAGGGAACGACTTCTTGGTTTTTCCTCGTGACAATGTTGATATAGAATTGCTTAACTCAGCTGGTTCTCTGTTAAAATCTGCAATTACAAATCCCTTCTTTGGTCTTCTTGAACAGATAATAGAAGACTAGCGTTGTAATATCAGGTTTAATGGACATTAGTTGAGTGTGAATGCTGAGAGGGTGACCATAAATGAATAAAAGATTGGAATGTATAGCAAAACTTCTAGTAACTTTCATGTGTCTCAGTGTTTGCTAATGTTGCACAAAGCAATTGCTCTGCACAATCTTTAGAGTTTGGAAGTAAGTGTTTGATGTATTTTCTTTATCTTTTCACGTCGAGAAAGTTAAAATTTCAGCAAATAAGGAATCATGAGAGGAACTTCTGGAAAACAGAACAAATAACAGTGACGAAGAAAGTTAAAAAGGCTTGCCTATCAGGACCTTCTCGACCACAAAAGTGGACTGTAAAATTATATTCACTAATGTTACATCCTTCTAACACCGAAACTCAACTAGCCTCCAATTTCCCTAAACTTATTAAATGCAGTTCACACTAACCAACGCGGATTCTCTTCGAGCTCTACATAAAACTCTTATCATCTGTCACCTAGTCTAACCCTGTCACCTTCCTGGCACCTTCCTATCACTGTCTAAACACCGTCATGCAGTCCTTATATAAGGTAAACAGGTGGTCCACGTATGCTCATGAATAATCCTTACAAGTTCTTTACTTTTAGGCTTTTCGTACACTCCATCTTCTTTCTCCTCCGACCCTCATATATTTACGTGTATCAATTAGTTCGTTTTTGTGTAGTTAAAACCTAAAAAATATACTTTTCTCCTTCCGATCTTCAGCATGCAGCTTGGATCCAGTTCTAATTGAGACTACATAACTGTTACTTTGAATGTTCAGTTCCATTTGAAGCCACATAAATGTTACTTTGAATGAACATTCAAGCCGAACCAAAAGGGCAGGTTGCGGCTAAAGAAGAAAATTCCGAAAATGCTGACTGTGGAACAGTTTGGTTGAATTGATACTTTCCAATTTTGTATGTTAAAGTTTTCACATTCCTTTCAATACTTTTCAAGAGAAGTATTAGTTTCACCCAAAGGGGAAGAGCTCAACTTTTAGAAAAATCAATTCAAAGGGCAAAAGAACAGGTCAAAGATAATTCCGTGTATGTAATTGGCTTTAGAAAGACCAGTCAATTCAAATGTCACCATAGTTTTTCTGACAGGTATATAATCTCATAGCACAAACATCAATCAGATGTTTTTGTCTACAATTTCATGGTGGTCATGAAAGCCAGAGGATTTAGCACTGTGGTTTTCTTCCTCATCCTATCATGTTTATGGATGGAAGGGCCTTGCACATCTCATGCACAGACTGACACCCTTAGACCTGGGGAATTCATCGGGTTCTTGGACTCACTTGTTTCAGCTAATGGGAGATTCAGGTTAGGTTTCAATCGTTTTGTCGACTCCAGCAACAATGATTACCGTTATTTGCGAATATCGTATGATGAAGATGGCGCAACAGTGTGGGTGGCTAACCGAACCACTCCTGTTTTTGGTAGTGGTGGCAATTTCACGATGGATGCAGATGGCTTTTTGAAGATTATGCACGACCAAGGGAGTCCAATAGTCTTGAATCCAAATCGAGCTTCGAGAAACTCATCAGCTCTCCTACAAAACGATGGCAATTTTGTATTGACAGAATTGAACCCGGACGGCTCCACCAGGCAAATCCTGTGGGAAAGCTTTGATTTCCCAACAGACACCTTGCTGCCTGGGATGAAGCTAGGTGTGAACTTACGAACTGGGCAAAGGTGGGTACTTACTTCTTCCATAAGTAATAATGTTGCTACCCCCGGAGCTTTTTCTCTTGAGTGGGGTAACAACGGGAGTGGCATAGAGCAACTAATTGCAAGACGTCGAGGAGAGGTCTATTGGACAAGCGGGGCCTTGAACTTGAATGATCGCAGCTTTGAAAACATTTTATGGATGACATTTTTTCCAAGCAACTATAATTTTAGCTATATTTCTAACGAGAACGAGAGCTACTTAAGCTATTCTGTTCTGGATGGGGCTCTTTCAAGATGGCGCTTGAACCCGGAAGGGGGGATTTCTGATATCCTGAATCCAGTCTTTTTGTCTAGTGCTGCATGCTACAGGAGTCCGGGTTGTCAACTCCAAGAACCAGCATGCAAAAGTGAAACAGATGCGTTTTTGCAGCGACCAGGTTTATTTAGGGGTTTTCCATTATCATCTGAGGGGAATTTAAGCATTGGTTTAGGAGACTGTTCGGCTCAATGTTGGAACACGTGTTCTTGCGTCGGTTATGCCACTCTTCATACAAATGGAACTGGGTGCGAGTTGTGGAGCAGAGATTTGAACTTTTCAGTAATTGAAACAGGAAATAGCCGAATTGTCTACGTGTTAAATTCGACGTTAGCAGAAGGTGGATCAGATGCAGTAAATGGTAATGGTAATGGTAAGTCTCTCCTGAAAAACATAATTTATCTTGCTTGATCTGGTTGCACTTTTTGTTTTAATCTCTTCTCTGTGTTCTCTTTTTTTGTTTAGAAAACAATTGGTGGATCTGGATCATCATTGCATTTGCAGCCGTGCTGATAATACTTGCCTTGGGCTTCTTGTGTTATCAGAGGAGGAAGAAACTCCAAGGTAAAATCCTCCCCTTTCCCGCAGACTCAGAGGCAATATGTTTGTTGATACAAAAATTGATTCTAACTCTAACCGTGCATCCAAATTTGAACAGAAGATAAGGAAAGGGAGGACGAAGATATATTACTCGAATTAACTACCTCAAATGAGATTGGCAATGATGGGAGGAAAGGTCATGATTTGAAGGTCTTCACTTTTGCTTCTATAATGGCTGCTACAAATGACTTTTCATCTGAAAACAAGCTTGGAGAGGGTGGTTTTGGCCCTGTGTACAAGGTAAATTCTAACAAGGACTATCAAGAAACTAAGTTATGTTCTAATTGACATCGACATTTGAGGCTTAAGTACTTTATTTCTATACAATCTTATCAGGGAAAATTACCCGATGGCCAAGAAATAGCAGTGAAGAGGCTGTCAAGGAGTTCGGGACAAGGACTAGTGGAATTTAAGAACGAACTCATTCTTATTGCCAAACTTCAGCATATGAATCTTGTCAGACTTTTGGGTTGTTGTGTTAAGGGAGGAGAAAAGATGTTGATCTATGAATTCATGCCCAACAAAAGCTTGGACTTCTTCCTTTTTGGTTTGTATTACTTTCCCACTTTCCACTCGTATCTTCTCCATTGCTAGTGTTTGATTCGATCATTATGAATCAAAAAGGGACACGTACAAAATTTGCAGATCCAACTAGAAGAGAGCTACTGAACTGGACGACACGGTATAGCATCATTGAGGGAATTGCTCAAGGACTTCTTTATCTCCATAGACACTCTAGATTAAGAGTCATCCATCGAGATTTAAAAGCAAGTAATGTTTTGCTTGATGGTGATATGAATCCAAAGATTTCAGATTTTGGAATGGCTAGAATTTTCGGCCGAAAAGAAACTGAAGCAAATACGAACAGAGTTGTCGGAACATAGTAAGTAGATGCTAAAATGATGATACATTTTCTTATTTGTATTCAAAAGGCCAAAACATTTTTATTTTCACTATTGCAGCGGTTACATGTCACCTGAGTATGCTATGGAAGGCAATTTCTCGGAAAAGTCAGATGTTTATAGTTTTGGAGTCTTGTTATTGGAGCTTGTCAGTGGCCAAAAGAACAATAGCACTTTTCATCATCTTGATCGGCCCATGAATTTAGTTGGATATGTTGGTTTTCTGAATCTCAACTATTTTTCTTTGTTGTTAATAAAGCTTCTGATCTTTCAGGCTAACCCATTAGTCCTTGGCTGGTTTCTACTTGCAGGCTTGGGAGCTTTGGAAAAGAGAAAGAAGCATTGAACTACTTGACTCCAAAATAGGTGACAAAAATTTTAGATCTCAGGCATTGAGATGCATCCATGTGGGTCTCTTATGCGTGCAAGAGTCTGCAATAGACAGGCCAAACATGTCTGATGTCATATCTATGCTTGCAAACGAAACCGTGCCACTTCCAGCTCCTAAACAAAATGCATTTTCCACTCATCAAAAATTGGTGGAAATATCACTGTCTAGATCTGTACAAGAAAGTTGTTCAATCAGTGCATCAGTTTCAGATATAGAATCTCGGTGAAGATGCATATATTCTTACAACAGGGAAGTTATACAGAAGTAGTAGCAGAAGAGCTCGTTCGTTCTGCTCTACAGAGATTTCAAGTTTCCCCTATTTTCTTTTATTTATTTCTGTACACTAGGAAAATGATCCCATCAATCTTTTATACGAGGTAAAATTATGTAATAGATCTTTATATTTTATTTAAATAGCGAAATAATTTTTTTAATCTTTTCGAATTAAAATTTTATATTTTAATAAATTATTAAATTTAATCAAATTATTAATGATTCAAAATTTTTGTATTAAAATTAGTGACCTGACCTATTAAATGTTTTACGTTGCATGTTGATTTTTTAACATTTTTCTTTGTGACTGTTAGCTTTATTAAATGTGTTAAGTCCACGTAAAAAAAATCATGACATGGCAAAAATTTTTGTCTAATAGATACAAACATTTAAAATATTGACTTGTTCGGCGTATCACTGGGATTAAGGACGAGACAAGACAAACCCAATTTATGGAATTTAGATTGATGGGCTTCTAAGGGGCATTACCGACTCTTTATCCTTTGTTTTTGGTTTTTTAACGAAACGCCACGTTTTGGTTCATCATTCTAGTCGGTTTTGTTAGAGGAACTAATTCCCAAACACTCTTTATAAAAGGAGAAAAATTAAATTCCCAAACAGTCCCTTCGCTTCAATCATTCACCAAATTCGAAAGCCAAACAAGTGAAAAGAAAATTTTAGCTAATCTACAAACTGGGGGAGTGAGAAACTCCGCTTTTAAAACAAATATCTTCAAATTCCTAATAAGAAGAAATCAATGTATTTTTTTATGCATTTATATTTACTCAATACAAAATAAGGGCGAGGGGGTTTTTGATTTTTTTTCTTTTTTTTTCCCTTATGCTAAGCTAGAATTTTTTTTCTTAGTTTTAAAGTCCTCAGGAAGGGCAGTTTTTCTTTCTTAGTTTTTGATTTCGTCGGCTCTTTCTCTCGTGATTTATAAAGATTAGGGTTAGGGTTAGGGTTAGGGTTAGGTTTTTTAATTGGCTGATAGAGATGTATGCTGATCGAGTGGATGAGGGTTCTGGCAAAAGGTCGGTAAAGGAGAGACTCAATGGCAACTCCTCCGACAACTCTATTTGGCGGCGTCAAGTCACTGGCAAGAGGTTTCGTTTTGTCTTTATTTCTGTTTGTTTCCACGGAGTATAATTGGTGAAACAAAACTGGGTTTATTTGCCTTAATAGGAATTTTCCTTTTTTACTTATTTATTTTAGTGTAATGCAGTAATTTAACTGTTTTCCATTGTGCTTGGCCAAAAAAAAAAAAAAAAAAGACCTGTTTACCATTGTGTTGGTATTTTTGGATGATGAATCAATTTCGCTTTTGACTTTGCCTTGAATATTTTAGTTTAATATGCTGTGAAAGATTTTAGATAGAGTTGATGAGTGCATTGGAGTTAAAGACTATTTAAATAAAATAAACATGGTTTTTATTTAAAGTAACTAAATTCAGGAGTCAGATTTGTGTTGTCCGTTTCCTAAATCCTTGAAATTAAGTATGATGCATAGAAAGAAGGGAGGGGTTGGGGGCAGAGCCTTTGAAATTTTAGCTTTCAAAGTATGTTGGTTGCAATGAACGTAATGAGTTATTTCCTTTTTACTATAAAGTATTAAGTATTTTGCATTCGGTGCTCAATAAGCGGTCTACTCGCTTCTCCTAGGGGTAAAGAAAGAAAACGGAGGAAAGTCCAAGGCACTGTCAGTTTACTGATGTGGTTTTTATCTTTTGATCTACTTCATTCTTTTGACCCGCTCCAATTTTCTTATTTGTGCTTCTTGCTTATGAACTTAGGCATTTGTGGTTTGAGTTTGTAAGGGTTGATTTTGCCTCTTGGGCATCAATATTGCTAAAATATATATCCTTTTCATTTAATGGTGATAGATTTCATCTGATATTAGCTGGCATCAGTCGAATTTGGTTTATGTTCCCTTATGTCCACCCAAAAGAAAGAAGTTGAATTTGGTTTATTTGCACTTTGTGCCTTAATTCTCCTAATCTGTGAACATCTTCATGCCATATCTTTTGCAGGCAGAGGCAAGATGAAAAGTGGGAACATGATCTTTACCAAGACGATGTACCTCAAGTTTCAAGTATGGATTGCCTGACACAATCACATGAACTAAAATATTGCTGCTATAGTTGGATGCAACTAAATTATCTCTATTTGGTTTTGACTTTATGTTAATGGTTTGTGAAGATCGTAAAGTCGATGCTCGAGATCTTCGTTTGAAGCTCCAAAGGAAAAGTCTCCAACATGTGGCTCAAAGTGGAAGGGGAACTCTCTCAAGTGTACATGATCTTCGTGAAAAATTATCTGGAACAATGAATACACAGCCAATAAATGTTGATCCATCAAAACTGAAAGTGGAAGTTGCCAAACCAGCCAGGAAAAGTGTTGCAGTTGAAACTCCTGAACCAGAGCCCAAAAGGGTTGCACATACAACAGCAAGAATGAAGTCTCAGCAAAAGGCATAGAACTTCTGCTCTTTTTGCTTATTATCTTCCCTTACCATTTTAGCTGTTAGGAACACCCCCCATCTTCTCCCTCTTCCCTAAGTTAACACAAGACAATGGAATTGCTAGCATTTTTGTTTGCATTTTATCATAATATATGTCATGATATTTTTATACCTTGACATGCAATATTTTTTAGTGCTTTATGTTTGTTGGACAAGCATGATACATCAAAGTTCTGTTTTATCTTCTTCTCTGTTTTCCTCATGTCAGAGGTGTATGCATATGTGTTTAGGTGGGTGGATGGGCAGGTGGGTGGGAGAGGGGGATTTTAAAAACCTGCTATGTAATGGCATGTGTATCCCTAGGGCTTGTTTACAATGGTTTGTAATGCTTGATAAAGTGAACTCAGTAAACTTGACCTGTCAACTTTGGATTGCGGGGGGAAGGGTTCAAAAACCTGCTATGTAATGGGATGTATATCCCTAGGGGTTGTTTACAATGGTTTGCAATTCATGATGAAGTGAACCGAGTGAACTTGACGTTGTCAAACTTGGATTGCAGAGGGGATGGGGAAAAGTTGACCTGTCAACTCTGGATTTTAACCCATCATTAACTGAAATTGGAATGTGCTGCATAGTGTTGGCAGTTTGAAAGTCCGATAGGTGGGGCAATGAACCATGTTATGACGCTTTAATGCTAAGTTATGGATTTTGTGGAATATTGAAAAAGAAGTTAATAAGTGTTCTCGTAAATGGAATTATAACTGTCCCTGAGTTTGCACTTTTATATCTTTTTTTTTTTTTTGGTTCCCTTCTATTCTTATTTAATCCAAAATGGTTATTTTGTACCCATTCTGCTCTTGCTGTCTGATGACTTTTTAGGTTCTGAACCCCAAATAAAAAGGATTAAATGGATAGCCTATGTTAGCTGTTTAAGGTGCAATTCAAGAGCCATTCCCCCATTATGTTTTCAAGTCCTGAGTCTTACCAATATGTGCTGTTGTAGTTATATTTTCGTGTCTAAGCCATGTGGTTTCTTATGCAGGCTGATACATCAGTTGAGGGCTTCCTCCAGTCTTTGGGTCTTGAAAAATATGCAATTACTTTTCAAGCAGAGGAAGTATGTGGTTTTATGCTTTCTTCTGTATATTGTAAATTTGCCCCTTTTATTTTAAATCATACGGTAAAGGAATTTATGCGCCCATTATAAGACATAAACCTCGTTCTGCAGGTTGATATGACTGCTCTTGTACACATGACTGATGAGGATCTGAAAACTTTAGGCATACCAATGGTAACTTCGAACTTTAGACACATGGATGCAATTACGTTACTCTTCCACTTTGTTTTGTCCAGTTTTTAAATTTGAGATTCTCCAAATGTTTTTCTCTTTTAAAGAGCCAAGGCATACCTTCTTAACTTTATGAGGATGTCCCTTTTTCACCTAGAAAATCCCTTTATTTTGCTTGCTTTTCTTCTACTTGCATATGATCATTTGGGAGTGTTATTGGAATTAATAGTTTAAATGCAATTAAATTCAATTGGAATTCTTGGAATGTACAGATAATTAATGATGAAAGCAGTCTTAGAAAATCCTTTTATCAAGGTAATTTGAAAATATGTCACTTTACTTCTTTAGTCCAATATAATGCACGTCCTTTCAGCTTACAGGCTTTAAAGAATTTCCTTCACGAAGCAAACTTTTACTGTTTATCTTTCTCTTTTTCTGTTATATGCATGTATCGTGAGTATTCTATTTTCCCTATTTTCTACTTGTTTTCTCTTCCCTACACTTTGGTTTCAGGAAGTGTTTGGGTTTACTTCCAGGGCCCGAGAAAGAAGATAATTCTCGCGATGGAATCTAGAGGCTGATATTTGGAGTTTTAGCAAGTGGTTGTTGAGGGCTTGTGTTTTGGCTGATAAGACCTTGCATGTAGCAATTGGTTTTGGTATTTATTTTTTCTCAGCATTATTGACAAAAATATAGCTTCGTCAGCTTGTTATTGAAATCAAAGGATGGAGTTTTGTTAGATTACAAGTGGGTGGGAGTTCCTTTTTTCTTTTTTTTTTTCATTAGTGGCTTCAGTTAGAAACTTTAAAGAAATGTATGTGCCGCATTGTCTTAATATTTTAGGAAGCTTTCTGAAATCTAAATCAGTGTAAAGGGTGATTTTGAGCTGAAATAATGTGTCACGTAATGAGAACCCCGCTTCTTTATATATCATGGGGCCAGCAACTGTGTTATAAGCCACTCGAATATACAGTCTGTGTTTTATTTTTACCCCCTAGATGAAAGATAAAAGTTTTAACTTCTGCATCTTTCATTGTTAAGTAAATGTAGTTTTCTTTTCCTATGGTTTTTGTCGTCAAAAGGCTTTAATAAAAGGAAGGGGCCTCAAGAATACGCTACACTTCTGTTGATTTTCATCGCTAACCAATAACAGTCTGCATATATCCAAGACTTCTACCCATCAAAATAGTCTCAAATTCTTGATTTTTCATGGCTAACCAATAAAAGTCTGAATATATCCAAGACATACTACTCATCAAAATAGTCTCAAATTCTAACATTTTTTCTTAATAAATTTTCTATGGTATATGACATCAGGTAAATTGCTACAGATACAAGCACGCATAACGTGTTTCAAAAATCGTGTTTCTCCCAAGGCTAAATTGTTTTTTGAACTTCTCCCGTGGCTAGTTATCTTCCTATCTAGCTGTTGCAGCCTTTGCTTGATGTCAATCTTCGATCCAGGGAAACACTTAAGATGCTGTGTTTGATTTAGCCTTCCAAGCTAGATACTTGGCCTTTTCTTTCTTATATCTTCTCAATTCTCTTAAAGCTGCAAGCCCAATATGCATAGAAACGGGCAAAAAGAACGGCTGTACAAATAGAAGAAATGTCATTGAGATTTGTAATCCAAGTCCAATAGATCAATACAACTAATGGTAACCTTGTAAATAATTTGCTTTAATGAACATAGATACTAGTTCAGAAACCAGAGGTGACAAGAATGCAGACTAAGAAGAAAAACTTGCAGAATGCTATGTTGTAAAGGAAAGGAAAAATAATTCACAGGATTTTGTATGTAATTTCCAGCTTTAGATCATTTGGAAGATAATTTTCCCTCCCTTCCATGGCCAATGAATACTTCATATATTCTTCTTTACATACCTTCAATTGAGTATTTAACTGTCAGAGACCACTTAATGCCAATAGCACTCAAACGAAATCTCATGATAAGAAGCAATAAAGAGCATGCTTCGGTAAGAAAATCTCAATTTCTGATTAATCATTATCAAGAGAGGCATGAAAGTTTCATTTAACTAACCGAGTAGACAGCAAAACAGTGCTCAAAGGAATAGTAGCTGACAGACATAATAGATGGGTGGAAAAAGGAATCCTCTGCCAGAGACCTTGCTTTTCTTGAGGAAGCTGACAAAAAAGTGTAAAATGTTTGTTGAAGTGGACTAGCTGATAATAGATTTCGATTTTAAGACACAATTGAACAATAATCTAAAGGTAAGTTTAGGAACATACCAGCTGAAGATTCATATACTCCACTAGAAGCATTACTTTGTGCCAGCTTTGCTGCCTCAAGAGAAAGCTTTACCTACTCAAAGACACCACCATAAAATTAAATACTGGTAGTTCAATGATTATTTTCAAACAGATGCTTACATATGCAAGTGCTCCTATAAATACACTTATAGTCCAGCTTAATATCTTACCTGTTTTCCGATCTCATCCATAATAATCATCCTCGGCAGTGATTGAACCTGCATTAAAATTTGTCATATGTAGCAAAAATTCTTATCCAAATCAGACAGTCCTTTTTCTAACACCAACACATACCAATCTTGAAAGAGATCCAAGGGTTGTAGCACATGAATGAAGATTAAAACATGTGTGCTGCCGTGACAAGACATCCACTTCCCTGGCCAAGAATTGAAAGCAAGAAACTCTCAACAGACAGTATGAACAACTAAATGAGACAATACTATATTTCAATTTTAAGAAAATTTTGATTTAAATTAAGGCTTAAGCAAGCATCAAGACGCAGATAAAAAAACTGCGAAATTGAGTTCAGTTCTCTCAGATAAATACTATTAATCCATTATCTGTCTGGCACTAGACATATAACTATCAGTCATAGCCTGGTAGTCACATAGGATTTTATTTTACCACACAGTAAAACCTCTTTCGCTAGGTAGAAGGTTCCAAACGCCTGATGCACCGGCATAAACATTGACAGACTTGAAACCAAAAATTTGCCGGAACTGCCCAATGAATACTTCAAACATGTTCTCAAGATCCTGTTTAAGAAAGTTCATGCGTCAAACTAGAGAAAACTAAATTGAAGCCACCTGTGATAATAGAACATTTACTTCTACTCATTCAATTATTCTCTTCTTTTCCATAGTCCAAGATGGATGGCAATAAATCCACAAACTATATGGTTTGAAACTGATATCTGAACTTCAGTCTCAAACAACAATAATTGCTCTGGAACTTTACAGCATCTACATGGTAATGCAAGCATGTATGTGGGGGAGAGAGAGAGGAGAATGGGAGGGGGGACCATACAGTTTTTTGTTGAATTTGTTATTTATCATCTAACCTGCATGGGAATTCTGTGCCCGGCAGTGGGCTTGTTTTCTGAGTCCTTTAAACAGCCTTGGGGATTCCAAACAATAACACCTCCCCACATCTAAAAGGTTTCAACGGAAGTATTAAGGTAATGTGTCTGACAAGAATAATAGGTTGGTGAAAGGCATATAAATAATAAAGGCTTGATAACTAACTGGAGATATAAAGCCATTTGTCTTGGAAATCTCTCCATTTGGCAGCTGGAGAAGAAGAGGGCATTCCTTTGCAGATGGTACATATCTGACAACAGAGAGAAAAACGAACAGCTTGAGAAAATGAAACAGGCATGCAAGCAAATCACAAATATGAGAGTGAACAAGAGAGATTATTAAGAAAGGCAGATCAAAGTTGGCTAACAATCCTGAATCAACATTTTCTCCAAAAGTAGCATCAAAATAAAAAATACATTGACTAGGATGGAAATTGGAATCGTATGGTTATTAGGTTGCTACACCCTATACCTCAATAAATGCAATCATTACAATTAGGAAATAAAAGAAAATTTGAGTACAAGAATATACACCACAAATTGCAATATCTTTGATCGCCCACCAGCTGCAATTGAAGTATCTAAGTGCCATTCATTAGAATTTACCTGTTAAAACCATGAGATAATATTACTAGTACATAAAATAAGTTCCCTTGTTTTCCATATAAAAGCTACAATAACTCATGTCTAAACAACAAATAGAAAGAATGATTGACATATCTTGTGGCCAAAAAGCACTAAATGCAAAAACATACATAAATCCAATTACTAAGACATATTTCCAACAGCATTCTTTTATCAGTAACCTACAGAATCAGAAGAAGAAAAATCTTAAAGAAACATACGAAGAAAGGAAGATCTTTATTACTAAAGACATGGCTCTCCAACTTTTGATTCCAATAGGAGAAAGAGGCCTTTGGTGTGTGGTACAAAACCTAGACATGAGAACAATTAAATCCCAATCAGACGAAAAAAAATAGAATATAAGTTATGCCCGAAATGAAGAAGGAAGATGATCCTTGACCTGACTCTCTACACTGATGTTAGCCACAGGTCCCAAAGCGTCAATCATAGTGGCCAACAAACCGTCATCAATCTTTCGGAAATCCCTGCACCAGATACAAGGAAATATAAGATGAGCAAAATTCAACACCACCATAACATTCTAATCATAACATGTTTCGTTTAGCATACAAAATCAAAACAAAACCAACAAACGTTTAAAAATTAATCAAATTCATAAAAAAAAAAAAAAAAAAAGCAAAAGTTAACAGCAAAGGCCTCATACCAATCATAAACCCAATCACGTGGATCCGCATTGAGTAAATTGAAGGAAAGAACGATCTTCCCATCAGCTCCCACGGGCATAAACTCATTCCGAATCGACCCTTCCTCTCTTCCACCATTCACAAACACCTTGACCAACACCTCCGCAACCTTCACCGCTGCTATCTCCATCTCCCAGCCACCACCAACAACCATCCACGCGTGCCTATACTTTCCCACAACAGCTTTCTCACTCTCACCCTTCACCACCACCACACTGTACTCCTTAGTTTTCCCGCTAAAAACTGACTCCAACTTCTCATCGACCGCCACGTCATCGTTCTGAACAAAATCAGTGGCGGTGATCGATCCGCACTGGTAAGAAATCGAATGTGGAGACGAAATTGGGAACCGAAGGCAACGGGGGCCGAAGTCCACGGTGACGGAGAGAGTGTAATTGTTGGAGCATTTAGGGTTTTGAGAGGTTACTTTGGTAATTTCGGAGAGGATTGACAGACGGATACGATCGGGATCTGAATCGAAGCCGATGAAAAGGGCGTGGAAATGGAGCGGGAAGAGTAAAGTATCGGACCGAAGCTGAGTCAAGAGCGAGTCGATTTCGCGAAACGGCAGAGGAGAACGGTAGATTTCGACGGATTTCCATAAGAACGGGAAACCTGAAATTCAATTTTAAAAAAATATTAAGAAGAAGAAATTTTATTTGTTTATTTATTTAGGAAAAAAAAAAAGAAGAACTATAATTAAAGAAGCGTCAGAGATTTAGAGGCAGACCAAGGAGGAAGGAGAAGAGGACGGTCAAGGTCAGAAAAAGGCGCTTCAATCCGGGTTTGGTTTCGCGCATTAATTTCGGGTCGAAGTCGGGTTGGGATTGGGGTTGAGGTGGTACTTTACTAGCATTGTCCGGTAATTTGGAGGAATCGGAGTCTGAGATTTCGGGCATTGCTGGAGAAGCTGGAGTTTCTTCTGCTCTGCACACTGCGGTGATAGACTGACTGCTCTAAATCTTGAGGTTGATCTTGTTTTACTTTATAGACGAGAAAAAAAAGATAGTGTGATCCGATATGAGGCCGTCTTAGCTCAGCCGGTAGAGCGCCTGGCTTTTAACCATGTGGTCGTGGGTTCGATTCCCACAGACGGCGAGCGTGTTGCCCTTTTTCTCTTTTCATGTTATCCAAAGACCAGTCGACTATGAAATCATTGCAAATGAATCCTTTCCTTTTTATTTTTTTTAAATGAAAGTGGCAATGAAATATTTATATTAATTTCCATATGGGTTCTTTCCGTTCCAGCAAATCTTCATCTTTCTCATGTACGAAGAAGTAGATAATGGCTTGTTAGATGAGCAAAATACAAAGAACTCAATGTACCATGCTACTACCAATATTGACGGAAATGGAAAAGTTTGAGGGAATTAACATTTTCTTGAACAATAAATATGGTTCCCAATTTTATGACCAACACTAACAGCAAGTCTCCCAGCGTCTTCTTTCTCTATTAAAATTTTCTTCACAAAGTGAAAAATTCTGCTTTCGGGTGGCAAATGAAGCTGCTTGCCTACCTTTGAACATTAAAGAAAAATAACTGTAATGATTGGAGCAGAAAACCAAATAACCATCCCGTGCAGACTCTGATTGCATATATACCTATACTAGTAACTCTATTTTGTACTACCATATCTTTATGGGTGCTTGGAACCGAGTATGAATTCTTAAGCATTTCTAGCTACTTTTCACAAAGGCAGGCAGGGTCCATGTGGGTGGCATGGGTGAATGCCTGCATCTTCTGAAGAATGTTAGTTTTTAGCAGCAAGCTCAGCCAAAATCTAATTTTAGTAGGGTGAATCCCTCCTTTTCCAGTTGGTCTTTTTTGCAACGTCTATAACTTTCTTGCTAAAAAAAAGCAGACAAATGCAGGCTCTTAAATGGCAAAAGCATCTTAAACCTCTCCTCTTAGCCTGCAAAGACAAAAAATCCGTAGCTAAAATTCACGCTTTCGTGATTCTAACTGGCGTTTACATACATAAAACCTCCGTTGGCAATCTTATCGCATCTTATGTACGAGTTGGTGATATCTTGTCCGCTCGTAAAGTGTTTGATAAATTGTCTACCAGAGGTGTAGATGCATGGAATGCAATGATCGTTGCCTATTCTCGTAATAGTTTTCCAAAACAAGTTCTGGGTTTTTATCATCAGATGATTCTTGAAGGCATCAGGCCTGACAGCTCCACTTTTACCGTGGCTATTAAGGCGTGTGTTAGTTTGATGGACTTGGAAATGGGGGAGGAGATTTGGCGTAAAGCGGTAGATTTTGGATATCAGAATGATGTGTTTGTAGCGTCTTCTGTTTTAAATTTGTATGTGAAGTGTGGAAAAATGGATGACGCAATGATGGTGTTTAACAAGATGCCAAGAAGGGATCTTGTCTGTTGGACTACTCTGGTAACAGGGTTTGCGCAGAGTGGATGGGCTAGTGAGGCGATTGATTTGTATAGAAAGATGCAAATGGAAGGGGTGGAAGGAGATAGTGTTGTGATGTTGGGGTTGATTCAGGCTTCTGTAAATCTTGGGGACTCAAAGTTGGGACTTACAATTCATGGATATATGATTAGGAAAGGTCTTTCGATGGATGTTGTGGTTCAGACTAGCCTTCTCGATATGTATGCTAAGAATGGATATTTGGAATATGCTTCGCGTGTCTTGAAGAAGATGCCAAGTATGAATAATATTTCTTGGGGTGCATTGATTTCTGGCTTTGCTCAAAATGGTTTTGCTAGAAATGCATTGGAGTTATTGGTAGAGATGCAGGGTTATGGATTTAAACCAGACTTGGTGTCCCTTGTGGGTGGTCTTCTGGCATGTTCACAAGGTGGGTTGTTGAAATTGGGTAAATCCATACATGGATATATCACTAGAAGGCTTGATTTGGATCAAGTTTCTGGCACTGCTGTGATTGACATGTATGCAAAATGTGGAGTGCTTTCTTATGCCCGTGCACTCTTTGATCGGATAGATTCTAGAGATAGAATCTCTTGGAATGCAATGATTGCCGGCTATGGAGTACATGGGCATGGAAAGGAAGCTCTATCACTCTTCCTCCAGATGACAAACATGAGCATAAAACCAGATCATGCAACTTTTGCTGCACTTCTCTCAGCTCTCGGCCACTCGGGACTGGTTGAAGAAGGTCAATACTGGTTTAATCTCATGGTTAATGTATATAATATCCAACCAACTGAGAAGCATTATGCTTGTATGGTTGATCTTTTAGCTCGTGCAGGACTTGTAGAAGAAGCTTATAAACTAATAGATTCTATGGACAATGAACCTGGGGCAGCTGTTTGGGTTGCTCTCCTATCTGGCTGCTGTAATCATGGGAAGTCGTCTATTGGGGAGATGGCAGCAAAGAAGGTACTTGAGTTAAATCCAGATGACTTGGGAATTCATGCATTGGTCTCAAACTTCTTTGCCATGGGAAACATGTGGGATGAAGTAGCTGCTGTAAGGAAACTCATGAAAGAAACAGGATTGAAGAAAGTACCTGGTTACAGTGTACTGGATGTGAATGGACAGCTCCATGCTTTCCTTATGGCAGATAAAAGCCACAATAAATATGAAGCTATAGCATCTGCATTGGATAAATTGGACCATGAGATGAGATTGCATGATCAAAATGAAGGGCTTCCTGTTGCTTTTGGCCTCTAAAACTCGGTTAGGATCCTTACTGCTGATCATGAGAAACCTTAAGATGGGAGAGAATGACCATTTTAACCAAGTTTTAGTGCAAGGACTGTGGGAAGAGGATCGTTTTGGGAACCATGAAGCAGGCTCTTCACTCCCAAGTCCCAACTGTAAAAACAGCCTATACCTGGCAGCTTCTATGATACAGTGAAGAACACCAGCTTGTCATAAATTCTGTAATTCCTATTCTTCCATATGTAAGTCCTCCTTTCTATCTTCACTTGACAGGAAGTACAGCCTGGCCTCTTTTTCACATCATTTTTTTATATTTTAGAAAAATTAAAGCATGACGTTGGCAACTTTTTATCTACTCCTTTTTGTGTTTATTATAACCGTTTAGCTCAGTAAAGTTAATTTGGCACTAATAGCAGGGTTGTTGGAAGATGTTGAGGTACTAATAGCACGGTTGTTGGAAAATGTTGAGGCTAGAACAATCCCGTCAATGTGCCACACTAACAAGGATTGTGTTGGCAAATGCTATCCTAGTTGTGATACTGGTACGTGCAATTTTGTTCAATGTGTTTGTGGACACTTCCGACAAAAGGTCACTGCAGAAGGCATCTTGGGTCCATCTCAGCACAAAATTGCCTCTGTATGTGAACAGACCTCCATACTCTTTTTTGTTGCATGCTTGATATGATAATATTGATGATCGCCCCTTAAGTGGCTTCTTTTTGTTACTGTTTATTTCCTTGCCGCTCAAAATTTTCCTTCTTTTGCGAGAAAGGATGTAATAAAAAGATCTATTGTTAAGCACGGGCAGAATTAGAAACACAAAACATAAAAGGATGAGAAAAACTGATCAATTCTAGTCCTAGATTCAAGAGAATTACAAAATTTTTCAACAGTGCAGAGGCAAAGCTACTTTCCACCATTGCACATATCCCTTTTACCTCCTTAAGAAACACCAATCAGTACCCCGAACACAAATTTCTCTGAGCCCTTCAAAATTTCCTCAACTCTTGTATCCTAGAGCTTTATTCTGAAGATTTTGGTTATCTTCTAATAAGCGATCATACTCAAGTAGCAATTCCGCAGATTGTTTTTGGAGGGAAGCAACATGTGCTTCAGCAGTTTCAATATTTTTGTCTTTTTCTTCAGATTCCAATTTCAGCTTCTTCAAATTCTCTGATAGAGTGGAAATTTCCTCTTTCAGTTGCTTTATCTCCTTGGAAGCTTTTTCTTCCTTCTCTTTAAGCTGCATTCTCTCTTTCTGAAGACGTTCCAATTCCTCTTTTGAAGATCTCACACTACTCCTCAACCCAATAAGTTTTCTAAGATAATGGTGCATACGATCAATTACGAACCCGAGAAATAGGGAAAAACCTACAAGATCAAGTTCAGACAGTCAAATATGTATGATACCACCAAAAGAAGGGATAGAAATAGAATAATCATTCACTCAATATTTAAAGGCATGAAGCTTATTCAGTTTATGTTCAATGATTGAGCAATTCTCTTCACTGTCAGATCAGCAATAGCATAGAACCAAAATTCACAGCTGGCAATGGAAAAGATTCAACTTTTAGAAATCCTCAATTTTAATGTACCATTCTGTAAACTGGTGACGCGTAACAACAGAGAACTGAGAAGAAGCCCAAATTAGATAACAGCAACACCCCGCAAGAGGCCAGAAGCTATAAAGGGTTATCCATTGAAACATCTTTATATTTCCAAATTCTGGACAAGTCAAAATGATGCACCCGCCTGCATCATTTGACAACTCAACCTGGACCTAAAGGAGTGTAAAAGTAACAAGAAACAAGGTATCTCTACACCTCAGAACAATGTACATATTTGGATTGTTTAGTGAGAGTCCAGTCAGAGACAGCCTCTTCACTGAAGTTCCATGAACTTGAATAGAGATTTGGAAGAACCAGATGCCTTCAGCATTTGGCCTCATTATTGCAATGGACCTGTATAAGATTCTATTCCACTCCAAGCCCTTATATTGGCAGACGTAGTAGTGCTATTCTTGCCCTAGATTTCATTCCCATATAAATTTGAACCTTTCAAAAGCTAAACAGTAGCTTTTGGAATAGCGATTTGGCCACAAACTCACAATTTAATGAAATACAATTCATCTTATCATCAATGTCACACTGAATAACTTATCAGCTGTATGCATATGTGAAAGATAAACTAGAATATGTTTGTTTACCATATGTAGCATACAACTATTGCATATATATTGAGAAAAGAGTTACCTATTTTTCAACAAAAAAAAAAAAATGAGTTAAATTTGAGAATACTCTTGCAAATCCTTGCTAGCAAAAACCTTGAACTAAGCACATTGCATGCTAATAACTTTGAACTGTTTAATTTCAAGCAAGGGTTTTATTACGGGACATCCTAAACTTTAATCTGGTGTCCACTGTAACTACAACCTTTGCATGGTTAATCATGAATTAACAACTAGTTTACAAAAGGGCTTATGAAATGAGACCATACTAGTTACAAGACCCTGTTACAGTTCATAGGGAGAATAGTCCTGTCAGCTTTGTTACATACATAAGCTTATTTAAGCCAACTGCTTCTAATTCTATAAGCTTCACAAAGAAGAAACACAAATGCAGCAATGCTAGATTATATATCTTGTGTTATTTGTAGAATGTACCAACTGATAATGGTGTGAAGTCTATAATTGCAGAGTTTTGTTTACTCCATTTTTCCATCGGAAAGCCAACAATTATCAGTCCATAAATATCTCAAATTCTAGATAGATCAATTAAATCTAGACAACAGCAAATTGGATAAAAAGATCCACCACGAGATTCTTGGTATAGAAGTATGAAGTAAAACACTAGGGTAAATAACAGAAAAGATATATACTCCATAACTGTTGGTGCGTATGTGGGTGCAGGGGAACTGCATAAGACTGAAATAACCAAACATTTGCAAGAACAAGAGACAAAATATAAGAATGAAAGAGGCAAAGGCAATGGCCTGATGCTAACCACACCTAACCTCCAAAAGAAGGTCTTGAGCTCAAATCCACATCGCCAACTATTGCATACAAAATCTATTTCATTTGCCAAAATGCCCTAATCACTTATCAGGCAAATAGACAATTTACCACAATCTTCAAAAGGCTATATAACTTAATACTTGCACATCATATGATACATCATGCATCAATATCTAAAGCATTTTACCATCACTTAGTGATCCATGTAGGCTAAAATCATGATCATCACACGGTGCCTTGATATCCTTGTTAAGCTGCTTAATAGAAAATTTATCTAAATTTATTATTACATTAACATAGGCAAGGTGCCTGACTAGGGAAATTTGTTAACGCTGCAGCAAACCTATATATACCTTCAAACATGAAACCCCACTTGAGAAACTCCCCATACAGTGTCGAGTTAAGACTACTAACTCTTCCTTAAGTGCCATTGACCAAATTCACATTAAAAGATTAAAGCACGACTAATTTCTCTAGGGAGAAATTCACTTGATAATGAGTCAATAGGTAAATGGGAAATATGATTTTATAGCATACATACCAGATTCATGATACCTAATATATTAACATGGCTTTCCTCTGATACAGAATGTTTTTCCCAATGGAGACTCAAACTACTCAAAAACCATGTGAGGTTAGTCTCGCCTATATGCCCTGCAGTTGTCTTCAGCTGAGAAGTTTGTTCTCTTAGTTTTAACACCTACATCTCAGGGTTTTTGAGTCTTTTTTCTGTATTTCATTAGATTTTAGGAGTTATTTCCTATTGTTTCAGTTTTCAGTTTTGTCAATTGCCTATGTAAAGTTAATAATATATTCTAGGTTAGGCCAATCTAAAACTTAGGAAATTCATAGAAAACATAAACTAAATGATTATGGTTGATATTTTAAAACTCTTAAAACCAAAGGTACCCAACAAAAACCTGATTTTCTCTGTGCTGCAGCAACTAGACCTATTAGTCACAAAGCACTTTTCTTGCCCTCTATGACAACAATGATCCAAGAAACATTGTGGAGGCTAAACACGGCAGTAATTTAAAACTCAGCAGAAATACCCAAGTTACTAACAGATAGATGCATAAACCAAATGACCCATGAAAAGTAGCAGAATCATACCCATGAGTGAAGCCTCAAGCAAGTGGGTTCTCCACAGAACCTGATCCATAGGTGACATAGTACCAAGCTTTGCACCCTTGTTCTGGATCTTGACAATGCTCATGAGACTTGATAAAAGAATCACAGACATGGTACCAGCAATAGTTTTCATAGTAGCTGGACCTTTCCCCGCCTTCAATTGATCTAAACTCTTTATGACAAGCTCTCTGAGAGGCCCAATCTTTACCAATAGAAGGAATGCCACAACTCCCTCAGCAAAAAGAACCAAAAACAATAACTGAATCATCTTACCTCCCAGCTCTCACAAAGATTTGATTTTGACTCAATACAGAAAAAAATGAAATTTTCAGCAAGGAACTACCAAGAATCTTTGATTCTGATTGCTGGCTTTTAGTTTTTCAACTAAAACTCAAAAACCCACATAAGAAAGTAGGTTTTATCTTCGGAAAAAGAGGATTTAAGGCTAAAGATCTGTACATTTAGCCCTAATGTAGAAAGCAAGAAGCTCTTTCGAAGAAACTTACTATTCACAAGATGAGTTCACTAATGCAAGTTAAAATGTGAAAGCTTGGGGATTAGTGGTGTGTAATCTGCTAATGGGCTTGCTTTTGTAGGCAAAAAAAAAGAGGGGGGCACAGGCACAAGTCAAAAGTTAGAAACAAAAAAAAAAAAAAAAAGTGGATGTACAAAAAAAAAAATCCTACAAGCAGACATGAAAAGAAAATAATTTTTTTAGGTTAAACAGAAATTATGGTAAGGCCGTGTTTGGTCGTGGGTAAGATGATGGCCCCTTTGTCTGGTAACGTGTAATAACATGAATGGAGTGTTTGATTGGATGAAACAGTTGCTGTACTCTTTTCTTCTACAGTAAATATACAGAATACATAGTAGATAATATGTGCGGATGGACTTGCTATCTGGAGAAGAGAAGAACTTCTTGCAAAAGCCTGCACGCTTCCCTATATTCACGCATGACAAAGCTACCAATGGCAGTACATTGAGAGTGAATTACGCAAATGCCATTCCGAGAATCCAAGTGGACTGTGTCTGTCTGAATGTCTGTCTTTCCCATCTTTTTCGGCTTCCTTGTCATTTCCCTGCCTTGATTGTGAAAAAGAGAACAAAATCTAGACAATGATAGCCCAATAGGCCTCTGCCTACTGGGCCAAATGACACACACAGTATTGGACCAGAGCAGCTGCTGCCTTGTATGCAGGTTATAAGTCCAATTCAAAGAAAATGTGGCTAAGCTTTATTTATTTATTTATTTGAAAAAAAAAAGATCGGAACTCTTTTAATGTTTTAATCCGACATGTAATTTTTTATGTAATGGATAATTTTTTTTCAAAAAAATTATATTTATATAAAAATATAAGACCACTAATGGGATTATTTTATTATTTTTTTAATTAAATGGATTATTTGACTCATAGTATTAAACTCGATTAAAAATAATATAAATAAATATATATTACTAAATGATTAAATTTTTTCAAATATAGTAATAAAAAATAAATAATTTGAGATAATGTATAGTTGTACCAATGATGAAGCTTGAAAATTGCCATGGTACTATGCAAGGAGGGGTGCAAAATAAATTGTAGGATACATGTGGCTCATCCAAAAACACTTGAAATACCGGCAGCTTTTGAAAGATTAAAATCTTTACTTGTATCGTGGGCAAGAGAATCCTAAAACCACGGTCCCATTGAGAAAATAACAGTAACAAACCAAAAGAGCAATTAGAAACAAATAGAAAATAACATGGCACCATCAAAATTTTGTAGTAATTAGTAATTTTTTTTTTTAAAGAGTAGAGATTTGTTTCAAATTGCAAATATTATTCGTTTTTATTTAAAAACTTTATGATTTTATTTTATAAAAATTATCTGATGAATATAAATTTAAATTTATATATATCATAACAATTTTTAAAATATTCTTATAAAATTAAAAGCGTTAAAAATATTTTGCATCTTCTCTTTGTGACAAGCAAAGACTCCTATCCTTAATTACTAATCTAATAATTTATACAAAAAAATTTCACATCATTCAAAATTTATAATCACAAAACTCTTTTTAACTAATAATTATGAATTGATTTTTAATTTTATTTACTCTACCAGTTTTCTGAATTATGACATTAGTTTTTTTTTTGGCTAAAATAAGATGAATATTTATATATATATATTTTAAGTTTTTAATTTATCTTTAACATTTTTTATTCAATTATATAAATAATTAATATTATGCATTTAAATTTTTTTCAACCGATAAATTTTAAATATAAATTGATTCAAAAAAAATCAAATATATATATATATTTATGTATTTATTTATTCATATATTCTTACAGTTGGTGCATAATTGCCACCCCTTTAGGCGGTTCTGAGAATTATAAAAATCTGGACCTAAACCTGACACGACAATCTTTATAGGTAGGTCGTAAGTACGGACAAGAGTCTTAAATTCATTAATCATGAAATAAAAGTGGTTAGAAGCATTAATTTAATTTTGTCTGAATATGATTTTTTTATAAAATATTAAATATAAATTTAAAATGTTTTGATTTGTTAATTTAAAATAATATATAATGATAATATCAAAATAATTAAAAATATAATATAATATAAAATTTATAAAAATTGTATATAAATATAATAAAAAATTTTATACATTTAATATTTATATGAATTATAATATATAATTTTTATAAAAAATATAATATAAATATATCAATTATTAATTCTCCCTTTTTTTTATACCGTTTGAAATATATGTTATTGCATTTTATTTGGCCATTAACTTTTAAAAGGTAGTATATAATAAAATTAATTTTTTTTTTGTAGAAATTAGTAGCACTAACCTGTTTTTACAAAGAATGATTAGTTCAAAGGTAGAGCGTTTCAAATATTAGCATATAAAAGTTTTTATAAACTTTTGGCTTCAAAATGGTCGTAATACTGCTTTCTTTCTTTCTTTCTTTCTTTTTTGGTACAAATTAATAATTTTTTACAAAAAAAAAAAGATATTTATGCACTTTATATATATATATATATACAATATTATGTGTAAGTGAAAATGATAATAATGAAAAAAAAAGAATAATAATAAAAATTAAAAAATTAAAAATGGCAATGGATTTTACATGAACCAAATGTTTCAGATACAGATTATGATTTTTTCAAATAATTTTATAAAATAATCATAATAAGTAGTTCAATTGGTAAAAAAATTTATTTTTAATCAATCAAAATTTAATTTTTATGAAAAATTCTTTGATTTATAATAAAATCATGAATGCATCAAAGTCGATATATGAATAAATGTGTCTTAAAAATCGTTCAATTAAAAAAATAAATCTAAATAAATTATAATGATATCGTGATAAAATAAATCATTAAAATAAAATTAGACATTTAACTAAAGAAAATAATTCATGCAAAGTTAGGATTCAATTTTCAACATTTACGAATTATTTTTCTCGAAATTTTTTCAAACCTTGGTTTCTTGTATATAAAAAATATTTATTAAAATTAAACTAACTTATTACTAAATTAACTTGTGACATCAACATGCCAAAGTTGACAAAACCCCAAAGTTGTTCATAAATGTAGACACTTCTTACTTATTTTCCAACCATTCCAGAACCACATGTATATATTTTATATAGAACGTGGAAAATATGTTTTGTCTTACTAAAATCATCCACCGGTTCTAATGGCGGTTTTGAATAATTCTCCATCCCGGCCGCGCGTATGTCAAAATTCAAACATCCTTTTGCCCTTTTTACCGACAACTTGTTAAGAAAATTCATTGACCTTTTTTGGGTTCTCGTTTTTTTTTTTTTTTTTATCGACGTAGAATAGAAAAAACCATTGAAGGATTATTTCTTTGATTTTAATAATGAAGTGCACGACAAGAATGTATGGATGTAAAGCCAGGGCACGTGGCATTTTGGTCCGTCAAAGAAGCCGGCCACATATTAAAAAATATATATATATTTTTATTTTACGTAGTCATAAAATTTTTAATTATTGATAAAAAAAAATTCCATTCTCTTAAGCGTAATTTGGAGGATAATATTTGAAAGGCACGTGAGCCACTATAGCATTCAAATAATTAGAATTAGAAATATTATATTAAAAATTAATATTCAATTTGATAGTACGTGAATTAATATCAAAGGTGTTCATACTTTAGATCAAATCTATATTTTTAAAGTCAAGTTCCAGTTTAGTTTAGATGACTTTTATGCGTAATATTTTTATTATTAAAATAAGTAAAATATTATCTTATATTAATATTTTAAAATTATTATTATTATTATTATTAAAAATATATATTAATCAAGTTGAACTAGCTTAAAACTAAATTTCTATGCAAAACTTTACCCTAATCACGTCGGGTTCAAGGGTCTCAATAAATAATCATTCGCCTTATTTGTGAACACTTTTAATTTATAAGATACCAAAAAATTATATTATTTTTTACATAATTCAAATTCCTCATCTTCAAATGAAATTGAAGGAGTACAATATTATAATGAGATTATAGAGCATTCATGAACGGAACTAGGAGCAGGGGGCGATCACCCCCAAAATTCCTAAAATTTTTTAATTATTTATAAAGAAATTTATATTATATATTTTTAGATAAAAAAACAAAAATGATTGTTTCGTCTTCAAAATATTAAATATAAAATTTGTACCAAATTGGAAATTCTGGTTAAAATATTAGAGTTGACAATAAATTAACAATTAAAAGCCAAATTAACTCTAGGTTTTACCATAACAATGTTTTAAGGGCCTTTGGCAACCATCATAGGTAAAAAGTTAGAGAAAATAATTGAATAATTATCACAACATAATTTAATGAAACATCGCCAGCCTCTGCCATGTTGGCAAGTCACATCACCAGTCCTCTCAAAAAAGCTGGAAACATAAATGCAAATTAATAAAAACATTGAATATGAATAACAATAGCTTAATTGTTGTGTACCAGAACAACCTTAAAAAAAAAGCTCAATAATATTAAATTTGTGATTTGTAGATATTTATATTATATAAAATATAAAATATTTATATTATATTTAATATAAAAATTATGTGTCATAAGTTATAATAATATAAAAATATAAAATATATTTTTTATTAAATTAATATATAATTATTAATAAAATTTTAAATCATATTATTTTTATATTATTTTTTTATATCATATTTACATTATATAAATATATAATATTTTAGATTATTGAATCTGAATAATACCACTTTAAATAATTTAATAAGATTAGATATTAAAATCAAAAGAGATTTCAAATGACATTATTCAATTTCTCACTCCAAGAAAATTGAAACTTTACCAATAAATAGGTGTATTTGACAATTGTCTTTAGTAGTTTAACTTCTATGATTCCCCGATTTCAAAGAAATTTTATCAGAACAAGAAAAGTAAGTTTCATTGCTTATTTCTTTTTTCAAACTCTATAATTAACTTCCAATTGCAAAGAAATTAGTATTTGTTTTTTGAATTTACATTAGTTCATATATTTATATTTTATTACAATTATAGTTAAAAAAGACAAGATAAATATGCAGCATGTTAAATTTTAATTTTAATTCAATTGATACTTAATAAATTTAAAATTCAAAATGTAACATGTACTTTTTTTAAATTGTGATTTTTTTTATAAAAATATGCATTTTCCTTTATAATTATGATTAGATAATTAAAAAGAATTAATTTAATCATTATAATATATTGGAAAAGCCACATAAATTTGATAAACAAAATATTATCTACAAAACAAACCATCAAAATTTTCCAAAAATACCATAATAAGAATATTACCGAAAAGGAAAATTCCAAAAATGGACAACATGTGCTTATTTGTTTCCTTTTAAATTTTATAAAAACCAAATGTTAAATTAAAATTCTAGTTTGGGAAAAAAAATTTAGCAATATTTAAAAAAGTTTTGAATAGTTGGAATGGAACCAGAGAGGTCTGCATAGAAGCCGACAAAGAAAAAAATAAAAAAATATTAATATTAACCGTGGAAAAAGACAGACTCTCAGCTTTTAGGACAAGTCAGCCGCCATTAACAGTAACGGCGTTAAATTTTTGACTCTTAACAGTTTGCCAGCAGAGCCTTAAGAGTTAAGACCACTATCCTCTGCACCAAACTTATTCCTTCCAATCGCCAATGACAGCTGCGAATGGATGGGGAGCGGCTGTACACTGGTGTGGAAGGAGTGGAAATTTACCCGCTACCAAGTTATTAGAAAAAAAAAAAAGCCAAAACATACGGAAACATACGGCGACTTGGTTGAGACTTGAGAAAGACATCTGAAATTGAGAAGAAACGGAGATTTTTACAGAGAGAAAGAGAGGGCGAGAGAATGGTCAAACATAACCGGTGGCGCCGGTCCATGGTTGATAAACCTCTCTCTCTCTCTATTTTTTCTCCTTTCTAAATTCTCTCTTTCTCTCACTAAAGTTCGCTTCATCTCTCTCCCTTATTTATCTCCTTTTCTCTTCTTATCTTTGAATTTGGGTTGGATGGTTCTTTAAAAAGTTTTTTGTTGTTTTTTATTTTTTCCGGGTTTTGTTTGTAATTGTTTGATTGCAAAAGAAGCTGATTTTTTTTTTTTTGTTCTTTTGTGGATTCTGGGTCTTGTTCTTTGTCAAGTTTGCTGAAGAGAGAAATGGCAGTAAGCTTTTATCTTTTATCTTTTTCTTTTTTTTCTGGTTCTTTTGTAGTTTTTGCTTTGGTTTAGTTTACATTATTCTTCTGTTTGTTTCCTGAGAAACTTGCAAAAGACGAAAGAAAGATGGAAATTGTGAATTTTTTTGCTTTGTTGTGTTATGTCATTTTTATTTTATCAGGTAAGCTAAGCAAGATTGTTGCTTTTTATTTTTTTAGTTCTTTAATTGAGTTTTTATATGATCTATTTGAGATTCTTTATAATGAATTTTGTTTTTGTTTTTTTTTTGACGTAATTGATTTATAGAAATAAGCTTAGAATGGTTGAGACTATGGTCTTTTATGTTGTTGATTCTTTATTGATGTATTTTAGGATGAACTTATATAAAACATGAATGATTATTTTGTTGATCTGGTTTTATGATGTATAGTTTCCAAAATATGGATCAAATTACCTTATAAAATTTTGTTTTTTTTTTTTTTTAAATTGATAAATAATAATGCAAAAATTAAAGCATCTGACAATGTGGATTAAAAAGGATAAAGAAGATGAAGAAAATTCACAATTTAAAATTTAAGTTTCCTCTTGATTGCTAGAGGGGTTTGCTTGTGGAGAAGGTTGTAGAATGACTATGAATCCAGAAAGAATATGAAAAAATAGAGAACAGGAATAATTTGGTTTAGATTTTTTTTTTTTTTTGGATGTACGATGGATTATGTTGATTATGTGAGCCCATTGATTAGGACCATTATTTCCTGTCAGTTACTTATTGGATGACACATGTGTTGATTAATATTGCACCGATGGACTTCATGTGACAAATATTAGGTAAGTTTTACTGATAGCTATGTGCCTATCTCCACTAGTTTCTTATGATCACAAAAGAAGGATGTGAGTCAAAGCACCTTAAACAGGAAAATACCTCAATATTGTTGTCAAAATTCAGAACCAATAATGATCATTATCTAATGTTCATATAGAGGGACCACTTCAGGACTTGATTGAAAATTTTTCATTATATTTACATAATACTAAAGTGTTTATCTTCTACTCGAGTTCATTGTTTTTATTTGAACAAACTTAGTGTTGTGAATTAAGAGGGTTCAAGCAGATTTGTTTGATTTCTGAGTTGTTTCCATTGATTAAACATGTGCTGTTTACAAAGTCGCATTTAGTTGATAGTATATTACTTGCATTTCTAATATCTTGATAGGGTGTTCTATTGTTTAGTGATGTAGTGCAATGACCTCTTAGGAGCCCTTTTGCCTGAGACCTGAATTTGTCTTCTTAGCTAGTTTGATAAGATGAAATTGATGTTCAAAATTAAGAGTTATTCTTTAATCTTTTTTGAGAGGTACTTTCTTGTTTTAGAGTTTAGCTTTAACAGTGGAAGGATTTTTTTTTTTTGCCGGAGGAGCTTGAATATCATTTTTTTACCACTGGTGTGCTGTATGACCTGCAAAAAGGGATTAGTAACACATTATATGCATATTTGTCCCTCTTGTTCATCGTTTTTTACCTAATTTATGAACAATCCTTTTCACTTGTTTTGATAAAAGTAATCAAAACAGCTAAATAAGCCTTTGGATTTGGTCAATGGCCAAATGCATTTCCTGGTCAGTTATTTTTATCACCTCCTATCCAAGCAGAATAAAACTTTATTGGAAGTTTCATAGTTAGAAATTTTAGATTTGTGTTCAGTTTCTGAATCAAATGAAAGTGATTTTAAGCTATCTTCTGTTCACTTGCATATTCTTATCTTCCCGATCTATGTAATTTTGTTGTAACTAAAAATCTTTTGGAACCATATAAACATCATTTATACATCTATGACAAGAAGCATAATTAGATTACTTCTTCTCCTGCCTGACTGTCCCTTATTTCATCCTTATTTAAGTTCATACTAGAATGGTAACTTTCTGTGGTGCTCATTTGGTTTTCTGAATCTTCCGAATGAATTATCCAATGGAAGATGAATTGGTCGAACTTGTATTCTATTCAACCTTAGGTTCCATGAAAAGAATGGGCTAGGTAGATTCAACATTGATTGAATAAAATAAAAACAATAATTATATTGATCACACTCTGCAATACAGAAAACCTTTTTGTCTGATTTACTTCTAGCAAGAATAATATCTTTCCAGCCTTACTCTTCAATTGATATTTAAAATGTTGAAACAACTTTGAACAATTTGATGGAGGCAAGCTTTTAAGCAGTGTGAAGACAGAAAGCTTAAGAGTTATGCCACTTTTGAACATGTATTAGCCAAAATTAATTCTTGGTGAACATTAAATTATATACATGCTCGTCTTTTTGTTTGTTGACAATAAGACATGTATTGTCTATTATCACAAATTCATTGCGTGTTTGATTTCTTTTGAGGTGATAAAATATAGTGTTTTACCCTGAAATTTGAACTTTGTGGAAAATCTTCTGGCTTTCCTATTTTGAGCCATCTTTAGGTGTAAGGATCTTGGAATTATTTTTGCTCCATCTCTGATCTGCTAATCTTTGTCCTCATTGATGATAAAGGAGAATTTTGCTTTTGTCTTATCTAATAACAAGCTTTTGTTGCCGTTGCAGCAACGTTCTCATGTACCCAAGTTTGGCAATTGGGAGAATGAAGAGAACGTTCCCTACACAACTTTTTTCGATAAGGCCCGTCAGGGTCGCAGTGGAGGAAAGATTGTAAACCCGAACGATCCCCAAGAGAGCCCAGACTTACATCACGATTATGTAGCTCCATCTAGTGCTCCTCCTGCTTCAAGAGCAAAACCAGAATTGGATGAACAGGTAGGACATGGACCTGCTAGAAGGGCACATGAGCGTGGAAGGAGCAGGGAAGAAGGTGAACTCAGACTCTATGCTGACTCTCCAGCACGTCATGACAATGTCAACCGTAGAGCTTCTGGGGACTCTACAGCTTCACGTTATGGTCGTGGAGTAAGTTCTGGTGAAGCCACAAAACGACCTACAAGACCAAGTATTGGATCTGAAAACAGCATAGATAAATCACCACTCCATCACCGGGCACGGATCACAGGGAGTGGTAGCATGGCATCACCTGCATGGGAAGGAAAGACTTCATATGATAGTAGCCATGGTACTCCTGGGAGATCCAGATTGAGGCCAAGTACTAGAGGCGATGAAAGCGTAAATTATCGTTCTTCTTCCTGTCATTTTATTCTGTCATAAATAGCATAAAAATAATTGTTGTGGATCTACTGGTTGGCTTGAAAAAGCCATTCCATTTCCTTCTTATTACATGTTGCTTAATAATTTTCTTCATTTTCTTTTTCTTCTTTTCCTAAAAGGGTCAAACGTAAAGCATAGCATATGCATAGCTTATCAACAACTTGAAGTCTTCAGGATTGGCAGCCTACACGGCACTTGCCTCATGAAAACCTTCTCTATCTTAGATCATGTTCTCATCCAGGAGGAAATTTTTTTCTTTTACTTGAATATTTTTGTACAACTTGATAAAGCATCATAATTGTAATGCATTATGCCTGTCTTATTCGGCTTGGGATTGATTTTGTGAACCTTTGCTTTTATATCTCCTCTTTGCCCTTTCCCCAGATGATGACTCCTTTTGAGACAAATTGATCCAAATGTAAAAAATGTCACTTTATTTAAGTTTGTTATTTTCATAAAGCTTGTCACTAATAATCTGGTATCTGATGTCACAGCCTGAAAAAGGTGCTGCTGTTCCAAAATTTGGTGACTGGGATGAGAACAACCCAGCATCAGCTGATGGTTATACTCACATTTTTAATAAGGTGCGAGAAGAGAGGAACAACGTGGGCAGGGTACCAGGCATGCCGGGTGAGCAATCTCCATACAACACTGATCGGAATCGGAAGCCAACTAATAGCAGTGCTAAGGTATGTTGTTTGGGAACCTCACCAAACACTTTGATTGCTGTGCCTCTAGTCTCTGAAAATCTTATAAACACAATTCCTAATTTTGTATTTCTTCATTTCCCCCAGAGTTGCTGCCTTCCATGGTGCAGGAAATGAGGCCCTGTGAATTTGTGGTTTTGTTATAAGTTGTGTGCAATATTGTAAATACATTGAAGGCTCCTTCAACACAGTAATTTCAGTGAAGTCGCGGTTGCTATCTCTACGTATGTGTGCTTTTTTTGTTATGATGAACATAGTATTCTGTTTGGTAAACATGTATTTTTCGCCTTTCTCTCTGTCATCATCTATTTTTCACTCTTAGCTTGTCTTTTGTGTACCTATACCACTTTACATTGCAGTTATCTTTGGTTAGAAAACACCAGATGCAGATTCTTTAATTGTATTCTAAATGTATGGTGTCCATATTTGCGCTTCCAAACTGAGAGTGCTGTGATTGAAGTTTTTAACTAGGTTATCCGCTCATATAATTGTTTCAACTCTAGGCTGTTTGCCAATTGCCACAGACACATCAATTCCTGTTTTAAAACCTACTCAGTGCTCATCATATTTTTTAAGTGTGTTTGGATTGATGGGAGAGTAAGAAAAAGAAAGTAAGTAAAGTAAAGGAAACAAAACCTCCTTTTGGATAAATATTTAATTTTAAAAAAATGAAAATCAAATAATTTTTGTTTTCGTTATAAACTCAAATTTTTTAATATTCAATTTGGAGAAAAAGCTAAAGAAAGTAAAGTTGAAAATTTTTTTTTTATAAAAATATTATATGTTTATATTTTTATTAATACTAAAAGTTTAGTAAAAAAATTTAAGTAGATCATAATAATCTTAAAATTTTTTTCAAAGTTATATATTTTTTAAGTAAGTTTCATATATATCTTTCAATATAAAATTTTTTTATAATTTTTGATGATTTGATTTTGATGAATGATTAAATATAAATAAATATATTTTTTAGGTTTATGAAATATCAGATTAACTCAAAATTTATTAATATATATTTGTAAAATATCTTTTTGTTTCATTTGATTAAAAATTATTGATATAATAATAACTGTACAAAATAATAAATATATTATGATTCATGAGTGTTTTAAAATTACAAGCAATAAAAAATTATAATTGAAAAGAATTATTATAATTGATTTTTTTTTCATTATCTATCCAAACAATAATTATTAAATTTTTTTATTAATTTTAATTATCTAAATAAGAGTTACATGTATCATCTTATTATTTTTTAAAATTTTTTTAAATTTTTTTTATTAATATTTATTCAAATGTAGAATTAAAGGAGCTTCGATAAGCTACCATTGTTTTGTTTTTACTATTAACCAGGCATGGATAATGGATGAATAGAATTAGGATGTAAGGAATCAGGTATCAGTGCATCAGGCTCACGGCATGTATTTTTTCTTTAAGCTTCGAATCAGGTTGGCAATCCAATCCAAATTCATCAGATTTTAACCCAATCCGATCCTATTGAGTTTTTTTTTTTTTTTTAATCTGATTTCAGATTAGGTTTTATATATATATATATATATAACATTTTTTTTATTTGTTTAATTTTATGTTTATATTTAAAAAATAATATTTTATTAATTTTAAATTAAAACGTTTAAGATTTTAATTTATGCACATAGAAGTTGAATTGAATATAAAAATAATATTTTAATATTAAATCAGATTAAATTCAAATATTTATTATTTAAAGTTGAGATCAGTTCTCATCTGATCCATTACAATCTACATTTAATCTCATTTTTCAAAGCTTTGACCTGTCAATAGATGATTAATTATGTATTTTTTTGATATAATTGTTAGGAGTTTGAAATTATTGATTTGATTAAATTCAAATTTTAATGTAATTGATTTATTCGATCATTATTTTTAAAAGATACCATTATATAAGTATGAGGTCGTAATTTAAATATAAGAGAAAGTTACAGATGCTACAATTTGAATCAGACTTGCTTAATGTTGCTTGAATCAAAGTCAATTTTCTAATTCAAATTTTGAGATGCAGTTATTAAATTGGAAAAGAAAAAAAGTCAAAATTGACCGGGCCCTCTAAAATCTACAATGTTACAAGTTGTAGACAAGCGAAACTTAACACGTTAGGCAGTCGGCAGTACCATTTGTCCTTTATTTCATTTTCTACGCAAAAGCAATTCAATCCTGACCGTTGATTTTTAAAGCAAGCAAACGGATAACAAAGAACAACAATCTGACGGCGTCAGTCAAACTTAAGAGCGCCAAAATTTCGCGGTCGCTCAAAACAATTCAAATTTCAACAAAATCCCCAAAATTCAAAAACCAACATAACGTCACGATTAAACAAAATATAGCTTCCTCCATTTCTCTCTTTCTTTTGCTCTCAGATCTGATATTCAAAATAAGATAAGAAAAAAAAAAGGGCAGAGAAATTTCACCATTATTTTTCTTCAATCCCAGGTACTTAAACCAATCTTATATTCCAGATTTCAAGTGAACTGTTCCTCTTCTTGGATTGTTCTTCTCTATTTTTATTGTATCACAAATTTGCAATTTGTTTTTTCTTGGTTTCATTTTATTGTACGTTTGGAATTGCCTCAATTTTATGAATTTTTGTGTACCCAATTGAACTTAATATGTATCAAATTATACTATGAGCTGCTTCTTTTAGATCTTAGATTTGGGGTGCAATCTAGAGAAATTATGTGAAAAAAAAGAGGGCAATTTTCTTGCTGGGTCTTAAGCTTTTTCCCAAAACCCCCCGTTTTTGTTACTTGCCCAAGAAAAACTTCCAATTTTCTATCTATTTTGAGTACCCAATTAAGGGAAAAGAGAGAAAATGGTGAGGGAGGGAACAGTGGAATCATTTTACGCAAGGCTTAGAGAATCGGTTAGGGCATCATCTCTCTCTCCATTACTCATATTCCCATCAACCTCTGACGTGGACTCTCTCTGTGCTCTCAAAATCATTTTCCACATTCTTGAATCTGATTCTGTCCGGTACTCGTGTTATCCGGTGTCTTCTTTTCAAGAAATCCAAGAATACGCTGCTTCTGAATTGAGTTCTTCCTCTGAGGGCCCTGTTACCATACTTTTGACAAATTGGGGATGCCACCGTGACCTCCAGAAGGATCTTAAGTTAGGGTCAGCTGCGCGGGTTTTCGTTGTTGATAGTCATAGGCCGATTCATTTGCATAACTTGAGTGACCAGAATGATCAGGTGGTTGTTCTCTATGCTAATGATGATGAGCGATTAGCTGATCTGGCGTATGATTTCGAAGTTATGGAGTTGGCAAATGCTAGCTATTGTTTGCATAATTCAGAGTTGGATAGTGAAGAAGATGAAGATAGTGAAAGCGAGGATGAAGATGAGGATGATGAGGAGGAAAGAGGACCCAGGGATGGCTCTAGGAAACGAAGAAGAATGTCTTCGGAAGGTGAAGAAGAGCCAGCATCTCGGCGTTTTAAGAGATTGAAAAGGGATTATTATCGGATGGGAACTTTCCATGGCAAGCCATCGGGGTGTTTGATGTATGATTTGTCGCATTCTTTAAGGAAAAACACAAATGAGTTGCTTTGGCTGGCTTGTGTTTCACTTACTGATCAGTTTGTTCATGAGAGGCTAACAGACGAGAGGTATGAAGCTGGGGTTATGGAGCTTCAGCAGCATATTAACAGTTTAGGGAATTTAGATGCAGTTACTTCAGTGACTCTTAAAGATGGGACCAAGGTTCGAGCACCTGATTCCTCAAGAATTGCCTATGAAGAAGAACCAAGACTTATGTTGTTAAGAGAGTGGAATTTATTTGATTCAATGCTGTGCTCCTCGTACATTGCCCCTAAGTTGAAGACTTGGAGTGATAATGGTATGAAAAAGCTTAAGCTTCTTCTTGCACGGATGGGATTTGCCCTTGTGGATTGCCAGCAGAAGTTTCAGTACATGAATTGTGAAGTAAAACAAAAGATGAAAGATCAATTTGAACAAATTTTGCCTGAATATGGACTTAATGATTTCTACTACAAAAGTTTCTTGCGTCTTCATGGTTATACTTCAAGGATTTCAGCTGCAGACATGGTATATGGGGTTACCGCACTGCTTGAATCATTTGTGCAATCAGATGGCTCTTGTGCTTCGAAGCAGTTTGGTGAGGCACATGATGCACTGTCCCTCAGTAATCTTGATAAGCTGAAAGCTGGAATGGAGCAAGCAATCAAGATACAAAGAGCTATTCTTAGGCAAGGAAGTGCCTCAATAACAAAGAGTGGCTGTGTCAGGAGTGGGAGAAAGTTTAGGTGGGTGAAGCTTGAAGATTCAGAAGATACAAAGCTGTTGGGTCACCCCCAGGCTCTGACTAAGTTCTGCTACTTTCTAATGGATGCCTTGAAGGAGAAAGGAGCTAGGTTGAAGCCTTTGCTTTGTGCCTGCATACAAGAGCCAGCTAAGGTGTTGATTGTTGGGGTCTGTGGAAAGCCTCGTCTTGGAGCACTTCAAGGGAATGCGTTTGGTCTTGCATTCAGGAATGCCGCCGAGGAAACTGGAGCTGAATTCTTTCATGAGCTCTTTGAATCTTCATGGATTGTGTTGGATGCAGGTGCTGTTAATTCCTTCATGGTCAGACTAACTGAAAAGCTTTGATGTAAAGCTTTCAATATGTGCGCAATATGTAACTTTGTTGTGTTCGGTGTTCTCAAAAGGAAAACATTTGTTCATTACTTTAAGTGAGTAATTTTTAGATTGTTTGAAATTATTCATAAATAAAAATCTAACTTGACTTCCTCAAGAATGGTTACATACTTTCTTCCTTTATCTCGTTTTTCTTCTGATCACTAACCAATCAACAGAAGTTGATCATTGAAGGGAAGCTGCATATGCACATGATATGATAATACTAGCACTTATCAGTACCAAGATTTTTGCATTTAAAATGTCGAGTGTTCATGTGATATTGAAAAACTTTTACATCATCAAGAAGCAGACGTTTCAGTAAATCGTGATAAGGTATGAAAACCTTTTCAAGCTCCGGCCAGTAGATGGGGGCTTGAAAAGAGTTCAGCAATGAAAGTGATAGGTAACCAGCAGAAAAAAAAAAAAAAAAAAAACGCAATCTTGGCCAAAATCTTTCCTGGTTCGTTTACAAGCACTCTTGGATTCTTCTTCACAACCTGGGCGATTTAAGCATTGTTGAGCCCATACATTTTGAGAAGGTTAAGGGCTGAATCTGGCTTCTCGGAACTTCTAAACTTTTTAACTTCTGGGAGACAGATTCTAAAGACAACCCACGTGAGTTTATGAGGTAAGAGACTGTAAAAGAGTGAACCCAATTATCTAATTTTTATCTCCAAAGATGGAGAAACTGGTCTGACAATAAACAAGGCAATAATTTGAAGAAAACCCAGATTAGGAACCATCGGTTGCAATCTTTTACCAAGGAAACCAAACATGATTGACTCACCAGGTTAAAACTGAAACTAAGCCAGCTTTTCCAAATGCATCTATAGTTACTGAATCATCCTTTTTCCAATAATGAAGGAACTTCGCCTTTTCTTTTTGATCTTAAGGACACCAACTGGCAAACAGCAGTAGAGAGAAAACCTTAGGCCAGGGTTTGGTCCTGTTGAAAACTTGGGCCACGATATTAAATATCCTTGAAATTGTTTTTAGTAGTAATTTATAATTAGTAGAAATCAGTAGTTAATTTCAGATTTAATTTAATTTATATAATTATATTTTTTAAAAATATTTATAAACTTTCATTTGATTACGGTCTTTTTTTATATATATAAAATATGACATCAGTAGTATATTTTAAACTGATAGTATCTTGCAACTTATATTAAAGATGAAATGTAATTCTTCAACTTTAATTTTTACTAATCAAAGTTACGCAAAGTAATTAGAGGATGTAAGTTAAATTATTAAATTTTTATTCATAATTATCATTTGAAGCAAAAACAATAAGTTTTAATTGGATGATGAATGAAATATTTGAATTCAAACTCCATTTAGAACAAATGCCAAAGATGGTGATTTTACTACCATATATAAATTATTTATAACAAATGCCAAATATAGAGATTTTACTACCATATATAAATTATGAGTTTATATTTGATATATTATTGGTATATAAATTTTATATATTATCGATAATATTATCTTATTAATGAATAAAATTTAAAAAAAAATTAATTTTTGATATAATTATTTTAAAAATTAATATTTACTCATTAATGAAATGATATTATTTTATTTACTGATAATATATAAAATTAATACTAATATATCAAATATAAACTCATAAATTATTACCAATATTTTATATATCTAATGTCTAATTTATTTTTGAAATTATATATAATTTTTAATATATGTGAAAAACATATATAGTATCAAAATAATTGATAATAATGTAATAAAAAAGGTTTAATAGCTTTCTCATCTCATAAATTTTATTTTATTTTTTCAAAATTTTGATTTTCACTTCATAATTTTTTTATGTTAACAATTAATCTAAAGTATTATAAAAATAAATAGTAAAATAATTTTTTATTTACTTTTAAATTATATAATTGATATTTAAAAATTATAAATTTAAAATAATTTATATACGTAATTTTTTTCAATAATGTAAATATAATAATAAAAATTAGAGTCGACGGAGAATTTAAAAGAAAATAGTAAAATAAATAAGAATATATTATAAAATATTACTCTACGATTATTGTACTGTTCACAGTCAAACAAATGTTGTTTGTACCAAAAAAAGCGTAAAAAAAATTGGACGCGCGTTGAAACAGCATTGGAAAATCACGCGTTGCATATGGAAGCAAATACGTAATAAGTATAATAATCGAAAAAGATCACGCTACGTGGAGCTGTCAAGCTCACACCGACCGCGCGTGTGTAAGAGGACAAACAATTTCCATGTTTGTGCGTCGCAGTTTCTCTCCATCTTCTCATACTAATTGAAAATCTTTTCCCTGTTTAAAAACCCTAGACAGGGAAGATTTTCATAAGGTCTCTTGGCTTAGCTCGTTTTCTTCGATTCTTCTTTATCTTTTTGAGGGAAAACTTTTGAATTCTCGAAGCGCTTCGATTTCGCTAGGATTTCAAGGTAAGATTTTGATCTCTCATACTCTGTCTCTCTCTCTTGTCAAATTGTTTTCTTATCCCAATCCGTCTGGATTCAATGGATCGGTGTTGTGATTGATGTTCCATTGTTAAGGTTTTGGGATTTTTAAGGCTACATTTTGTTGCGATTGATGTGTGTTCCTAAATTTAATCGGTTAAATTTCTTAAATTTTAATTTTTTTATTCGATCATCGCTTGATCATAGTTAATTGCTTGTGGGTTTTTTTAAAAAATCTTGCCAGTGGTTCGAATTTGAATTTTGATTAAATTTATCCCATTTTTATAATAATGGTTTTATGGCAAGTGATTGTTCATTATGCTGTAGCTTTTCATAAATTTTCTTAATAAACAAATCGTCCTGGAAATTTGACAATCATTGGTTAAACTGATTTGCTGCTATTTAGACTTTGAAGGAAGCAAAGTTTGTGAAAAAGGTCACTTTTTTGCTAAAATATTATTCTAATTAATATTCACATATATATCTTTCACTGTTTTTAATTTAAAAAAAGTTTTCAGAGAATAAATTGTCTGTCTGTGCATTTTCTAGACTTTTTTCGTAACGAGGCTTGTTTGCTTCGGAGGTGTTACGATCCAGATTGAACTCGTTATGTTTTAGCAAGTTTCTTAAAACTTTCCAGTGTTATTTTTCTCGAGAAGCTAATTTAATCTTTTAGCTCTCAAATCAAGTAAAAGAATTGATTGCTTTTAGTGAAAAGTTGATATTATATTTACGGTGAACATATCTGTGAAAGGTGTTTTTTTAGTCTTTTAGGTTTTTTTGAGGCTGCTATATTTGGATAGTGCATAGAATAATCATAAGCAGAGCATGAGCACTCTTGAAGTTAGGGGCCCTCCTCTTAGAGGGTATCGACGGAGGAAGGCAGTGTTGGATCTAAATGTTCCTCCCAGTGAATTAAGGGAACAGGAGGGTACTTCGCAACAGGCTGGCCCTGAGGAAGTCTCTAGCCAGCCTGTACAGCCTGCGCCACCTGCCACTATTGATGTTGAGGCTATTGATGATGATGTAATTGAATCTTCTGCTAGAGCATTCGCTGAGGTATGCTTCTCTTGTTCAATAATTTTTTATTTTCACTTTAACTGTATATGAAATCTGTTTTTATGGATTCATTTGAACCATGAGTGTTTCTAATTTTCTTGGGATTTTATGTCAGGCTAAAAAAAATTCAAGGAGGATCTATGGAAGGACTGTTGTTGATGTAGATTCAGGTAGTTAAACTTGTGAGGGAAGGACGGTTATAATATTTCCTTTTCCATCATGTGCTACTTGTCATATGCTTGTTGCATAGCAAAGCTTATTTTGATGCACCACCTTGTAAATTCATTCTATTTATCTGCATGAGGTCAAAATATTCCTTGTTAATTACATTGTTGAGGCCCCGTTAATGTAAGAATCTGAAGGTACATATCCTGTAGATTTCAATATCTGTCTTGGTTTAGGTGCTTCGGTATTTTTTTTTATTTATTTTTTTGAGTTCAGGGTCCTTATGACAAATGAACCTACCCTTAAATTGTTCAATTATCTTGAGTTATAGTTCATTTTTTCATATTTGATAAATATAAAATTATTAACTAGAGTAGGAAAGGAACCTGGATTTATTCTCTGCAAATGAAGTTTCTGAAAGGGGACAAATTGGAAACAAAACAATCATGCTTCAGTTAACCAAACACAATGTAATCCAAGTGAAAATCTAGGTGACATTAAGCTGATGGATCAAATTTTTTTTTTTGTACTTTTGAAAATTGCATTAAAATGGAAATAAAACTGCTGGTACTGTTGTAATTTTACTTTGCTTTACGATGTCCATATTTTCTCAGAATATCTAGTTGGTTTGGTTGTTTTGTATTAAGAATTAGTGAGCACTGAGCCGCAAACTCCTATTGTCTACTAATGTATTTGATGACTCTGTAGTCTATACTAGTTTGTTGAAGGGATTGTAGATATACTGTTTTTAAAGCTAGCTGTTTGTCTGGTTTGTTGAGCCATAAATTCTCTGGTTTTTAAAGCTAGCTTCGGGGCCAGTGGCTTGTGAAGTGGGGTTTACTGTTTGTCAATGGCTCAAACACTAGAATAAAACAAATCCAACCTCAATTGACGTAGATGTTATTGCTTGGCAACTCTCTGGTCCAGTCCAATCTTATGTTACTTATGTGACTGGGAAGGTCAACCAATTTAGAGATTTGTGGATCTTCTTTTACTTCATTTATCTTTGTAGTTGAACCCCTAGATTACTTTGTCTGAAGTTGGTGTGGCTTACATTTCTCTCCTTCCAGGACGGCTGGCTAGGTCAACTAATAATAATCAGAACAAGCGCAGAAGACTTCCTCCGAGCCCAACAGTTATCAATTGTGATCATTATATCAATTTGGAAAGCACGCCACAGTCTATTGTAAGAGCTCTTTTCTTAGTGCTTTATTCAAAAGATGTAACTTAAATAACTTAAAATATTTTCAAGGACAAGAATATACATATTTGGCTGGTCATTAGATCTAAGACATTGTGATTGGACATCTCTCTTTATTTTTGTCCATGCACGTGTTCTCATGTAGGTGCATCCCTTCTTTTTATTAAATTTATGAATGTTTAAGACTCATTAACTAATTTATTGTCAGGTTGAGGAAACTATAAAGCCGCAACCACCTCCAAAGGAACCAACCTTCAATTGTCCAATTTGCATGGGTTCATTAACCGAGGAGATGTCAACAAGGTGTGGGCACATTTTCTGCAAGGCATGCATTAAAGCTGCAATAGCTGCACAGGGAAAATGCCCAACCTGTAGGAAAAGAGTCACTGTGAAGGAACTAATTAGGGTCTTCCTTCCATCAGCCAGTTGAATATGAGCTTCATGCCAACTAGTAACGTAAGTTTCCTATTCTATCTTTTTTTAAGGTTAAATTTCCATAAGGAAAGAAAATGAATTCATAGATTGTGAAAGTGAATTATATATGGTGAATATTCATTGTGGAAGACATGCATATCTTTCTCATGCGCTTGGATGCTGTATTTTCATGGATGAGGGCTTTATCTAAATCTATATCTGATATGTTACTCTGCTATTTTTCCAAAGCATTTTGTTTACTGTAGTGGTGCCGGGCTTGAAGATGTTGTTTTAACTTTGTTGATATGTGGCAGCTTTCTAAATGCTATTATTTATTCTTTTAAATTATGTTGTGATGATGATTGTTGTTTTATTTCAGGGATAATACAAACTGCCCTTGAAAAGAGAAAGAATCAACAGATTTGGTGTCAGTGGAACTATTTTTTGAATTTTGGAATTTCTAACGTGCATGTTTAAAACAATGTTTCCATGGACTATCTTTTTGATTAGTTATCTGAGCGGGCTTTTTTGCTTTCAAATATGTATGCAAATCTGCCAGTTGATAACTTGTTCAGCTCAGCTTCATTGTTATTTGAACTAAACTTGGACTTGACAACTTTTTTATATGTACAGTAAAAGAAATTAAAATCAATGATTTATTAGGTTACCTGTGTTTGGTCCCTTGTATTGCTAAGGTTCATGAGCCGATTGGTCTTGGTCGACTGCCTGTTTTTGCGGAGCAGGCAACCATCAGCCTTAGGCTTGAGTTAGGCTGAATTAGCTCTGTTAACTGTATTCTTGATGAACATGGAGGGTGTTACAGTTCACACTAATTTGTGAGTTATTGTTTGTTTTGGTCTGTTAGTGTCACGATTTTATTTTATAAAAGTCGTTACACAAGTTGAAGAGTTGTGAATTTTTATATTTTAAGATTAACTTTATTACACAGTCGATATAATATTTATAATTCTTTTTTAGGATCATGATATTTTCTCTCACTTCAATAGAAGTTTACCATCTTCAATGGCATATCGTTAGTACCTTTAGAATCAGTTCTAATATCAAATGTTATGGTTTACATTAACTTGTGAGATATTATTCGGTCTGGTTTGTTATTTTTATGATTTTGTCTCACAAAAAGTTTTTCATAAGTTGAAGATGTGTAAATTTTTATATTTTAAGATCAATTTTAATATACAGTATATGTCATATTCATAATTCTTCTTTAAGATCATATTAGAGGGCCTGAGGATGATTGTTGGTAGGCTGTTTGTTTTAAATCTATTAAAATACATTTTTGAAGAACGCTTTTAATTAATTGTCGAGAGATGGTCATAAAAAGGAACAAGAGCAGCTTGTTAACTAATTTATTCAAGTGCAAAGACACTTGAGATAGCCATTGCTCATGTAGGTGGTACAATAACTACAACGAGCCAATCCCCTAGTTGACTCTCTTTATTAAGATCTATAGACCATGATGGCAAGCTCTCTCTCTGGTCATGGGGATTGGTCGATGGCATTGCCTTCACCTTCAGTCACTTCTGTTCGCTTTTCATCAGCCTTACTCAGCGCTGCCCTAGCTTTAGGTGCCCCAAGGAATGCCAACAGACCTCCGCAGCATCCTCCAAGCCAAGGTGGCTTGACCAAGGGAAGTGGCCACCCAAATAAAGGAAGACCCCAAGGACCAAGGAGACTTTGCGGACTGTAAACTTCGTCTTTCGCCGGTATATCCCTCGCCCCTTCAGTCAGAAGAATCGCCAAAAGAAAGAGAAGGAGAACGGATGTTGCCTTGGCCATTTTCCTCTCCATACTGGACTTTTGCTTCTGTCTCTCACTCTTTTGCTTGGCGAGTCTACTTCCATTCCACCCTCGTTTTATAGTGCGATTCTGATGGTTTAGTAGCTTGACTTGGGGAGATTGTAATTACTGCATCATGCAATGGGGAGCTTGGTTCTTTTAGAAACCTTAAAATAACCAACCACCCATTGGCCATGGCAGGTGATGGTGGTGCTTAACGCTGCAGACCCCATCATTTGCTATCAATGTTTTACGTCTTAGGTTGTTCGGATCGTCGTAGATGAAAATTTTAAGCAGCTTCATTGGCGGCTATGGCCCCCCCAAAAGATTATATTGGTGTAAATAGGATTTGCTTTGGGAGTAAAGCCTTACCATTTCCATGGAGCTTTCTGATGGCTAAAATTCGTATAGTAGTTACTTTTGGAAGTGAAGATAAAGTGGTTGGATATCTACCTCATCTCCCAGTGAGGAGCTAGCGGTGCCTTCAATTCATGGAAGAAATTGATGCTTTTTCTCATTTCATATGGAAGATTGGCTTGTTTAACAAACGAAAAAAAAATTATTTTTCAATCAAGTCGACTGGTAGAAATCAGAACTATAGGTAGATTCCTTGACGAAAATTTTTGTTTTTGTCATCAATTTAAAATAAATTAAACAAAAATTAAGATGAAAAACCTGAATGAAAACAATTTTATGATAAATCATGTTGAAATAAAGTTATTGATACTGTACATGTATCGGCCTGTACATATAAGTAATGAGAAAAATTGATAGAATATTTAAATTTATGTATGGTTTTATTTTTTGTATTGATTAGCATAAGATTTTATCTATTATTTTTTTAAAAAAATTATTTATTTTATTCTTTTAATCCATCCCTAACCTTTCATGATCATTGTTATTTTTTCGTAAATTCATTCAAAAATAATACATGTTAATTAAGTTCATTAAGTTATTGAACAATAATTTATTATATTTTATATTTTTAAAATCTATTTTGTGTATACATAATGAAAATGTATTTATATGTATATATATATATATATTTTATGGCTAAAATATTAGATAATACCACTAAAATAATATATATATATATATATTTATATATCAATCGATTCAACACTGGCTACTTCGACTGGCTGAAATATATAATAGTTCAAAAAATTGAAATGGGCCGACTCTTGTAAAAATAGACCGAGCTTTATACAGGCTGAGTCAAACCTCATAGCCCCTAAGAGAATTTCAAATGCCTGCTAAACCTAATAGGCCATCAGTTCGTGATGGGCCGAATTATCTTATCAAAAATTCAGAATACATGAAAAAGGCACATCTTTAATCTTCCACTTCCAAGGGAAAGAAAAAGGGGTGAAAAACGTGGAGTAACTGAATAAGCCCTTCAAAACTCCTTCACTCCGTCGAAAAGAGAAGAGCCCTATGGCTGCAGACAGCAACAAGAGGAAGAGGCCGAACATTTTGGTAACGGGCACCCCTGGAACGGGTAAAACGACGACGTCTTCTGCTCTGGTGGAAGCCACCCAGCTCCACCATATCAATATTGGGGATTTGGTCAGGGAGAAAAACTTGCACGACGGATGGGACGACGACCTCCAGTGCCACGTCATCAACGAAGATCTCGTAATTCCACTATTTTCCTTACGCTCTAACCGTTTAATTTCTTGATTTATTGTTGTTGTTGTTCAACAATGAATTAGTTCATTAAGTAGTATGAATTTGATTTTAATGTGTCGAATTCTGAAGGTCTGTGATGAGCTTGAGGATATGATGGAAGAAGGGGGAAACATAGTGGATTATCACGGTTGTGATTTCTTTCCTGAGCGATGGTTTGATCTTGTGGTGGTGCTTCAAACGGACAACACTGTGTTGTATGATCGGTTGAGTAAGAGGTGCCAATGTTCTGTCCATATGATTAGAGTTTCCAGTTAATTTACTTGAGTTTTTTTTTTTTTTTTTGGTCTCAAAAACTCTTTTTCTGGCCAGAGGTTATGAGGGTTCCAAGCTTTCAAACAATATAGAGAGTGAAATCTTTCAAGTTCTGCTGGAGGAGGCAAAAGAAAGTTACCCAGAGGATATTGTTATAGCTTTAAAGAGTGATAATATTGAGGATATCACTAGAAATGTTGCGACTATTACAGATTGGATCCGGAGTTGGCCCCTAAGATCTTGATCGAATACAGTTTTCGTAATTTGCCCTGCCAATGCCTGCTGCTTCACCTTATGAAAGAAGCTGCAATGAGGGCTTTAGTCAAGTATGTCTTTGTTTAAGTTTTAGCTCTAATATGAAATCAGTTAATTTTCGTAGTTTTGTTATTTTCATGGATTAGTCTCAGGGTTCAGACCGTGCGGGATCTTAATTTTTAATTGAGTGTTTTTTATTTTATTAATGGTGTGTAATTGATAGTTCAAGGATGTATTGTGATCAGTTAATAGACACCGTTTTCTACTGGTAAAAAGAAATTATAACTATAAGCCATTAGGTTGTGGATGTCTGCCACATGCATTATTTTCTGGAGCATTCTATACCTTCATTTCGGTCTGTAATATGAATATGTGAGATTAGAACTACCAGATGTCGATGGCAGAAGGATATTTGCCATCCCTGTTTCCATGGTTGTTCTATTGCACAGAAAGTAAGGTGTAGAATACAAGAGCTCCAGCTTATTAACTACGAATAGAGCTAACCTTTCTCAAATTGATCTACCAGAAATGGAGAACCATCAGTAATGTCAAGCCTGTAATGCACAATGTTTACCGCATAACCCATTCCATTTGTCATGATTCATGAGGCAATAACTGCTGGGGTAATGCAAAATTTAAGTAGATTTCTATACTTTAAAAGTTGTTCTGAAAGCTACTTGCCAGAAATTGTCTAATGCAATTGTATTAACAATGTGGCTACTTGGATCACTGATCAGAACTACAACTTCGTGGCTGAATCTTTTCTTATTCATCTTGAATCAGTCTGCACCGTGTTACAACAAATAAGTTGCATTATATGCAAATAATTAAGGCATTTAACAGAGAAAGTGTAAACAGCTATATATTTGTTGTTGGCCTCATTTGGTATCATGCACATCAACAATCATTAAAACATCCATCTTGGGGATGAATGAACAGTGCTTTGGTGTGGTTTGCTTGGTGGCTGCTCTGAGTTGTTACGTTTCTTCATGATTGAGGAAACTGTAGGGCTAAAGTAGTCGTTACTCCTTTGAGAAGTTGCCCCTTGTGAGTAAGTCTTCTTTCCATGGATAAAGGTCCTCTGCTTTTCCAGCAATGCCCTGCGAGCCACTGAATTTCTTTGAACAGCTGCCCATCTAGTGTAACCCACACAACTCTGGCTCCTTCCCACTTGCTGAAACTTCCCCTCTCTGGGACTTGTGTAGTTTCGGCTCTCGGCAGTCTCGGCAGAGTACATGGTCTCCCCCTCACTGCTATATCCATTATGCATCTCCGAAAGTTCTACAGGAGATGAACTAGACTGGACCTCACTCTGGGTCCCATTTACAGACCCTGTTGAGGCAACATCAGCATTCTCACTGGGACTTGTCTGTACTCTATTCCTGATTTGATCTTCTTCTCTCAGTTGGCTTTCTGGAGGAAGTTCCATCAAACAATTCTCATCTGAGTTCAGAAGTTGCTGTTTGGCAGGCCGCAAAACTACAGCAGTTTTTGCAATCCTGGGAGGAAAATTTATATCCAAAAGCTGGATTTGGGTAGTCTCTTTCTTCCTAAGAGGGACTGCAGTCAACTTTGATGATTCATATATTTCAGGAGTTGGGATTCCTTGCGCATGTGCAGCATGTGGATCAGAACATCGCATTTCTTCTTCAATGGTGTTCACTGCAGCAGAAGAGCTTGGTCCTGACTGATCCCTAGTTTTCATGATTATATTCGATGAGGATGGAGTTATGTCATTATCAGTTTCTGTTGACTTAAAAACCTGGCGCATTGTGAAGGATGCAGATGAATGCTCACTCTTCTGGCCTGAGGACATCAACCTAATAATTGGTAGCTTGGGTTTGGTAACTTCATCAAGACTACCTTCCCAATGCTGGTTTAACCAATCACAAATGATGGGAATGGGAATACCAAATTGCATAGGAGTATCTTTCTTCCATGATGATGAGGATGAAGAAGTCGAGGACGACTTGGTATTAGGAGATGTAGCTAGCTTCATAGGATCACAGATCATAAATGCAAGGTTCCCCTGTGCATCAAATCCAGCTGAGCCCGGGTTCCAAATTATTCCATCGGTTGACAGTTTTATGAGATTGTCAGTAGCAATCACCACCTTTCCTTCACCTACTGTCAGTTCTTGTTTCTCTGTGTAACCTAGAAGGTAAACAGCACTTCCTAGATCTAGATTTGGTTTAGAACATGTCTTCAAGAAATGAGGTTGCTGCCCCTGGATATTTGATTCTCCATCCATGACATCTAAGCCCACTATTGTTAGATCTAAAACAGAGCTGGTAATGAAAAACCTGCAACCAGATTAAAGACAGGAATATAGTTTGAAGTATGCTAAATAAAAGAAGATTTAGAAAGAAATATTTCAGGAGTTCTGCCACCTTTTTTCCTTTGCCCATGCATAACATCAGTAAATTACCAGAGGAATTTTAATCATGAAACTATTAAACCAAAAAAAAAAAAAAAAAAAAAAGAGAGGCAGGAGTGGAGGAGACACTCCATGGTGGAGCAAAACTCTAATGAAGCCCCTAAATGGGCCAGCCTAGAGAACAATTAGAACATTATCAACTAACTAGAGCAAGCATTGGACTATCTTTCAACTTTTCATCAAATATCAAGAGTTTCCACGGGCTCTAAGAGTGAACTAATGAGGGCATTTCCTATAGCCACTACTACCAGATGGCTTCCAATTGGAAAGAACTTGCCTTCAGTAAGGGAACATGGAATTCAATGTTAAGACATCATATGAAAAGGAAATACAAAATGTCAGGGTGCATCCATGGTTAGGTTGAGGGGTAGAATGAGAACTTCTCACTTCAATCCATACAAAAGGGTCAAAACTTAAAAGAAGAGAAAAGGTAACTATCTAGAAGAAATCCAAATTATCATATAAGTTTCCAAAAAAGTACCATTAGCATAAGTGCCAAAAACAACTATGTATAGTCTAAGGATAAAAATAATAATTCTATAATCAAGAAACAGAAATTATCAATAATACACCAAATCTGAATATCTCTCTATCAAGTCAATCATAGTATCAATGAAGTACATAGAAACCCTTGGAGGAGTTCGGGGGGAAAGGAAAAAGAAACCCAGCAGGAAATAACTAAATCAACAGCAGAACCTATGATGAATTGTAGCCCAATAAATATTCTAATTTAACGGGACTTTTAATATAACAAAAATACAAACGTTATCTATTTTTTCAGTTTTACGCAACCTAATTTTAAGCCCGCAAGAGGGCATAGTTTACGAATTTGCAAAACAGAAGAACATATTCATTTTCAGATGGATGATAACTAATGCAAGGTGACTTGCGAAGTATTGTGCACATAGAAGCTGTTGAAGACTTGAAGTGTCTTGTTAGATTCTTTGCTCCTTTGCAAGATGATCATTTTATCCTCAGGTGTTAAAAGTCGAGAGAATAGTCCACAGACCATAATCAATAACTTCCAAAATTTTTAGCTAAGATTGATAAATTATGAACATTGCTGTTGCACTGAGACAATGAAAATGCTAATTAACAGTATATTACTGACCACAGCATTAAGAATCACGGGTGACTATATATACACACACACACATACATACATACATATATGTATATATATAATTCGTCTGTTGAGAAAATATGTTATCACTAAACGCTTGTAATACACATGAGTTAGGAAAACACTTTTTTATACATTAAGTTATCTAACATAACTGTGAACACATCAAAGTATAACTTCATTGAAGAAATCCAAATGATACTCAACTTATCGCGTCCTCACGCTGCAAACCGAATAAGAAGCCTTGGATGCATATCTTTTTGTTAAGGTAAAGTATTATGGGCCTCTAATGATCTAAACTAATTTAACTTCTAGGTGAAATGCAGCACAAATTGCAGTTAGCTAGACATTCATAGTAAAGTTATGACAGTGAAATGTCAACAAAAAAAAGGTCGAAATCTTAACAAAGATCAATGAAGAATCTTCTTTTATTAATGAAGACTTTACAACTATAAGTTCGACATGTAATGAAATACAAGCACAAAAGGTAAAGCTAAACTGATTGGCTCAATCAAATCACAAAGTTGAGAATTCTAATAAGCAAAAAAAAAAATTCTACAACCATCAATCTTGGACCCATATTTCTTTAATCAACCAATAATAATTCGAAAAGCGTTTTCATAATAGTAATTCATACCCACATCAAGTAAATGAGACATTAAAAATTCCTCTTTTTCCCATCAGTTAAACGAAAAGTACAAAACCCAGAAAAATAAAAACAAAAATAACCTGTGAGGAACGAGAGTGGCAGCCACGCCGTTTTGGAGCCGGATCTCGGAGCTTTCAGCAGCAGCTACAGAAGGGAGGTTAACGTGAGTAGTCAAGAGAAGATTCCGGTGAATGAGGAATCCGGAAACTGAGATTCCATCGACGGAGGCTCCGGTGATTCTCGCCATTGCCGGAGCTTTACTTGAGGAAATGGCGCCCTTCATTCTTTCTGCCTTGCTTACTCCTTTGCAAAAACACCATGATTCTCTTAAACCACCCATTTTTTTTCTTTTAAATTTTCAACAATTTAACGAGTCCAGAAATTTGGGTTTTTATGTTTTTGGTTTTTGTCAAAGGGCTGGATCTGGAGAGAGTGACATTTTGAGGTATCTGAGTAGAAAAGTAATGCAATATAAAGTGTTTGACACTTTGCTTCACTGAGAGAAAAAGGAGAGAAGGAGGAAGAAAGAGCAAGGGAGGGGACGAGATGGTCGTGAAATGAGTAAAGTGAAAGGGGATTTGCGTTGTGTTTTCGAGCTGGAGTCTTTGGACAAAAATAAAAAAGTGTCTGCGATTAAAATACTGTGACAGAGCCAGAATCCTGAATGATTGATTGTGTTTTGTAATTTACATCAAACTCAATTTGAACCATACACGTGTTATAAAGATGGCAAGTCTCCCTTCACACACTCTACGTAGAAATCGCACTTTGTTTCAATATAGACGCTATTGGGAGTTTGGAGATATTTAAAAAAAATGTAAGAATGATCAATTTTAATCACAAATTCAATATTAAATAAGATATAATAATTTAAATTTTAATTCAATTGATTTATATAATTATTTTAAAAAATATTATTTAATTTGTATAAAATTTAAATCTTAATATTTATAATTTTTTTAATTGTTCTTAAACTATAATTTTTTTTATATAACAAAAATAAAATATCAAATGTTGATTAAAAATCACTACTAAAGTAAATTTATTTTTTATCATACAATACTTAACACATTAGATCTGGACCTAATGTATAAATTTGAACCCACCAAATTAATGAAGTTGGAATCGAATTCATTTATGAGTTTGGTTTTAAGATCAATATTAAAAGTTTGGGAATGATTTTGAATTCAAAAACGAAATTAGAAGTAAGTGAAATGTTATTCCATGAATGTTTAGTACATAACAACATTCCATTGAATGTTATTCTATAAGTTTTAATTGATGGTGGGTTTCTCTCAACCTTTTTTCCTTTTTTTTTTTTTTTAAATTTCTAGTATTAAAGAGTTTAATATAGTATGTTCAACTACTATTATATTTTAGGTGAATTATATAAATATACTTATAATTGAAGACCGAATAAATTTATTCACTGAAATTAATAATTATTTTTAATTATTTTATGTATTAATTATGTTATTTGAATTTTAATATTGATAATTAATAAACACGTAACTCTTATATGATCATCTTTTTCTTTGTTTTTTTTTTTGTTTATTTCTTTATTTTTATGTATTGAAAAGTTAGAAGAAAAATTATTTTTTATTTGAAAGTTATCAATTTAAAATCCCTGATTTTTAATTCAAGTTTTTCTTAGATTTCTAAAAAAACATAAATACTAAACCAAAAGTCTAAAGAAAATCCAAGAAATCCCATTAGGTTAAAACATTCAAATCCATCCCCAAAGAAAAATCAAAATCCAATCTCAATATAAAATCAAACCTAATACACATTATGGCTAATTATTTATATTAATAAGATTAAAATTAAAATTACGAAATGAATATGAAGAAAAAGAGATGTTGAGCTTGGAGTGAAATTGGATGTCTGATTCGGTGGCCAGCTTATGACTGATATATTCAAAAACAGTTGAATTCATTCATTAAATAGGGATGTTTTCCAATGAAGAGGTTGATATTTTAAAAGACCGTATTAATGAACAATTAAAATATTTGACCTTCAAAAAATATATAATTTTTTTTCTAAGAAAGGATGACAAGTACCAACTGTTATTGTTAGTTGCCTGAAGTGAAAATCTTCATGTAATCAGTGAGTTCGCACATGAAAGAACACGTGTAGAGTGAAGTGATTTTCGGTCTTTTTTGTTTTTTTTTTTTTTGCCTTTTCTGCTTCGCTTGAGTAAGCTGCGAGTGTGGAGAAAACATGTGACACGTAATAATTGAGTGGAAATGTAAGGGTTTATAGAATAGCTGGACCGAAGAACAAATATTTTTGAATATCCATATAAATTATTTATAATAAACCCTTAAACCAACATTTTTTTGTCTTATTATATATGGAAATTTATTTTTTTTAATACAAAAGAGACCGATGAAAAATTATAAATATTAAAATTTAAATCATAAATTTATTAAATATTATTTCTTACAAATAACAGCATAAACTAATTTAAATCGAGGAGATTATCACATTTCAATGAGCCAATGCCAAGTAACGCGAAAATGGGCCTTAAGAAACTTAAAATTCGGTAATGATATTTGACTCTTCAATTCCGCCTAATGGCAATAACGTTGTTCAAATTTGTCACAACTCAGTTGTGACTTGATTAAAGTTTTAGGATTACGAAGAGAATAGAGGAAAATTGAAAAGACTAAGGAAAGAACAGAGAAGAATTGAGGAGACTAAAAAAAGAATAAAGAGGGATTCAAAAAAGAACTATCATCATCTTCTGCCATAGTCTTGCTCATGCTACTATTGCTCTTTTCCATCAAGTTCATCACAAAACTTTGGACTTAAAAACAACAAACTTCCAGCCGTAATGACACTGAAATGGCTAAAATCAATCATGGGTTTGAGCATGGAAGGGCGAAAAACCAAAACCCTAGATGAAAATAAGAAACCATAAAATCGAAAATGAGGAAGGATGTCTGATTTTCATCAGTAGTTCCAATGTTTGATAGCCCGAGATTCGACACTGGATAGCTCCACCTGCGACTAATGGTACGACACTCCAAGTAATCAAGTTCTTAATTTGTCAAGAACACTTTAAGATCTCACCTCCAAAATGAAGACCTAAAATCTCAATCTCCTGCCAGACCATCCCACCGTCATAAGTAAACCCCAACAAACAATTTCTTTGTAGATATAGGTTATTGCGTCACCCTTTTGCAATGTGTTGAATGTTGCTATTACTAGAGCTTGGTAGTTACAACTCACTGGATCATACCAAACAGAGCTCAACCAATCCAGTGGCATATAAAGCACTTTTTTTTTTGGTCCATTCGGTAAGGAATAGGGGATGAGGATGGTGGGGTTCAACTCTCACCTTACATGTCTTTCTAAGCCTTCCTAGCCATTAGGCCAAGAAGCTCAAGACACATAAAGCTCTTTGAGATCATGAAACTCACTTTAAAGCATAAATCATAGGTGTCTGACTCTTGAAATAAGATAACTGTAAAGCATAAACATGCCATTTTGCACCTTCACAGCAGAAAGATCGAAAGATAAACTTTGTGCAAGACACCATCAACATGTTTGATGAAATGGAAAAAAATTACCTCCTTAGAGCACTGAAGCTTTGTTCCACACTTGATAAACACCAAAAAATAGCTAGTAGCCAATTTGTGAGAGCTGAAAAAATGGCAATTCATTTCTTTTACCAAAATATTCCCCAATATATTGTTAGACAAAAGCACTACAATTCCTCTATGAAAGTTATCTAAACTTTGAAGTTAGTTTCCCAATCTGTAATTTTTCTCTCAGGTCCAAAACAGAGATCCATTGGTAAAGCTCGAAGCAATTTGCTCCAACTTGGGTCTAAGAACAAGAAGAGATATTAAGAAGCAACAATCACTCAGAACCAACATCAACCCCCCTTTGCTTCAGAAAGTCCTTGGCCTCACCAATGTCCTATAAATATACTACATATTAGGGAACCGCCAAAAACAAATAACACCAAGAAATTAAAATAATTATCATCAACTTATTACAAACAGGGCAAATACAATTTGAGATTGCTTTTAGCAGATAAGAAGATTATTCAAGTCCCAACCAAAGGACATATTACCAGCCTGCTCAAAAGCATAGAGGAAAAACAAAACGAGAGGAAAAGAAAAAGGTAAGACATTCATCACTAGTTACCCATATATAATTTAAACACTTATGAAAATAAAAATTTTAAGATGTGCAGGAATGTGCAGGAAAAAAGAAAGAAAATGAAATACCTGCTGCAGCAGCAATGCTTCTTGAGGGCAAGTCGGGAATCGCATTAGACCAACTCCCACCATTAATAAACCATAGCATCCGAGTGACACAATAAAATAGATAGGTAGCTGAAAGATTTTATAGAGCAAAATAAGCAGTAATGAATTAGAACAAGTAGATATATATAGATCATGAACATCAAGGCAAAAAAAGAAACTCACCAACCAAGTATGGCTTTGTGGTATTATAGATGCCTGCAAGAGGCCAATCCAAAGCGCAGAGATGACCACCAGCAGAGAGAAAATCTTCAAAACATGCTTCATCGGATTGGCAATGATAATTAGCTCAGATGTCCTGATTTTATTTCAAACCACTTAAAACTTTAAACAGATAAAGACAAATGGCGTGTAGGTGAAAAACAAAATGCATATAACCAAGTGATTTATCAAAGGCTCAAGTATTTATAACCACCTAAGGCACAAAGAGCACGTCTATACATGAGCATGTGGAACTTGTATGTGATATTTATAAAGTGGAAAAACATACTAAAATTTATAAGTATGAAAAACACATAGCAATGAGAAGTAAACTGCAAAATAAATTAGAATAATCACCAAGAAAGAAGTTCTTGAGATAAACAGAAACAACAATCAGTTTCCTACTCTTACTATCAGTTGGAAAAAAGGGAAAAACGCATGTATAATAAGAACAGACGCACCAACAAATATGCTTAAAAAACAAACAAAGAAGGCCTTAATGAAATCTTTAATATCTAGTCCGTTCTAATCTAACTGCAAAATCAGTAGAAACAGAGTTTTGAGTGTCCCTTTGTACAATTATTAGGTCCATCCTTTATAGCTAAAAATGCTGTTTGACATGGTGATTCCAAACAATGTGGAAAACTAAGAATTCAAACATATATAGAAAAACAAATTAAGTTCTTATTGCCATCAGAAGGGATAGAGCAGAAATGATATTTCATAATTGTTCCATAGAATGGAACTCAAAGCCCTTGCGCAAAACATCCCGAACATCAGCTGGCAAACTCTCGTAAAGGGATCAGCCATTTCTCAAATCTATGGTAAGCGAACTAAAACCCATTTAAACACAACAAAAGAAAAGCAACCCAGAGGAATCAAAAGTATAAACTGCCATCAGAATGAATATCTAATAAAAATCTTTTTTTTTTCAAAGTCCCATGCTGCTTTTGCATCACAGGAACTCAAAGCCCTTGCGCAAATTTCCCAAACATCACTTGGCAGTTTCAGTTTCAGTTTAAGATTTGTTTTTTTTTTTTTCTTCCCAAGTAAATAAACAATCAGATCGAAGAACGAGTAAATCGACTGCTAAAAGAGCATACCTGCAAATAAAAAAAGAAGATAGAGGAGAGTCAGGGGTACAGCAGCCGAAAAAAGGAAGAAGAAAAGCGAACAGAAAACCAGCAGAGGCAGAGAGAAGGTCTGTTTGACTAGTTAACCTTTTGATATGCACGGCCACGGAACTGGGTCATTTGGCCTTTAATTCTAACTAATGCAAAAAAAAAGATTTTGAGGACGGTTAGATCTGAGTGTGAAGCGTGAGCTATGGTTTTGGTTTTCGTATCCTTTCGATGCGGCGGGGGTGAGAGAGGTGGGCTGACACCTATGGTAAGAAGAAAGAAAACAAAGCTGGGCTTTTAAGTCAGAGAAAAGAGCACCAGAGCGAATGTGGTTGAGTTTGGGCCTTTAAACTGTTTTCATAATTCCCCTGATGAATTTTAGAAAATAAATTATTATTAGAAGCTATAAAATCTGAAAATTTAACTCAACCAAACAGAAGGTCTTCTTTGTAACCGAAAATCAGGTTCTGAAAAAATAAAAATTCATTCGAAATTATAATATTTAATTTAATGTATTATTTAAATTAAAATTATATCTATTAAATTTAAAATTAATTTTTGTAAACATTTAAAAAAATAAATTAAATCGAATTATATATTTTTATTAATTTTTATATATATTTTAAATTTTTATAAAATAAAATAATTATTATATATATAAATTTATTTAAATATATTTAAAATTTTATTAAAATAATATATAAAAAAATAAAAATTTAAACTTTAAAAATGAATAAACCAAATCAAATTAAGAAAATTTAATTCCAATTGAGTCAATTTTACAAAAATAAATCAATTCTATGCATTATTAAAAATACGGTAAACTTAAAAAAAATACCTTGTGATTAAAGCTAAAAGAAAAATGTCTTCTGAGATTTAAGATGTGACACTTAACGACCTTATGCAAGTATTTCGTTATCACCTACTGAACGTCGTTAGAAGTAAAATGACTAAATTGTCATGTGTATAACACAAGCCATAAACAAGAAATAAAAGCAATTGAATAGTTAACAAAAAATTAGAAAAACTTTCTTCATCAATCTGATCTTCATAGAAAAAAATTTTCATTCAACAATCAATACTCAAAATCAGTCGATTATTAGTAGAGAAAAGTGTTTGAGCTGGTGATTGGGATCAAGATTTAGGTTTGGAGGTGAAATTGATTTTAGGTTTGGAAGAAATGAAATTTGGGCACAGTTTAGAGGTGTTGTGTTGGATTCAACAACCAAATAAGGTATATACAATTTTCCCTTTAATTTCGATGCAATTGGTTAGGTTAATGTTAAGGTTAGCAAATTTTATTCAAAACATTTGGGGATTTTTCATACTAAACTTCATATTAGAATCAATTAAAGGTTTTTGAAAATTTGAAATGTTATTAACTTCATATTAGAATCAATATGTTATACTTAACTTCATATCAAAATAAATCATAATTTCACTAAAAAATCAAAATTTTATTTTGCTACAGATTTGGAATGCCAACAAAACTATTAAGTTTTATCATAGTGGGTTGTCTATGCATATTCCTAACAAAGTTTGCGTAGGAGGTGATGTAGCATGGGTGGATGATTATCCTTTAGATAGGTTGTCATTTTTTCAGTTGCAAGATTGGGTTATTAAATTGGGGTATAAGAGTACTAGTGACATATTTTATTGTATTCCTACGCTATCACTTGATGAAGGGTTGAAATGTATTCATTTAGATATACATGTTGAACATATGGTTTTGTGTCATCAAAAGAAAAAAATCATTCTAATATATGTTGTAATAGGTAATACTCATCTTTCTATTATATATCCATGTACACCATCTGGGAATGAAAAAGAGGTACAAACAGGGAGGTCTATTCATGAAAACAATGGTGGAAATGATATAGGTAATTTGATGGAAAACGTTGGTGCTAATAAAGTTGATGTTGGTATGTAATGAGGCAAAAAATAATGATGCAAATGAGGTTGATGATGGTACTGCTTAGCAAAAGATAGTTGTATAAATGAGATTGAAAATAATGCCCGAAATATTAGTGAAAATACTAAAAATAATGAAGAGAAAGATGGTGAAAACAGTGATGATGATGATAATGACTATCATGCAAGCAGTGAATATAATAGTGATGGATATTTTAGTAGTGATTATAGATGCTTTGATGAGGAAATAAAGGCTAATGATGTATTTGAGGATAATGAAGTTAGTAGCCTTAAGAAAAACAAAAAGGCTTAGTATTACACAATTTATTCCAATGAGGCTAATTGAAAACATTATTTTAGAAGAAGATGTAATGATGGATGATAGTGATCTACATAATGTTTATGGATTTGATGAAGAAATAAACCATTACACAATGTTCAATGAAGAGTTGATATGAAGAATCAGCATTTAAATGTTCGATTAAAGTTTATTAATGGCATTGCTTATAGAAACACATTGAAAAAGTATTATGTTCGTAAAGGTTATGACAATAAGTTTAGAAAAAGTGATGAAGATAAAATTATTATTGTTTGTGTTAAGAACTGTGGATGGAGAATATTTGCATCTAAGTTGAGAGAGGATTGTACCTTTTAAATAAAGACTTTTCAACCAAAGTATAATTGCTCAAGGGAGTTTAAAATTCACCAAGTCACTACACCTTATTTGGTTGAGGAGTTTTTGATGATTTGAAAGATAATCTGAATTGGGAAACTACAAAGAAAATGAAAAAGATTTCTAGAGAATTAAAGGTTAAAGTCAGTTTCTCTCAAGTATATAGAGCTAAGAGAAAAGCTAGAGAAATAATGGAAGAGGATAACAAGTTACAATATTCGAAATTGTTTGATTACTATGACATGATCTGATAGACTAATTCTAAAAGCTTTACAATTATGAAAATGGAAAGTTAATATTTTGATGCAACCACTGGTATTCCTAGATCTTTTATTCCCAGATTTGAAAAGATATTCAACATGTTCGATACATAAAAAAAAAATATTCATGGTTGGATGTAAAAAGTTTATACGATTAGATAGTTGTTACTTAAAAGGTCATTTTGAAAGATAATTACCAAGTGCTATTGCTAGAGATAGGAATAACAACATTTTCCCTCTTTGTTATGCAATTGTTGAACAAGAAAATAAAGAAACTTGGTCTTAGTTTTTGAATTTGCTACATGAAGAACTTGAGAGTTTCATTGAACTAAGATTAGAGTTTATATCTAACCAATAAAAGGTATTAATTGTCATTGTATTTAGTTTTTTTATATAATGTTTATATCTAACCAATAAAAGGTATTAATATGTTAAGCTTTAGATCAAACATTTGAAGAAATATACTCTCAAGTTGAGTATAGATTCTGTTTAAGGCATTTGTATACAAATTTCAAACTTCACTTATAAAAAAGCTCCTTGGAAGGCAACAAGTGTGGGTTCAGTGAAAGAATTAGAGAAAGCTATATTGGTGCTGAAAGAGCTTGACAGAACAGGGGCAACACATGCTTGGGTGAGTAGATTAAATCCAAAAACTTAGGCCATGTCTCATTTTAACTCTAAAATGAAAACTAGTTTAGTAGTGAATAATCTTAGTGAATCTTTCAATGCTTATATATTAAAAGCTAGAGATTTGCCTATCATTAACATGTTAGAATGGATAAAAAAAATATTGATGAAAAAGTTCATTCTAAAAAGGTTAGTATAGAGTCTTACAATGGTCTTTTATGTCTAGATATTTAAAACTAGCTTAAGCAAATTAAAAAATACTTTTTTAATTACTTTTCTATTCCTGCTGGTAGGTCTATATATGAAGTTGAGTGTGATATAACCTCTCATGTTGTGAACTTAGTTAAATAAAATTATACTTACAAGATTTGAGATTTGACTGGAATCCCTATAAACATGTTTTTTTTTTTTTATAATAATAGAGAAATACCATAATCTTATGTCCATTGTTGTTATTCTAAGAAGATATACATGGCTATATATGATGCCATCATTAATCTTATTACAAGACAACATGAATGGACTATAAGTAGTAACCCTACTCTTGTCCCTCTAATCATATATAAACCACCGACTAAACCAAGAAGTTAAGAAAGAGAGCACCTGATGAACCATAAAATCATTACAAAATATCATGACAGAACAAGCCAATTAGATATGGTAACTGTGGTCAAGTTGGACGTAACGTTAGATGTTGTAAGGCATCAGTGGTTTGAAAGACCCCATGGTAAAAAAGATGAGATTAAAAGGATTAAACAAAATTTCTCATCAATCTACCAATCTTTAGGTAATTTACTTTTTTAATTTAAAATGATCTTTATATATTAAATTTAACATAAATGAAGTGTATTTTACAAATTGATCAAAAGAAAAATGATGCATCTTCTTAAAAAATAAATACATTTACAACTAGAAGCAGATCCAGAAGAAGACTTATCACTAATGTTACTGCTAGAATTGAGTTACAATCAAATATTGCTAAAGGATTGGATGCTAGCAGAAGTTTAAGAAAAAAAGCATATGGTATTGGTTGTCAATCTGCTGAAAATGTCATTACAAAATGTCACGATAAAACAAGCCAATTAGATGTGGTAGCTGTGGTCAAGTTAGACATAATATTATATGTTGCAAGGCATTAATGATTGGATAGACCCCATAGCAAAAGAAGATAAGGTTGAAAGGATTAAACAAAATTCTTCCTCAATCTACCAATCTTTAGGTAATTTGCTTCTTTAATTTAAAATGATCTTCATATATTAAATTTAACATGAATGATGTGTATTTTATAGGTTGATCAAAAGACAAATGTTGCATCTTTCTAAAAAAAAAATACACCTACAACTAGATATAGATCCAAATGAAGTCTTGTCACTAATGTTGCTACTAGAGTTACGTACAGTTAAATACTACTAAAAGAATGGATATTGGCAGAAGTTTAAGAAGAAGGGCATATAATATTGGTTGTTAATCTGTTGAAAATATTGGACAAAAAGATGCTAGAAATGTTGGCAAAAAAAAAAAGATGATGCTGGAAATATTGGTTTAGAAAGAGGTGATGTTGAAAATGTTGGCACAAGAAAAGGTCATGCTAAAAATGTTAGCAAAGAATGAGGTCATGTTAGGGCCAAAGCTAATCCAATCAGAGAAAAAGATAAGAGTAATGCCTCAAGCTATACTGGTGGTCAATTTATTAATTCTCAAGCATCTAGTGATCCAAATATTAGTAGCGAAACAACCAGTAACCCAGTAGCCTGCAACCAAGTAACTAGTTGACAAGGTATTTGGGTGAAATCCAAAAAAGGCTCATATATACTATCATAGGATGATGCATTGAATGTATGCTATTGGACTTATTTATGTTATAAACTGATATGATGTATAGGTCTTTTATTTTAATATATAGGTTTATGTGATATATAGGCCTTTTATTGTGCATTTTGTGCTAGTTTTATAAACTGGTAGCATGATTTTGTTCAATAGAAATGATGATAACATATTTTTTGTTCAATAGGAACGTGGTATAACAAATAGCCTTATTTTTTTCAATAGCATGGCTTTTGTTTTTTGCAATAAAAATGCTAGTTTTCTACATATTGTATTTTAGATTATAATTGTATAAATGGATGTGGTCATTTTTATAATTCTAACATTATGTAAAGGTTGTTTTTAAGGCTATTTTCTGTAATAAGAATGTGGCATTTGTTTACAAGGCTATTTTTTACGATATGAATGCTAGCTTTCTACAGGCTTTATTTTCTTAAACCACTTTAAGAACTTACCTATTTGGTTAAAAGTAGTATAATGTCAATTTACATGATAAAATTTTAGTAACAAAAGCCATTACACAGCACGTTTAACAAAAGGCAAACTTTCATTCCATTCTCAAATAGTAAGTTCACATTGACATTTCTTTAGACACTTGGTATTACTACACATTACACCCTATAAACATTACAATCTTGCCTACAATTAAACCATACCTTGCATCTTACCTACAACAAATTAAAAAAAAACCCACTAACATCAATTCATCAACTCAAGAAAATTAAATCTTAAGCTTTTTTACCTAAAGAATGAAACAAAATCAAAATCAACAATAACATAACACTGCCACAAATTAAAGCAATTACCCTTTTCTTGAGTCGAATCTGAACTAGCTGATGCTTCAAATGTAACTCTTTTGCATGAGATTCAGCTAGTTCATTCTAAATTTTTTGCTTCTTATTTCGAGCTTGAATAAGTTCTTTATTCAATTTCAATTTCATTTTTTCTAATTCGAATAGTTGTTGTTACAAATGTAACTTTCTTGCTGAGCATATTGTCAATGCTTCAACTAATTCTTGTTTCCTTACATTTGATCTCAAAAGCTTATCTGTCATTTTTTTTCATTGTTTCTTTTAATTTCAATATTTGTTTTATACAACTTTCACATGGTATCTTATTAATCTACTAAAAAAATTTACATTTTCGTAGTCTCTGTAAATACAAAAACCCAAAGATTAAATAACTTTTTTACCTAAAAGCTATACAACAATTAACGAAATCTTACCTTAAAATTTTCACATCTATAAAGTTTTCACCTACGATTAACACTTGTTTCAAAAGTTCTTATCGGTGATTCTACATCATAATAGCATAATTCGGCACCATTCGATCCTATGAATGGCAAAGGGTCAGGTTAGAGCAGATTTTTACTCGTCTCGAATCTGATTTGACTTTATATCTATAAAATATGAACTTGACTTAACCTAAAGATTTTTTTATTTTTTTCATATTCTAACCTGACCCGACCCGACCCGATATTATATAAATTATATTCAACTCAACTTGACCCAAAATTAATAAAATATTATTTTTAATATAATATATATATTAATTAATTAAAAAATAATTTTTTATATATAACGGGTCGAATTTACTTAAAATTCGACCATGATCTTTTTCTTACAATTATCCGATCCAATCCAAAATCCGATTTAAAAAAAAAAATTAATCCTATAAAATCGGGTCAAGTTGAAACTCACTGTGAGCTAATTGGGCTACCAACCCTATTTCAATCCTTCATTTTTTTCATATTGTTGTGAATTCATACGCAAATGAGCCTCCTTTTTCTCAAAGTAATATGGTAGGAAGAAAAAAAAAAGAACAAGAAATGGAGATACTTTTAATTATCGTGGAAGAAGTGAAAATGGAAGAGAAAAGAATATGGGAAGAGAAAATAAACTGAAAGAAATAAACAGTGATCATGGAAGGAACAAAAAATGGAGACTAACAATAATCGAGTAAGGAACAAGAAATAGAAACTATCTCTGACTATCTTTTTAACATTGATAGATGATAACGGAATAACGACAAAGAATAATTGAATGTCACATTTTAAATATAATGATACACTTTTATTAACATCATGATATGTTTATGAGGTTAACCTTAAATATATTAAATGAAATTCGATGTAATCCAAACTGAAACAACGAACATCCTTCATAGGGCATAGAATATCAGAGGAAAGAAAATAAAATCAAGTAAACCAGTATTTGAACAATCTCCCTCGGCCAGTCGATCAATCAATAATTCAATAGAAACCAAATTCGACGATGGGGACGACGGGTGGGAGCGACGTGGAGGCGGGATTCGCGAAGCTACAAGGCGAAGACTTCGAATACTACATGCAAACGTACTCCATAATGCTTGGTCGCAACTCCAAGAAATCCACCGTTGACGTTGACTTAGCCAGCCTCGGCGGCGGCATGAACATTTCCCGCCACCACGCCCGCATCTTCTACGACTTCACGCGACGCCGCTTCGCACTTGAAGTCGTCGGCAAAAACGGCTGTCTCGTTGAAGGCGTACTCTACCTTCCCGGCAACCCTCCCGTCAAGCTCGACTCCCAAGACCTCCTCCAAATCGGCGACAAAGAATTTTACTTTCTTCTCCCCGTGAGGAGTATTCTCGGGGGACCCCTTGCGCCTAGGCACCATGTTTCGATTTACCGGACGGCGGGGGCGGAGGCAGCGGCTGGAGGTGTACCACATTATAGTTACCATGGTGGGTCGGAGACGGGGAGGACGGTGGGGTCCGTTACGGGTTCTGCTGTGGTGGCAGCGGGATCAAAGAAGGGGAGGGGAAGAGATTATCACGAGGAGTATGGGGAGGAAGATGATGTTGGGAGTGGTGGGAAGAAGGTTAGGAAGGAAGATTGGTATATTGGGGCGGAGGCCCGGTCCGGAGGAAAGGCTTGTTTGGCCGGAGGATTAGGTTAGCACAATTGATTTTTGGTTTTTCGTAAATGCTTAAATCATTTATGCCATTGTTTGATCATTTTTTTTTTTTGGTAGTTGTGATTATGGAAATGTGGGGAAAAAATTTGCCATTCTTTAAAAATTGCTTTGTAAAGTTTATTATTTTTTGTAACTATTTAGTTATTGAAATATAGAGTTAAATTTTCCTGTTGTGTTAGGGCACTGATGTTTTGGGATTATTGCTGCCTTCTTTCTTATATGGAGATTATTGTGACATTTTTTAGATAGCAAAAGATATTTATCATTTTTAGTTCAGAAGAATGACAGATCTTGGTTTTCGAGAATATCTATGTTTGAGATCTGCTATTGCTTGCCTGAACTATTTAGCTCCTTGATGCATTCTTTCTGATGTTATTCTTCTTGGTTTTTTGGCTATCATAGACACTGGCTTTAATAATTACTTGTGATTACAGCACTCAAAATACTTTGCTAGATTGAACCTGGATCCTTTTTCCTAGTTTCTTTTATTTCCTAAGCATCATTCTTGTTGATTGCCTGGTTTAATCCCTGTCATCATTTTCTAGGAGTGTCCCATTGTATTTCATAAGTCATTATCAGTGCTTATCATTTTTTCTCATTCTGCAGCACCTACTGACTCTTGATCTGGTTTTGGAGAATCACACTAATCTATTGGGTGATCCTGGCTCTCAGTTATCTTTATTTCTTTGGTAGTTGTTAAAGGTACTCCTTAGGAATTGCATAGTCTGTAGAACATCCAAAGTAGTCAGTAGTCACCATGAAGCTTTTAATGAAACTAGTGATAGTGCCTCCGCAGAAGAGAGAGAAGATGAATGATGATGTTTGATACTGGTTTAATACTCCATAAATGTTATAAATTGCGATAATTGGTCAGTCATGGTGCCAATTTTGTTTGTGGCACTTCTTGTTACATTTTGTAGCATTTACTCAACCAGCACTTGTATGCTCATCTTTCATTTGCCTTTCTCGCGATATTATATGCTGTTGAATCTTCTTTTTCATCTGACTCTTTGCTATTAGGCCTATTAGCATAGCTTGGTATTAGTCTGATTATGTCTCCTAAATGGATGCATACTAGTAGAACATCCTGCCCTCTCAACCTGAAAATAAGCAAGAATCTAGTAGACAGTGTTTTTTCCAGTTATCATGTAGTCTATGAGGTTTTAGGTATATAATTTATGATAAATTAGCAAAGCATTGCTATCTCTATCATTTCAATAAGTTACTTTTGATTTTTATAGCACCGAATGGTTTATAGGATTTTATCAAACTGTTTTATTGTTTTCCAATACTCTCCTTTTTTTTTTAACCAAATACTCCTCACTTACCAGTTTTTGAGCCTTGGAAATGAGCTTTCATTCCTTAATGCTGTTCTCATGCAATTCCATCAATACGTTTCTCTCTATATTTTACTTGAACTTAGTAACTAAAAGTACTTTTTTTTTTATTTACTGAATAGTTAGTTAATAAATGCTGTTTCATTGGCATGGTAATATCTACAGTTCCTGTAGAGAAGAAGGGAGAGGGAAGATCAAGAGTTGACCGTGAATCTGATAATCAACAACTTATGCAGTTGGAAGAAAAGGATGTGGTGTCATCTGTAGCTACTGTGCTTTCTGATCTTTGTGGTCCTGGAGAATGGATGGCCATGGAGAAACTCCACGCTGAGGTTAGTTCTAAGCTTAGGGTGATCTAAATCTTATGCTATTTTCATTTTGAGCTTTTGACCTTGCATCTTTTGAGTTTTAATTGTTTTTTGCTGATGACACCCCTGGCCACTTGACAGTAGTCCTTCTTATGGTTGATTTTGATTCTGCCCTTATTGATATGCTTTACTATGCTTTAGGCTTTGCTTGGTAGGAAGGATGAAAAGAGGTGAGGATGGAAAACTTGCTCATCTAATGTTTAAAATTTATAACTACTTTCCTACTTTGTAGCTTAACCATTAGATTAACAAGTTTTTCATCATACCAAGCAAAACCTTAAAGACTTTGACGTGGAAATGGTTTTCTTCTATATTTTGGTCTGACGTTTTGACAGACTAGGGGTGCACCTAGGGCATTTCCTGCCTGATTGATGTCATGTTTTGAAAGATGCCAGAAGTAAAATATACACTTATTGGAGAAAAAAAAATAAAAAAAGAATCCTTGTGAGAGAATGATAACGACAACAACCACCATTACTAGTAGTGCTACTTATTTTTACGTCTGCAATTTAGAGGAACAAACAAGATTTATTCAGTTTGTTGTTATAATTTTTTGGTTTTAAAATGCACAAACTATTTCCACTCCTAACTTCCATTTGTTTTAAATGGCTTCAAATTGAATGATTTAGTGGTCGTATCTCCTTAGCATATCTGATTATTTTTTACAGTATTTTTTTCTCCCATTTGGTGTATCCCAATCCTGTGATTTTTGAGCCTTAGGATTTTACAAGATGTCTTACTTTCTTTGCTTTTCTTTTTCAGTTGGTTGAACAGTTTAGTAATGTGTGGCATCACAGCCGAGTTAGAAGGTATCTTACATCTGAGGACTGGCCTGATCCCGACTCCAAGGGTAAACCATGGTATGGTCTGCTTATGTTGTTAAGAAAATATCCTGAGCACTTTGTCATCAACACAAGATCCAAGGGCCGGATAACCCTGGAGTTCGTCTCTCTTGTATCTTTGCTTTCATAAGAGCAATGGTCACAAAGCGTTAAAAGGCACTTCCCTATCATGGTCATCTTACATGCTTGTTGGTAAGTCAAAGAAGTTGCAGAGTTCAGAATATGATGACATAATGTTCTTATTTTTGAGAGCCACCCTCTTTGATATCTGGAATGTCTTGTTGGGCAAATTGTATTTGGATAGCAGTCGCTTAAGATTTATCGCTGTCATTTATTATTTTGGAGACAAATTCTCTGTACATTTATGCTGGCGATGAAACTTTTTATTCCAGGAAAGAATGCTTGTTATGAATTATACTGTTTTATAGCTAATAGTTTAGAGCCTATTCCAATTTCCAAACAAAGAGAAACCATCTCGGTGTACGTTTCTAGAAGGGAAAAAGGTAAGCAAATAAAAACCATAAAATCTTTTTCAATAGCCCATGCTTTAGAATCTTCTTTTCTTTGGTTATGGTTGACAAAAAGCGCTCCTTATTGACTCAAAAAAAAAAAAAAAAAGTGCTCTTACTGACGAAGTTCTCGAGCAAACAAGGGAAAGTCTGTTGTCACGAGTCTGCAGCAAGTACCTATAGCAGATAATAGGGACACATAACGAAACCACGAAGCTGTTGGGGTAGTAGGGTCGGCTACAACTTGGCCAACAAGTTGAGTAAAAGGCTAATTTGAACAAAATTCCTATGTAAGGAAACCAATTCTAGATTCATTTTAATTACTGAATGATTATATTATTATTATTTTTTGGTATTTAAGTTTTTCATAAAATAATTTATAATCATTAAAATTAAAAATTTGACGCTTTACCATAAGATAACACTAAATGGCTATATTAAAACTCAAATTTGCTCTATTAAAGTTCAGATTCCGAACCCTTTACCCACCATGTATAAAAAAGAAAAAGTACTATATTCGCTACAATATTGATCATTGCTTGACTTTTGGTTCAGACTTGGGCAGGAAGTAGCCATGATCTGAGCCTTCTGACATAAAAAATAAGATAAGAACATTGGAAATTAGACAACATTGACACGTTTAATGGGGTCCAGTTAGAATATTTTCTAGTACAACTTAGCAAGCAAGGGAGTGTAGCCACTGGCGCCACTACATCTATATCTGTATAGAGCATTAAAATCTCGTAACACTACTTCCCTCTGCTCTCTTCAACTCAAACTCTTATAAATCATTCTTGTTTTGCTTTGTTCATCATCTTCTTTTTCATCCTTTTTAGTTTTCTTTAATAGTATGGATATGGTAAAGGGATTCAGGTTCCACCCAACTGATCAAGAACTCATCGAGTATCTGCAGATCAAAACCTTCGACCGTGATTCTGTTGTCCAAGTTATTGATGAAGTCCAAGACATCTGCGAGTCGGAGCCTTGGGAATTAGCCGGTAAAATGTTTTATTTATTGCTTACTGTAGCAGTTTCTTCTTTGTTTCTGACTAGAGTCTTAGACTGAAGCCTTGTTGAACATGTTGTGACGTTGTCATATACTCAATTTTGTTTAGATATTGTGTGTTTGTGTTTCAGGGCGTTCGGCTTTGCAGACTGGGGACAGATTGTGGTACTTCATGTACCCACCAAAATACAAGTACCGCAATAGTAAAAGAATCAGCAGGACCACCCTGGAAGGGTATTGGAAACCTACTGGTAATGCTCGTAAAATAATTAATTATGATAATGGCGAGGAGATTGGCAGCAAGAAGACTTTGGTTTTCTATAAAGGCCAATGTAATGATAAAAACAAAAACAAGACTTGCTGGGTCATGCATGAGTACGAACTCAAGGCTGATCCTAAGGCCTCTGATTCTGACCAAGTAAGTGATCATTTACATACCGTATCTTCATATTCTTTGTATTCATTCATGTCAATGAAGTTTATTTATGAGCTTGCATCAATATTTTGCTTTAGCTTTGAATTTTTCTTTTTCTTTCCTTCGATGTTGGTGAGGAAAATTATGGATACTGTTGCATCACAAGTATGGGTTAGCTTTGCATCCTTATACTTTGTTATTTATGGATGACTGCAAATGCAAGTTATTTGAATCATTGAATCCCATGGTTTGCATTTTTTAATCCTCTGCAAGTTATCTAAAATGGTTATAAATGGAAATGTGAAAATTTTTTATTTTATATGTGTGAGTTCTGTTCTGTTTTTTCTTCGGCATCCTAGAAGTTTCAACAACAAAATATTTTTGATATTTTATTTATATGCACATTAGTAATACACTTCTTTTTCTATTTAATTTGTGTAGAGAACTTTCAATCTTTGTAAACTGAAGAAAAAGGCTGATATTTCCAGCACTGAAGCTGGTCAATCAAGTCAGCCTTCTCTTTCTAATTTAGAAAATCATGTAGCAAACAATGCAATGTCACAGGTTAGATGCTTTATGATTATATTTCTTCTCGTCAATCAGTTTTCTATGTCAATGATGGTGAGCGTGTTCACAACTATTGTCTATTTTTCTATGAGCAGGAGTTGCTAGACCCTAAAGGGTCAAGTGAGCCAGAGGCATCTAATGGCAGTGACATTGTTCATAATAAATCCAGCAGCATTGAGACATTTGCTGGAGAAAGAAGCAATCAACATAATATATCTAATTACATGCATCACGTTGCAGAGGATGCAATTCCAAAAGTAAGATGCCTGATGCGAAATTTCTTAATCATTTAACCTTGTGGATGATGACAATCTAAAACTAATTCTCTTTCTCTGATTCAGGAACCGTTACACGTCATAGAGGTGTCAACAGAAAAGAATGGACCCGAAGACAGTAATAGGGTTCAAAAACCGTATAGCACCATTGAACAAGACAATGAGTCCTGCAATTCAATTCTCACTAATGATGGTGAAACTGTCCCCATAGAAAGAAGCAATCAACATAATATAGTTGTTGCAGTTGAAAGCTTCGAAATGCCTACTAACTTTGAGTTTCTTGCTGATGAGGATTTAATTCCAACGGTAAAATCAATTTTGCTTAGTCATTTGTTCGTGTAGACTATGATAAAGATACACAGAACTAAGCCGTTTTTGTGTATGTTTCAGGACCTGTTTTACAATTATGGGATATCACTTGATGAGTTATTAGCAGAGCCAAAGGCAACTAATAACTCTAATTGGATTCAAAACCATTCTATTACCAACATAGAAGATGAGTTCCTGGATTCAATTTTTGCTGATAATAATGAAGCCTACCTTCAAGAAGAAGACAGACGGCAGTGTTTGGCTGCTGAAAATGGAGCCTTAGGCTTGCCCTGCATAGGCGTAATGGAATCATCTGATTCAATGGGGAAATCTAGAAAAAGACCACGTCTTGAATACGATGGATTAAACCATCATGTAGAAACTGGAGAGGCCTAACCTTGGGGAAAAGAATACCTCTCTATTAGCAAACCTGTACTCCCCTCGGATTGGAGGGAGCGTTACGTACCCGTAATAAGAAATATTATCAGAATGATGCCATCCCATAGTAAAGCTTATGTAAACCGAGAAATATTATCAGAAATGATAATCATGTAAGATGTTCATTTAGAATAGCTTGAATTCAAACTATGTTGCTGCTGTCTGTTATTTTGCATTTTGAGATGATTCTGCATGTTTTTTTGTTGGTAATGGAACATTGCATCTCGGGTAAGAATGTTGCTCGCCCTGCACAAAAATTGTATTCAGAGCTAGGGAGATGGCATAATAGTTTTCATTTTGATTTGCCAGAGTTATCTATTACAGTTATGTTTTTTTTTTTTGGCAATCAAGGCTGCCATGAAGCAAATTAATAATCCAGTATTTGAACTTTTAAATATAATCACCCAGATGCACAAATTCGGATTAGCTGTTTACAAGTGTGATTGCTAGAGCATCGGTCACAATGGGGAATAATGGAATGTACAAATGGCTCATCGCCTCACCCCAAGGTTTGTCCCATTTTCCTTTATGAGTAAGACACAGCAGGGGACTCCATTGGCTACCCACCAGCAAGTTGCAATCCATATTCCAAAGCCAAAAACTGATGGAAGTTTGTATTCAAGTAAAACATATTTCAAACGGGGAAGATCATTCAACTTTTCATCGAGAAATGTTGGTGTTGATCTTCAACAAATGAAACAAAGGACGTTAAAATCATTCTCAAAAGTTCATTAGTACAAATTTTGACAAAGATGACAGCAAAATATAACAAAATCAAACAATAAAAGAAAGGAGGACCCAAAACATAATCCACAGCAAAGATAATATTAGCTGCCAAACAGCTGAACTAACATCATCCAATAACATTATTATTGATAATTATAAAAGCACTAGAGCCTAGAATACATGAATCAGCCTATCCTTATGATTCTTCTTTGCTTAGAGTTCTTTGTGCATAGAGTTTTTCTTCTCGAGCTCGTTTTGCAGCAAGGGCTTCTTCATCAAGTACTTGTATAGGAGACCATTCTGGCAACTTCAACGAACCGTTCTTGTCAAACATAGATTCACTGAAGTGGCGTAATTTATGTCTTACTTTTGGAACAGCAAAATCCACTGCCGTCCCAGCAACAGCAAAGATGAGCGAGTAGCGATAAGCACCAAGTTGACCACCTAAAATGCCAAAGAAGAAACCTTTTAAAAGAGACATCATGAGGGATGATAAAGGTGACAATCAAGCAACTTTTGCACTTTAGTGCTCAAAAACAGTTGGAGTAACAATGCAGAGTGATACTTATCAACATGTGCAAAAGCATACAAGCACATGGAAAGAGAGAGAAGCCAATAAAACTTTACCTTGAAGACGACCCAGTATAGCACCAGAACCAAATCCAGCAATTGCAGAATTCAGTAGATCATCAGGTCCTGTTTTGCGAGTTGCTCTTACAAATTCACGTGCTCCTGCCAAATTAAAGGTATTATTACCGTTTCCAATTTAAGTAATCAGTTTGCAAGAAATATGGTGCTGTTGATACCAAAGAATCCACTATTGAATCTGCCGGGTGGCAAAAGCCTATATCTCCTACTGCCTTCCATTTCCTTGAGTAGAAGATCAAGTTAGCCTCAGCCATAGAGGAAACGGCAGAAGACAACAGGGGGAAGGCATGTGTTCTCACAAATGGGCATATTAAAAAGAAAAAAAAAGTGTGAAAGGAAGCAGGGTTTCAGTTTACAGTTAAAGTATTTGAGGCCTGTTATAAGATTGATGCATTTCCCAATGCAGAATACACAATCCATGTAATTGCGTTTTGGCCCATTATCTACTAAAATCATCAACCTAGGGTGATTGGCTAACACAAAAACCTAGGATGTTCATATAAGTCAAAAGCTGCATTAACCTTCAGAGTAACATAATATTATACAATAACACTACTACAAACGAAGAATGGAGAAAAAATTGTAGTTCTCAGTATCCATGCTATGGGGTTTCTCTTGAATGGAGTTTGCATTCAGCAGTGTGATGCCCGTGATGCTAAGTCACACATGACTGTGAGAATAGAGAAATGACTGCAGTATGCCTATATTGTAACAAGTTATGTTATGGAGAAGAGAATGAATTCCTCATTCTTATGACTATCACAAGATGAGAACTAACAAGCTCCCTAACAGTAATGAAATCAAAGCATCAATCATAACATCCAAGTGTAAACACCTAATATGATACTCCACCCTAGTTCAATCCCCTTGAAATAGGTTGCATTTCACTGCCTTGTTGTGCCAAACTTCCCTCTAGTTATGTAAGTCAAGAAAGCCAACCAACCAAGTTGCTTCAATTTCTGCACCTACAGAACTTCTGTTAACGAAGTTGTCATCGAAAAATCTTGCCCCAAGGGAGTACAGCACAAACAACTAATTTTTCATTTCGGAAGATAAAAACAAACCAACATTATGGCTTGTGTGTATATGTGAATATGACTACAGATGAAGACACTAAAGAAAAAATGACCCACCATCACAACCAACAACATAAAATTGGTAAAAGAAATTTCTGTAAGACTCTGTTTGACTGTTGCTATTTCAACTTTTTTCAAAAGCTACATTTAGATTAGATGGAAAAGGGAGCAATATTTTGGAAGAATTAAACATAAAAAATATGGTTCTTATAGATAATGAAATTCAGGGTTTCACTTTTATTCAAATTATGATTGAAATTACAGTACCTTTTAACCTTCTTTGCTAATTTCAATTGAAAAAAAAAAAAGATTTGGGATTTACCCATCACTTGCACTTAGGTACTTAGGAAAGCTGATAGGGTGAAAGTAATAGCAATGAAGAAAGGAAATACCGCAATAGCAGCCGGTAACAATAGCGAAATTAGCGGCATAAGTAGCTGAAATATTAGCAAGGCCATGCACTTTTCGATGTTTTGACACCAACCCAACTCCTCCACCTGCAAACCCTGTTTCAAAAAAAAAAAAAAACCCACAACCAAACCAATCCAACCAACATTCCTGAATAAATAAATGGTCATAAAAATGAAAGCTTTCGATTGTTGAAGGATGGAAAAACTCAAAAACCTGCAAGGACTGTAGGGATCAATATACGATGCCGCCAGTCCTCAGAGAATGATGATGATGGGTACTCTCCAGCCATATTTATGGGTTTTGACCTTTTCTGGGGGCGTAATCAGTTTCTGTTTGTAGAGTTAGTCGTTTCCAGGGAAATTTTGATGAGTGACTAACAGTCTGTCTCTCTTTTTGGTGGCTTGGGTCGGTAAACTAAAAACTCCAATTCGAGTAGACGGTGGAGTGTGGACTCTGGAGTATGGATGGAAATATATTGGGTCTGATCAATAGGAAAGGCCCAAAACCCGCAGACTTATTGGTCCTAATATCCATCTGCTACTACTTTATTAATGTAGCAATTCAGCAGAATTTTGGATTTAATTACGTTTATGAAAAAATTAATCCAAAAATAGTTTTTTGTCACTTTTATTTCAGTCAAATAAAGTGTTTAAACATTCTTTCTTGCTTGTAAATGCTGCAAATCCCATGAAAACAAGGTGAAGACAATTTCCTAGGTGCTGTCTGAATTTATTTTTTCATGCCTTAACACACTAGTTTCAGATACAGGGCCAACTAAGCAGGAACCCCCAAGTCTCCCTTCCCCGTAAATAGCAGATGGAACCATAGAGATAAGAGTACAATTGGCATAACCGTAACTAGGAAGGATTAATTCTTCTTCTGAAACAAAGGGTTTTGTGCATTCTGCATTTTTGCAGTACATGGACAGCAACAATGACCTGAAAACAAGTTCAGGGTTCTGCTTCGGGGAAAACAGAATAAGGCACTATATCTTTTTGCATGCGTCCATCTGTCTAGTAACAATCGTGATTCATGATCAGGGTGATAATGCAACTAATAGTTACCACTTATTGGGTTAAACACTATTGACATATGCTTACCAGAAGATAATGAGATCTATCATTACTTGCCCTAATAGGGGCCTTTATACACCCAAAAATGGAGATCCTGCAACTGGAATTCATTTGCTCAAACCAGATCATTCAGCCTCATTCTCGAAACATAATTTTTTCATGAGGCTGAAGAGTCTGGTCCCACCTCTTCTGAAGCTGAGAAATTATTGACTCCTTGTTTGCTGTCCAAGTCACTGTTCTCTATTGCAGGTTCAGACCTCTTCTGTGGTCCAACCCCAAGCCTTCGCTTGAATTCTGCAATCATCATTCAAGATAAACCCATTGAATATTTAAATGGTAATATCTCAGATAATAAGGATAGAATCCATATCAAAAAGGGTTACTTTTATTGGTAATTGAACGGCGAGTATATGCCAAAAACTCATCCCACTTGAATTTTCTAAGCTCTTGCTTTTCCTCCTCTGCAAGCTCAAAATTAGGCTCCCTTCCACACATGAAAGCAGCTCTACAGACAAAAATATCTACCAATGAGTTTCAAAATTCATTAGTCTATCTATCAACACAACTACTCTCTAAGTTATATTACCAAAAAATAATCAAAACCGACATTAGGAACCAGCTTAGCACATTAAAAAATGGTAGAACCAGCATTGTTTACTTATAGTAGATGACATAATAAAAAAAATAAACCAAAGAGAGGCTAGGACTCACATTTACCTTCACAACCTTTTCATACATACCATACCATCCCATATTCTTGTGTACTTTGCAATGAATAGCACTTTTATTGTATTTATCATCAATACACATGAAAACTTTCAAATAAATCCATTAGTAACATGAAGAAAGAACAATTTTACCTCATACGACAATAAGTGTGAGAACAAATGAATAAGAATTGTTCTTCCAGCAAATCAATGTTCTTATCAGACTACCATCTATAAAGCTTAAAGTTCTTTTTGCATTTATATAAAATTATCCGTCCTTCATACTTCATGCTACTGAAGAATAATATCTGTCTTACAAATAGTGATCAGAGTTTCTGGACAAATTGTAGTAGCAATCATTACAAGCAAGATAAAAGCTAACATATTACCTGTCATACAAACGTGCAGCTTCTTCTTGCGAACCAACAGTCCCTAAGTGAATCTGTTTCTTGTCAACTTTTATTGCGGCCTGCCATTTCATATTTTTGAAGTATACACCCCTCATTAGACATGGTTCTTGGTTTTGAACATGCTTCCTCCTGTGTTGCTTCCTACGTTTGATTGGTTGCCCTACAGATAATAACATTGTAAATGGACATCAGTCAAAACATAGAAATTAAAATGGCTCCCGGCATCAGATTTTGAAGCTAATGAGTAAAATGACATGTTTTATGTGGAAGCACCATGGCAAGAACTCAGTTCTCTGATGTATCATTTTTCTATTTATTCTTACTTACAAAAAGGGGTAAAACACTGTCTCTTCCTCAAATTGCTTATGTATTTATGTCAAATATGTAATTATCACAAGAAACACTCTGCAATAGCCCCCAAAGAAGATAAAAGAAAAGTCTAAAACTCATACGTCAACAGGATTCTAATACATAAGATAAAACGGTTCCAATTTTTGCATGTTAAATATCCGTATATCAAATCATTTTCATATCATTTCACAATGTTGATTCTTTAGACAGTAGTACCGGTTTGCCATACTGCCTTGCATGAACTAATGATGTCAAAACCATGAAACTTTGACAAACGAATTTTGCAATAATTTTATTTTTCTTCCTTTGCAAAAATATAATCCTTATTTGCTCGTCTCAAATATGGAATACATAAAACAATTAGTGAGAGGCAAGAACGGTATGCAAAAGAGCAGAGGGCATGAGGGAAGAAGGAAGCTTTTGGAGAGTTTTTAGCATAATCGGCGGAACATAAACCATTGCAATATTAATCCGGGCCTTAGCATCATAAATGCAAATAGGGCAGGGATGCACTTCTTTCAAGCCATTTAAATCTGAATATGGAGGAACAGTAAACAACCATGACATAAAACCAAATAATGAATATAAGCTAGTATTTCAAATGGTCAGGTTCCGTTAATCCCAAAAGAGCGCATATGGCCAGCCAATCTACTTTTACTGATCAGCTGCATATGGATTTTATAAGCTGGAAACCCATTAATATCATCTTAAAACACATATTTTCAAAGTAATCCTCATTAAATAAATTCCAAGACATGCATTATTGTCCGACCAAATTATTAGTTGCACCTAACAATCCAATAGTTGAATACAACTTCAGACAGCAAAAACAGCTTTTTTTCCATTGATTGGAGTTGGTGTTACTAAAGGTCCCAAATAAAGATCATGCAAAAATGTGATTGCTTTTGCCAATCATTATCATGCAAAATGTGATTGCTTTTTCCAATCATTCCCCCCCCCCACCCCCCCCCCCCCCCCGGGTTGCCCCCACCATTTTCTGTGTTGTAGTAGCACCTTATTATGTCATACTCCCACCCATGCCTCAGTTCCTTCTTGTATGCAATATTCTCTATTTCACTAAAATTACCTAATTTATATGTGTTTTGTGCATGCATCTGAGACAGAGGAAGTGAGAGAGAGGCACTGGATTTTTTGTTAATTTTCTATCTTAAAAAAATAAACATGCAAAGAGAAAAATAAAAAGTTAGAGAGAAAGGAAGAGGAAGGGGGAGAAAGGAAGGAAAGACCAACACCAAGCCATAAACAAGTAAACATTTTGCAGGTTTTGTCAATGCTAACAAACATAAGAGTTTTTTCCCAAACAAAGGTACTTTGATATCTTATTTCTTTAAGTGGAATACTTTTAAACTTTATTCTTAAAAACAGATAGTATTCTACAATTCAATTCCATGTCAGCATGAAATTCCACGTCACTTTATTTTTTGATCTTCTCTTCCTTTCTCCATTGTAACCATTCATCTCTTAAAAAATGCAGAAAGCTTATCAGATAGAAGACAATCATTGCAACGCTGTAACATGCCCTGACAACAAGTATAAACTTACCTTGCTATTCGATAATATTTAACAAAACCAAAAACCATTAATTGAAAAGATGCGGGTTTTAAGGCAAAGCATAGAATGTTCTTGGATTCTCGACGGCACCAAATAATTTTGAGCACCTTCAGGAGTAGATCTAGAGAGTATTGCAGTTTCAATCTACCTCCAAATAATCTCTCTTTTTTGCTCCAGAAAAACTATTCATCAATTTCTCTTTTTTTTTTTAATAACCATTCATCTCTTTTTAATTTTTTATCTTTTGGCAACAAAAAAACTCATGAACAAAGAAACAAAAAATCCAACCCAGTAGAGTTGAAAGAATAATCTAAATAGCAAGAGTTAGGATCTCCTTCACAAAATTTTTTGAATGATTCTGAAAATATAAAACCATCGCACCATGATTATTCACTTCCCACCGAATAAATGCTCTTCAAATTTTATTTTATAGTTTTTTTTTTTTTTATTTCTTCTTTGTTTTACATCTTTTGGTTTTGATCTTAGATTTTTCCCTTCTCTTTTTCTCTCTCTACCTAATTTGCAGTAGTATTGGTCTACATTCCATTGAGCATCTCCCTTTTATTTTTCCTTCTGCTTTCTTCACCAGCCTTGCTGCTAAATTCAGTTCCAATTTTCAAGAGCTAAGGTTCTAAAGTATCGTCAAAAACAAAAAAAGTTTCTTATAGACATTTCATTGAACACCCTTTAAACATCAATAGTTTGTTTTTAGTAAATAACAATGCATGAATATTTTAATTCAAATGAAAAGAAAAGATAAAGAGAGGACAATCTGATGATAGGGACAAAGAAGAGAAGATGAGGCTTTTTCAAGATATGTGTATTTTAGAATTTTTTGACTGAATTAAAACTAAGTAAATAATTTATCATTTATTTTATTTTTATATAATTTGTCATATATATCTGATGTGGATTCCAAGTTCAAAGTATCTTATTTTAGGAATTAACTTTAAAACTATTCTAATTTGATAAATAAGACTATAGGGTGCCTTATCATGAGAAAAAACTCAACAAACATATGGAACACGTGTTTCAAAAGAGACAAACCTGGAAAAGGTTGATTATGCTGCTCTTTTGATGAACCAGAACCAGAAACATTTGGTGATCCAGAGCCAACCTTAGCAATGTTTTTCTGAGAAACAACATCAAATAATTACACGTAAGAAAGTGTTTGGTAAAAACAGAAATTGAACAGTACATTCCACTTAGCTTTCATCTATCATGATATTAAAGACCTGAATCATTTAATATATTCATAAAGAACTTCCATTTGGAAGCATGCCAATTCAATAAACTAAAAAATAGCAAAAAAATTTTGAATTAAAATTCCAGAACAGCGAAGCATTTGCACAAACAATAAAACAGATTCTGAAATGCAGACAGCTTTTCTACCTATAAGTTAAAGCAACTCCGAATCAAGAGTACACTTGGCCAGTATGCCGAATATAGATGCAGTTAAATACCATTTTAATTGACAACTGACTCTTTACCCTGTGCTTATAGCTCAAAAAGGAACCACTATATCTCAAACGAATTCGTTTAACAAGAATGGGTGGCCCAGGACACAATGGACTAACCAACCATCAACAGTTTCATCATATTCTTTTCATTCCTCCATATTGGCAGAGGAACCCAGGAATCCTTATGATCACATACATGGCATACACAGAGGAAAGATACTATGATTACCAATTGCATATTTTCCATCAATTGCGAGTAAAGACATAATTCTTTGTATTCAATGATTCTCATCCAGCATGGAGTTAAAACAAGTAGCATGTACCATGTCCTACTTTTTCTCATGGATCCACCTTTTAGCTCACTCCATTAGAACACAACCAGAAAATGCCACCAACAGATGGCTTGGATATTCATATAACTATAACTACTAAACCAAACATGAGCACTGCAATTGTGACAGGCTACCATGCAAATACAGATACCAAAACAATGATGAAGATAGAATGTAATCTCTGTCAGTACTTATCAACTAAGGATACATTCTATCATGTTTTCATTTTTGCATATTACCAATCTTTCTTAAAATATGGAATTAAAGAAGATCCACCATAAGGGAGGAGAAATTCTTCCACAATGAGAGGTACCAGTAAATATATAATTATGGACTCAGCTAAGTTACAAGACCAGTTTAAGATTAGCAGAGGTTTAAAGAAAATGAACTATGATTGAAAATCCATAATGGTATATCCTTTCCTCCTTTCTTTTTTCCCAAGAACGCATACTTAATCTGACACCCCCAGCCCCACTCTTGTGCGTTGTATGCATGCTAGTCATTGAAAATGTTGGATATGGATAAATATGAAAAAGTGGTCAATCGTTTGACATAGAGTAGTGAGGCATTATTAAGGCAAACATCCCTATCCCAAGAGAAAAAGAAAGATAAAAGGAATCTCTGCAAGCTGCTAAGTTCATACAAAATAGTAAAAGAAATAGTTATACAACACCAACTTATATCAGCATTCTTACCCCATGCAGGTGGTTGATTTCTGAGGGCATAGGATGCACACTAACTGATCTTACATTTTGACTTGAATTTTCAGGGGCATTGCCATTGTCAAAAAATCTTGGAAGAGGAGTCAAAAAGGAACTCTTCCCTACGAAAGGTCACCAAATTTGGTGAATGAAATTATTCAATCATAAATTAGAACTTGTTTGCTTACATTCTATCTAAGTAACTCATAGTTTACTCAATGAAACTGACCCTAGAAACCAAAAAGGCAAAGAATTGAAGGATACACTTTACATAACAATATATAGTAAAGGTTCCTACTCATTGCTATCAATAGAAGCAACTAATTATGCAAATATAAAGTACATCTCAACTACGTTTACCAGAGCAGAGTCCCAGGAGCTTGCGTCTGCGTATGCTCACCATGACGGCAATCCTTTAATTAGTGAACAATTTTTTAGTTGATCGCCCTTAGCATTTGTCCCGATATCTGTTCTCCTAAGCTTACCAAAGATGGGCCAATTAGGAGTGGATTAAACAATTAGAGAATGACAAACGTTAAAGCAAAATATATTAGAAAATGAACAAGATGGCAGATGAAAACAGAAGGCTGAGATGTATAGCAAACAGCATCATAATATAAGTAAACAAGATATCACCTATCATAGTTATACAGCAAAAGGAGAAAAATGTCAACAGAGAAAAAGCGGTTCCTTTGGACTGATACAAGGAAAGCCATCAAAAACTATAAGTCAATGCAAGTAATCTGAAGCACCTAAGCAATTTAGACAAAGAAATTCAAGGAAAATGGAATTGCCTGGTGAAACTCCCAGATGTTAATCAACTTTATGTTATCAAATATTGATGTCAACCACAAGTACTTTCTTACAGAATTCGGTTGGCTGAAAACCAACTATTTTCTCATCATCACGTATGTTTGATTTCGATAATGCTGCATAGACAAGCAGGGGGCTAAAATCTAAATCCCATGTACGGATTAGATTTCTAAAAAAGACAACAGAGTTGATGCTGGTAAAACGGAAATCATTCATAAACGAAATTTAAAGAATGCTATGAACAATCCATTGCAAATCACATGACACGTTTTTAGTCACCCTCTATTCAGGTCAAACGGTATTCACTTCTATAGAAGTTAACCAGACTCCGGATAAGGCGGCAAGGTGACATAAAGCTCAGCCATTTTTTTTTTTGGAAAAAATAAATTCATTATATTTTGCATAAAGTAAAGCCAAAACTTTCATCATGTGAAACTAACAAAGCAGTCCAATGAGTCTGCCTAATAAAAATCCCAATTATCTCTCCGTGGAAAATAAGTCAACCCCACCAACCTACCACCTTTCATGGAAGAAGAGGCAGTGAACAAACAAGACAAAACACAATACCCAAACCACCCAAAACACACAAAAATCAAAGAGAAAAAGGAAACCCACAAAGCCAAAGCGTTTAAGCCCATCAAAGCAAAAAATGGCCATAACTCCATAACCAGGAACAGCAAAAACCACCCATTACAAAGAAGAAGATAAACGAATAAAAAGAAAAAAAAAAGTCATTGTTTTTATCATTTGGTACCTGAGACAGAGAAAGAAAAGGTAGTTGTTGAGACAGCGTAGAAACCGAGGAGAAACACAGAGAGAAAGACAGGTTTTTTAAGGTTAAAACTAAAATCCGGTAAAAACTAAAAACCAAAAAAAAAAATGTAAAAAAATAAGGATTTTTTTGTGTGAAGGAAGATGGTAAAAGAAGATAAGAGTGAAAAGAAAAAGAAAATAAGAGCGTTTTTAAGAAGTTGGTGATGCTGTTGGTGTTGCTGTGGTGGTGGCTCATGCATCTACCACCTTTTGTTTGTTTGCTTTTATGTTAAAATTTTTTGTGTTTTGATTGAAAGCCCATTTTTATGAGGGTGGTGGAGCTGATGGTGTAGACGGAGAAAAATAAATGTAAAGAAAAAAATAAAAAAATAAATCAAAGCGAATGCCAAAACCAACGGCCAAGTCTTTGTACACAGAGAGAGAGAGAGAGAGAGAGAATGTTGAATATGAGAAGGGGAACGTTTGCTTCTATTTGTGTACTTTTTGTCTTTAGTCAGCTCAACAATGATTCCTCTACTGCCCCTCTCCAGTTTTCCAAATACCATATCTCTTAAGGTTTCTTTAGCCGTCTTTAGATTTACCTTAATACCCTTTTGCTTTTATATGAACTGTTATTTCTTTTTTTTTCTTTTCTAAAGTAAAGAATAAAGCTATAAAAATTGACTCCAACTTCAAAAATCTTCTTAAATCCGATTTAATTTATAAAAGTCAATAACCCAAAACAAATCAAACTCAAATTCATGAATAATTTGAAATTAAATTTATTTTATTTTAAAATTTAATAATTTAGATTTGAAAATATCGAAACTCACACAACTCAATGTTAAGCTGGAAAAATTTTTTAACTTCAAATAATTTAGATTCGAAATAATTTAATTTTGAGATGATGTGAAGCTTAAATAATCTAACCCTGAAAATAAACCAAATTTTCAAAAACTCAAAATAACCCAATACGAAGTGGCCGATCAAACTTGACCCAACTTGTCTAAAAGCCAACTCCTACGGAATTTTCTTTTGTGATATTATTTGGTGGAGAAGGTAATAATCACTAATTCAATGAATTATTTGTTATAGATGTCAGAGTGCTTGCATATAACTTATCTGTTTTTGTTTATTTAAAAGAGGTTGATATGTGATATTGATTTGGTTTTTCAGCAAAGTAGAAAAAAAATCAAGATAGTTTAAAATAAAATAATTTATGTATTTATGTTGTATAAAATATTGATAATTTATATTTTTATAATATTTTATATAAAAATTATGTATTACAATTCGTATCGATAAAAAATATAAAATATATTTTTTATTTTATTAAATTTATTTATAATTTTTATTAAATTTTAAATTATATTATTTTTATGTTTTTTATTCGAATTATTTTTGTCTCGTATTATCATATCATATTTTAAATTATCAAATTTAAATGAAAGTAAAACTTAAATTAAAAAACATAAATAAATTTTAATGTGACTTGAAAATTAAGTTAGTCTCATTATATTGTCATCCTTAAAAAAAAAAAAAAAAAAAAGATCATTTTATACAAAATGCCATACTTCATTTTTTTTTAAGAGAAGTCATAGTTCTTATTGTTAAATGTTCTTTTTAAATACAACTATATATAGCTTAATCAAGCGATTATTACTATTGCTTCCAATGTTAGAATCAAAGCTCTCCCGAGGAATTGAATTTTTTTCACCTAAATTGAAAAGGAATCTTCTTTTTATAGGAGTAGCTCTTTTCTCAATTATCATGAGCATCTAATTAACACTAATGATTTTTAAACTATGACTAGGTGAATTTGAAGCATAAGTCTTTTGTGAATTATGAAATAAGAGTGCTGTATACGTTCAAGGAGATATTACTTTCGTGAAGACATCACTTATAATTATTATATTATAATTAATTATAATTTGAATTTAACATTAAATTTAGTTGATTTATATAATAATTTTTAAAAATCTTAAAATATAATGTTTAACAAATTTAGAATTCAAATATTTATATTTATAATTTTTTTATTTAAAATTTAATTATAATTTAGGATCGCATAAAATAAATCAAAATATTATATGAAGCATGCATTTATAAATAATAAATTTTTACATAATTTTTAATCACAATCAAATAATTACACGATGGCAAGAAAAAGAATTATAAATGATATATTTGCATGCTTAGGCAAATGTTTTAACGGTGCATAATAATTTGTTAGCGATACCAATACCATTACCATCAATCAACGTAAGTACATCACTGAACATTGTACTCCCCTAGCGATCTCCATCCACTAAAAGATAAAAGAAATATGCGCACATGCAATTTTTTTTTTATTCTTTCAAAATTCGAGATAAATAAATTATTTAATTTTTAAATTAAAAAAATATATCGTATATGATAGTTTAAGATATATGATTTAAATTATGTATTTGAGATGACTTCAACAAATGATCACTAATAAAATTTAAATTCAAAATCTCTTTATTGAAAAAGACGAACATACGTAAGTTTTGTATAATACATGAAAATATGTGACTTAAATTGTTTATTCAATATGATTCTAATAAAATAATCATCAATAAAATTTAAATTTAAAATTTTTTTATAAAAAAAAACGAGCATATGCAAATTTTGTATAGTGCAAGAGAACATATATTTGGTCACATTCACTTTTTGTATACTCAACTATTATGAATGAATATTTTTATAAATGGGTTTCTCTTTTTTTTTTTTTTTTTGTTATTTAACAAATATTTTCAAGTAGCATAAGTGTGGCGTTGGACGCTGATCGGATAGACTTTCTTCTATTGTTTGTGTTGTTTATTCGTTCCTTTTATGATTTCGGGAAGAAAAAGAAAAAGTTTTATTTTCGGTAAAGATTCAGTTTATAGGATGGAGCATGGCGACTTCAAATAATTATCAACAATGAGAGCAACATGATCGATCAAACATAATTATTTTATGGAGATCAGTAATCATATTAATATTTATTTAATAATTATTTAAAATTTTTTCATTTCAAACAATGAAGTTTTGATTTAATAATAAATATAACAAATTTAAATTAAAAATTACTGTGTATAAATTTAATTTAATTTTATTTTACATTAAATTTATCTACTTATAATTAATTTTTTTTTATTTTTTTAAATCTTAAATTTAATGGAACTTGAACTTTGAACAAAAATTTGCAAGTATCAACTTGACTCAATCCGAGTTGATAATAAACACATCTAACTCAATTCATGGTATAGTTTAAAAATGAATATGTCACATCAAATTCTTTGAATTTATTCTTCTGGAAAACTGTCACTTGTGAATGATGATTTTGATTTTGCTGTACTTAGACCAAACCTAAAATCGTAACATCAAGAATGCTATCACATACTGTTAAACTAAAAGAGTTTATAACCCATCAATTTGTTGGTCCCGGTGGATATGCTAGCTAACCAAAATGTTGGACTTTTTTTTTTTTCATGGCCAATCAAAAGAATAAAAGTATTTATTGTTAGGATTAAAAGTCAAGAATACTGTAAATGATTTGAATTCAAAAGTATAGAGACGAAGATAATTATATTAGATGTAAATATATAAATTTTAAAAAATAATTATATCTTATCTAATTTTTTTGAAATTTTCAATTATGTGATGTCTATAAACATTGGTTAAAAATAATTAAAATACTAATTTGTAAAATGTTTTCATTTGATAAATTGTTTTCATCAAATTCAAAAAAAAACAACACGTTAATTACAATTTTTTTCTTGAAATATAATCTTAACTGATACTTGATAGTGTGAATTAATATTTTCCTTTTAAATTATATTTATTTGAAAGATTTATAATAAATAAAAAAAAACTAAAGATAGGTGATTCATCCGATAGTTTGTTTGAGATTTTGAAGAATTTAAGCATGAATATTAATTTTATTAAATGGATTTGGATAAATAATGAGATTGATTTAAAAAAAAAAAGATAGAACTTGAGTTTTAATATTTAAAGTTCGAGTTTGGTCCGATTTAAAAATAAAAAGTATTTGTTATTATAACGGGATTTACTTTACTTTTTTATAATAAATAATGCTCATTTGCTTCATTCTTACAATATGATAAATTTTATTTTTTTATATAAAATAATGATCAAATTTTAAATTACATTTAACAAAATTAAATTGAACTAAAATCTAAATGACTTATAAATTCAATTAAATTAGTTAAAATAATAATTTTAAAAAATAAAAAAATCTATCTTCCTCAATTTTAAATACTAATATTTTAAGTGAGTTTGAACTTTAAAATTATAAATAAGAACCGGGTTAGATAGAAAATGAGACTAAAAAAATTAGATTCGATCAAGCTTAAACTTACTTAAAATGTTAAAATATCATATAAAATTTAGCCATGCTCATGAACAGGTCTAAGATGAATTTAAAATTTAATTAATTTAATTAACTCATACAATCAATTTTAAGAGTCAATATTTAATATATTTCAGATTCAAATTTTAATTTATATAATTTTTTTTATTTTCAAATTGCAACATTAATAACGTCTAATATTAATATTCAAATTATTCAACTACTTAAAAATATATAATATCAAAGTAATAGGTAATAGTATTATGAGTTTTTTTTAATATCAAATAAAAAACAAATTTCATCAAATTGACGCATGAAAATAGCTTTCCCAAAAGATTATTCAAAGATCGTGGCATTTAAGGTTAAGCAAACGAAGAAAGTCAGAGAAAGCTACGGACAATGCAATAGGAGGGCAATCATGTCATATGGCACTATAAGCCAAGCGGCGGATAAAGAGGGGACGAAACGGGCAAAAAGGGGAAAGCAAAGGGTAGACAAAGTGGCTAAGAGAAATTATTATTAGTGTGGCTTGGTTGGTATCGAGCGAAAGGCACCGACGATGCTCTGATTGGATGGGCGGCCTGTCATAGAAGCTGTGTAGATAATGTCCAGCCAACCTCAACCCTAAAATCTTTTTCCTCTGTTAACTTCCCATATATAGTCTTTTTACTTGCTAGTATAGCCAATTGGAGCTTATGGCCCATTTTCCCTCTGGGAATCCCATCCAATGTGAAGGCCAATTGGTCATAAGAAAATCAAGTTGAAGCATGAAATTATATAAAAAGAAAAAATCATGAGTCTTGATATGAATTTGTGTCCCTCTACAATAAAACAAATATTCGAATTTCCGTAAGGATTAGGTAAGTATTTTATATTTATAAAATTAAGTTTTTTTTATTATCAATAATTTTTTATAAATAATTTATAAATTTTAACTGATAAAAAAAACCTCCCTTATTTTAAATTTTTTATGATAACAATATTATGAAATCAAAAGCGATCGGATTGACTGCGGGCTCCGCACCATATTTTTCTAGCTGCGTGGTGACTGGTGAGTGACAATATAATAATGGAAGGTTATGGTATCCATAAGGGAAAAAAAAAACACAGGTGCCT